ATGGGACAAAGAAACAAGTACCACAGTGACCAAAATAAATCAATAGATTGCATGGTGTGTATTTTTCCATAGGCTCTTTTGTTTGTTTTCAAACAGAAAATTCTGTCTTGGCACATATGCCCACTTCAGTGGATCAGTTTTTGCTGGAAATGTTTTACTCCATCCTGTTACATTGGCTAGGACAAAAAAGCACCCCAATGTAAAATTTAATTGGTTTTCTTGGGTTGTTGTTGTTGTTGTCTCAGGATTGTTTTGTATTACTTTGTGTGTGTGCAGGAAGATGCTATTTCCATTGCACAAGGGGGAAAAAAGCGGCTTTAACTACAACCCAGAATTTATGATTGTGCAAAGGACAGTGTCCTAGGAGGACTATGGTGCACGTCTACTTCAATGTATAGCCTGCAGTGAAAAGTGCACTAGGATTCACACCCCAAGGTCTGGTTTAGGGGCCAGAATAACAAATATGGATAAATGAGCTCCTACTCAAGTTTCTTTTAGATCACCAGACACTTGCATTGCTAGCAGTGACCCAGTATAAGTGCTTTCCTCCATGGAAATACACCCATAAAGAATTTACATGAAAAGTGAAATGAAGAATCATGTGGGTCTTGCAGGAAAGGATCACAAGAAGAAGTCTAGATACAGGTTCAACAAAACATACCAGGACTGTGTATTCTGGGGACAGAGGAGCTATTTGCTATGCCTGAAGCTTGTAAGGCTAGTTCTCAGAACAGACTTTAGTTTCACAACAGAGCCTCCATACAAACAGTCTTTACTTGAATTTTTATCCACGTAGTAAGATACAGAACAGGGGGTTTCACTGAGATCTTTGTAATTTATTGTAAAGTGTGCAAAGGACTTTCATTACTGGATTCTATAGAAATGTGAAAAATAAACATATAAAATGCTCAGATTATAACTGCCCTCCCCTTCAAAAACAGACTCCTGCATCATCATACTTTGAAAGTGCAAGAACCTGGACCCAATCTCTGTCCAACAGATTTTCAAATCCAACAGATTTTTTTATAATATATCAGATTCATTTCTGTGTCACCAATAGCATGTTGAGATCATCTTCTTTCTTTCCCACAAAGAAATGCATCCTCTGTAGGACACATATGAAATGGCGCAGTGTGAACAATGCATCTGATCTCTACTGTTTAACATGTTTAGGATGGAGGGACAAGTTCAACAATCCGGAAACTGTAAAACTAAGGATTTAACAATGAGAGGATCTGTGGAAGCAAAGGATCATACCTCACTGTTGATGTCTGAACCGGATACCACTTAGAGAACAAAGCAAATGGATGTGTAAATTACGCTGGAGTCTGGAGCATTTTCCTTTTGCCTTGTCTTCCGTCTCTTTTCAGAACCTCTGCAGACTGACTTAGGTACACAAACACATACACCCCAAGTGGTTCGGATGCTCTCTTACTGATGCTGCCACTAAAGAAGACCTGCCTATCAGCACTCTTTCATCTGAGCACCAAAGGCAGCCAGCTCACTCAGAGAGAATCATTTGCCTCATCATATTGGAGCAGAAATCAACCTAAGATGGAGTGAGCCATTCTACCCCTCCATCTCTGCTGGCAAAACTTAACTTCTTGAAAGTGAACTATTACTATTAGAATTAGTTTAGGGACCATCCCTTTGGGAACAGATTGATAAAAGGGCGAGGGTTCGGGGGCTTCTGCTGAGCAGACATGCACCATCACCAAGCATTTAAAGGCATCTAGGAATGGGGGAAGTAGCTGGAAAAAATATTAAATTCTGAGCCTTCAGGTATGTATTTTTTATATATACATATAGTTGATGGAATAACCACATGTAAGCTGCCGTTAGTTCTTTGTACAGAAGAACTTAGTACAGGATAGTACAGAAATGCAGTGGTTACGTAGAACAACTCACAACACAAGAAAGTACTGGAAAAACAAGTGGCAATGTGGGTTTGGGGATTAGAGCCCCCCAAATGGTTTAATCACACTTGATCCTGTGTAGCCAATGAGCTCATCCTTATAGTATGGATCTGGCATTTGTTAATTCAACAGTGTCCACTTTTAAAGGGGGGGGAGTGTGTGTGGCAAAAAGAGGTGCTATACTTTGGGGTGTACTTCATTTTTCCTTATGGAAAAGAAGGTCATTGGTAGGGCTGTGTGACGTAACTCATATCCATTGCAGTACACATGAGCAATTTCCCATTCATTCTTTTGGTGCCATATTCTGTCCTTTAGAATAAAAAGAAACTCTGAAAAGGGCATCCTTTTAAAGTGGAAAACAACAGGCAGATTGCAGGAAGCAAACTTGCACTGTTGCAATAGAAGAGTGAGTTAGGGGATGGAAGAGGCATTGCAAAAAGCCGCTCAATCTTTTCCCCTCCCCTTAATATGGACCAGTTGCATAGCTTTTTTTCAGCCAGAACTTGCCAGAACTCAGTTCCGGCACCTCTCAGGTGGCCCCCATTGCCATTACAAGAGAACAAGGGAGGTGTTCATGGTGAGCTCCAGCACCTCTTTTTCTAGAAAAGTAGCACTGACCAGCTGTATTCTGTTTAAATGTTTGCCTATCAAACATTTACAGTGCATGTGCAGTCAAAGGATTATGAGAATGCTTGTGATGGGTCCCCAAGTCTTGACCCCACATGGGCCACAAGATTTTAAAGGAGACGTTCTCAAATTACTCTTCCATTTTTCAAGTAGATCTATTTCTGTATTATATTTCAAGTCACACAGTTTTTGACATTATTAGTCAAAAGATGCCTTGGAGGGCTGGCAGGTGGAAAGCAACTCGTGACATGACCCAGCCTGTTCCAACCACTGGAGAGATGCTAATGAAGGTCTTGCTGCCTGTTGTTGTTTCAGAGCGGATGTCTTCAAGGCTCACACCTTTTGCTTCCCCCCCCCCTGCACATGGCATGCTCTGAGCAAAGGTAAACTTGTTATGCTAACTTCACTCTCCTAGTGAAGTGTACAAGTTTGTTTCAAACAAACTATCCAGGCAGGGTGTGTGTGTGTGCTATATAGTTTAGATACATAGACAGACAGATACATAGTTTAGTTTAGATACATAGACAGACAGACAGATAATAGACAGGCAGATATAAATATAAATAAAAATTAGGTCTAAGTTTCAGCCACACAAAAAAGATCTATTTTGTACATACAGCACAAAATGAAGATGGGGGGGGTGGCAAGGAAGAACACCAGAGAGATAAGAAAAATCAGAGCCAAGAATAAAACAAAAACAGCACATAAAAAGTGGGGACTGGCGAGTGGTTGTGTGGCTTGATCCTCAGAATGAGATAAGACATTAAGCAGCAAATATGGGTCTGGAATCCTTGGGGAGGCCTAACTTGCAAGGGAAAAGTAGCAGCTGCGGAAGGAATTAAAAATCTTCCCCACGTACTTGATTTGTGGCATGCACACCTCTAAGAACCCTGACTGGGTGGGGTGGGGAGATGAACAATATCCCCAGGATGTGTCACCCTTTCTCCACTGCTTCTCTTTACATTGAAAAGCAGCAGCCCCGGTCCCCAGTTCCTCATTTGCCACTTTCTGATTCATTCTTAATACTCTGTATACCAGCAAACATATTCTTAGCACAGTACAAGCAACTGCTGTGCTACTGCAGAAATAGGTTAGGGTCTTGAGGTAAATGAAGGGCATGCCATGCCCTTAAGGTGCATCTGATGCCAGGAATTCACAGGTGCCTGTGCTGGGTGTGGGAAGTGGGTGTCTGGGGCGGGGGGAGAGAAAGTACCAGAGTCTTTTCTTAGCCCTCCTATCTGTGTAGGAAAACATGGAGTTATGCTTTGAGTCGATGTTGCCAGCCCTTACTGTGGAAGAGTCTACAGATTCCAAAGCTTTGCCATTGAAATGGTCAGCAGCAGCTTTTACTTTACGCCCAAGAAAATAATTTCATGGCAGATCATCTTACTAAAACAGGTTGTAGAGTAAGGGAAAATGAAACTCTGCAAGGTTCAAAAGCACAGCCTAGAGATGTACCCAGGGCTGAATGGTCAAACACACACACCTTCCAACCTCTAGAACTATCTGGGAAATTGTAATGCAGATGAAACACTGCAGGCTGTTCACATGGGAAAGAGAACTGCAATATCTCCAACAGGGTAGCTGTTCGAGTGAAGGACAGCCAAGCATAAGGTGGCAAGACAGTCTTCTCATTGCCTCTGCTTTTCCCATCCATAGCCAGGGCAGGAAAGGCAGTGCTAGAAACCATAGAGACAGACAGGGGTTGCCTATCCCATTTTATTGTCAGAGACGAAAAAGGGAAGGACCAGCCTGCACACGCAACGCCACTGAAGCCTTGCTTACTGGGGTTGCACAGTGACTTACATGTTCCAGCAAGATTTCACAGGACTGTTTGTGAGATCTCACTGGAACCCCAAACCCGCCACTTCGCAATTCTGCAGTAGCAGCAGTGGGTAGGTGGGGTACCTGCAGTGCTCCTTCGAGATCTTGCCAGAACCCACCGCGACCACTCTTTGGGAGAGGGTAGGATGCCCACAGCAGTGCTGCTCCTTGGATTCTGCCACCCGAGGCAGCTGCTTTAGTCTGCCACATGAACAGGCCAGTCCTAGAGGCAAAACTACACCTTTACTTCTTATGTTTATCTCAGGATAAGATTAACCTATGGAACTCACTCCCACAGGAGGTAGTGAAAGTCTTTAAAAGAGAGTCAGAAAAAACTCATGGATGGTAAGGCTATCAGAGGCTACAAGCCATGATGGTTGTGCTCTGCCTGCAGTCAGAGGGAGAAATTCTTTTGAAAACGTTGCTGGAAACTATTCCAGTTCTGCTTGAGAGTTTCCCAGAGTCATCTTGTTGGCCACTTTGAATCTGATGAGCCATTGGCCTGATCCAGCAGGCTCTTAAGTTGCTCAGTGCTGAGCAGCAGCCCTGAAAAAATGGCTAAATGATGTACGTTGCTCCTTATGATCGTGTTTCAGCAAGGTTTCACACTCACAAGAGTAAAGGCAGACCACATAAAAGCCCAATTTTTGTCTTTATTTCTAACCCAAATATTGCAAATATACAGAAAAATACCAGTACAAATTTATAATATAGCCAGGCTTATTTACAAACTCTATACATGGCTCCTTTATTTTTCTTCTGCACCTTGCCTCAGACTGTACATCTTAAGAAATTATGGGTAGAGGAGTGTATTAACTATGACTCTTTGTTATGTTATATTTTACAGCCATTATGCACATGGTCTGGTCTGGTCTGCCTTACAGACACATCAGGGAGACAATGATACTTCAAAGCTCATGCAATGGCAACATTTCCAGGACTGCTTTGTCACTTAGGCAGCACCCTTAGAGCAGTGATGAAGATGCAGTGTTACCTACATACTCAACACTATGCAGGACAAGGCTACTGTTGTGTAGGGCAGCAAGTGTGTGACAGTTACAAGGACCTGGTTAGTTTATTGAGGTTTCTAGTTCCTTGAATGCTCTCACTTTATAAGCCAATGTGCCACAATGTATAGTGTCTTATGAGGGGAACCAACAGAAATGGAGCAATAGAACAGGTCATGCCCGGTAATGAACTCCCTTACCTAACCACCCTTCCAGAGATGCTTTAATAAACATAGAAAATAGGACATATAATAGGAAGAGTAAGTACTCAGATTATGTTCTCAGTGAAATGGAAAATGTCTTCACCAGCTACATTACAGGCTTTCCATCACAATCCCAGCCCAGCACTTAAAAGAGTTTCAACCACATCACATGGATAGTAAAGCGATTTGAACCTGGCTCTGCACAGAACAGATGTACACAAGAAGTTCAAATATGTTAAGAGCAGGGGTTTGGGAGCAGCTGTCAGACACAAGGTTATTGAGCCCCCTTCAGTTCCTGGTTGAGTTACTGTGAGTTTAACATTGACTGTAAACAGCACTCTTATTTACATGCAAGTGTGCTTCTGTACCAGGTTTAAATGGAGTGAGAATAAACAAGAAGTGGAATAAGCTACAAGTGTCTTCCAGGGACAAATGTTCCTCCTTGCCATGTGTTCCTCGCTGGTACCTTCTGCAAGGGACAAAATAATTTTATACCAAGGAAGACAATGACACCCTGAGATATAATCAAATGATGCAGTGATGTAAGGGAGGAAGTAAGGGCCCAATAAAAAAGCACAGTAAAGCCAAAGTAACTGTGGGAAAAACAAATCCAGGACAGACACTTTATTTCATGTTTCTGACTCTCATTATTGCCAAAAAGAGGGGTGGAAAGCTCTGTGACCTTTAGCAACATGTCCTAACCACTAGGGCATAATTGATAGCCACTGAATATCTAACAAATCCTGCTTCTTTGAAGAAAGGCAAGTTAAACTGATTAATGGTGGAAATACCCAACAGTCAATGCCTCCTGAAAAATTGCGAAGCGTGGCATTCAGAGGGTAGATGCCACTATGGAGAAGGACCACTTCCAGACTGTCGCTGGATGACACTCAGCAGGTTGCAGCATTACCAGCAAGTTTTCCTCTGATAATCTTAGGGAAGTACTGGGGCTGGGTAAGGGGAAGGTGGTCCTTAAGCATCACACACACCAGAGACCCTGGGGAAAATATACTATGTGTCCCAGGGCTCCTCGTGTCTGGATGCATGTCCTAGCACCACAAGGGAGCAAAGGCAGCCTCAGCCTGAAACCTCCAGTGAGACCTTCCTGGTAGTGCTGCCTCACCAGCAGGAACACTTGGGGAATAAAAGCAGAGTGGGGCAAGTTCCAGTATAGGCGTTCATAGCAAGATTAAGGGTACAGGTGGTATGTGGAAGGTATTCAGACCCTGCCATGCTCCCAACACAGGTGAGTGGGGAAACATATTTTGTCTAGGGGCTTATCCACACTTCCTCTTGTCCTGCTGCTTTCCTCCAGGGAAAACCGCTCTTTAGCAATAGATCTTAACAAATGGCAACCCAACCCGAATTGCCATTTGTTGCGATCAAGCACAAAAGAGTGGTTTTCCCTGGGGAAATGCAGCAGGAAGTGTGGACAAATTGTGACTAATCACTCACCTATGCTGGAATAGAACAAAGTCCTAAGATAAATGTAAAAAGTACCACTGGGGACCAAAATTCAAGAAAATACATTACTGAATGTTATGAAGGTCTTTCAAGTTCAAACATGTCTCTCCAAGCATCTCAGTCCCTTCAAAGCAACAGAAGCCGAATATTACCTATGCCATGCACTGGCTCAATACTTTGTGTTTCTATGGATTCCCATAGTAAGAATCCCTTGGTTCTTACTATAATAGCTACTGGAGTGGGATGCCTCCGTCGCCAATTCACATCCCAACAGGCCAACTTTTAGCTACTGAGTTCAAGAAACTTAACTTACTACCTTCTCCAGGTTCAATTCATAATACCCTCTGTGAACCCAAAAAATATTGAGAAATAGTTATGATTCCACATGGCACATAACAGTCAAACTGTGTTGTTGAACAGAAGTCAGAAAAACATAGTAGCAAAGCGGTGCATGTGTAGCAACCACTGATCTACATATAATCTAAAAATATAATGAAAATTAGAAACACTTAATAACATCATGGTGCTGCCGGTAGCGCAACAAAACTTTCCTTCAAGAACCTGATTTAAAGCAAACAATTTCTGTTCCTTCATAACATTCTAAACAAGTCATATTTCTGGAATATCTGTATACTTAGTCTTACAGTTGATAAATTTACCCCCACCCCCACCCCCATGCTTTTGCTTTTTAGATTTATGGCAACACACATGCCGATTTCACAGTTTAGTTCCTTGGAATCGGAGAGCCACAGAGTTGCTTCTAGCCTTGGAATAATCTCTGCTTTGCACGGCACACATCTGCCCAGTTGATTACACTTCAGTGAAAACGAAAAGCAACCCTGTTTTGGCACACAGCCCCGGGATGCTGGTTAGCTTTCTCAGTCCCTGCCATAGCATCTCATTGCCCTGCTTGCTAGGAGAAGTGCTGCTCACACTGCAACAGCTTCAAAGCAGTGTCATCACAGTGTTGGAGTGGAACATGTCCCCCACCCAGGGATTTGGAGCCTTCTCCTAGTAGCAAGGTATGTTGTACCTAGTAATGCTAATATTTAATGAAATGTTGCTTTCACATTCCTATTTAGTTTTCCTTTAAGAGTTGGAAAAAGAAATCTGATTAAAACAAAGTTACATTTTTTTTAAAAAAGGTTTCCCTTCTTCCTTATTCAGAACTGCAGTATCTCCCCCTTCTACACCCACCCACCCAAAGCAGTTCTTGCAGCCTTCTTGGTTTTAGACAGTTTGATGGAAGCAGTAGGAACACAAAATCCCTTGGATACGGAAAAGGCATTCAAATTAGAAGTAAAATGAACCGTCTGCATTCGTGCCCTTCTGTAGCAGCATCTAAATCCATGTGAATCCAATTCTAGTTAGATCTGCAATATCACTATTCCAGAAGGTCCTGGGAAGAAAAGAGGGATAGATAATACTTCTTGTTAACATTTGATGATCATGATTCTTTGCGGTTTTGCTGTGGCAAATACAACCCACTTAGCCCCCCAGAGATATACAGCTGTTTCTTTTTCAAAGTGACATAAGCCAAAATCACATGCTTGGGGTTCAAATTTATCTTTCTAGCCCATGTACTGCTCAGAAAGATGCATGGTGTGCACACATACACATCAGTTACAATCACTTGCCTCATCAGAATCATCATGGTAGCCCGTTTTATTGGCATCTGGTGTGTCAACGCCATCAAAGCCGTTCGCTTCCGCATGCTGCTGCAGGACAGAGTATCGGTGAACCAGAAACCTAGGGGCATGACAAACACACATGAAATGAACTTGGCCCTATGGGCAAGCATTCTTTGAACAGAAGTGAATATAATGTCCAGAGACTTTTGGAAGAACTTTATATCAGTTGCTGCTGAGACACCATTTCTCTGGCTGTTTTATCTGGTCTAAGCCAATAAACATTGGGTATCTTTAGAACCTATATAGGATTTAAAACAAACAAACAAACAAAAAACCTGGCAGTGCAACAATGCTACATGAATCCATCTGTCATTTTGGGCTAAAGTGTCGTAGGTATGCAGCTGGCATGTAGTTTTATCTCTCCTAGCAAAGTTGTGGAACAGGTATTGGGATGGATGAGGGATGAAGGCAAGAATATAAGAGCCTGCTGGATCAGGCCAATGGCCCATCTAGTTCAGCATCCTCTTCTCACAGTAGCCAACTAGATGTCTATGGGAAGCTCAAAATCAGGCAAGACAGAGGTACTGTGGGCAGGCAAGCCTGCTGATCTAGGAATGTGTGACCAGGGTTGCCATGATCACGTTTGCAGTTTGGGGGTTCTCCTGGACTCAGAGCAGTTTATGGAGGTATCCATGACATCAGTTGTCAGGCACTCCTTATGGGTTGTGGTCAATTTGCCAGTGGCATTCCTTTGTGAAGAAAGTGGATCTGACTATGGTAATCCATGCCCTGGTTACATCAGATTGGGTTATAATGTGCTGTACGTGGGTCTGCTTTTAAAGACAATTTAGAAGTGCCAGCTGGTGCAGACTGCTTGGCCCCCATAAACAGCTGTAGTCTGATATAAAGCCTTATCTGTACTAACTACAGTGGTTGCCAATGTATTTTCAGGTCCAATCTAAAGCACTGGTTGTTAGTTTTAAAGTCCTAAAGCATTTGGGATCTGGCAATTTGAACAATTGCTTACACTTCTGTTTGGGCTCCAAGACCAGCCACAAAGACCTACCACTAAGATCTATCAGGTCGACAAACATAAGAGCACCTTTCAGGATGGCCCTGTCCCTGTGGAACTCCTTCCCACAGAAGCTTCTCTGACTTGTTTTAAATGGGCCTTACTGACTTCACTATCCCAATCTGCTTTTAACTGAATAAGGTTGGTGATTTTATAGTTACAACTCCTGCTGTTTTATGTATGTGTTATGTTACATGGCTACTGTTTTTCTATTTTGAATTGGTTTCATGCTCTTAATTCTGTGGTGGGAGAGTCTCTGGCACTGAAAGGCAGCATAAAAATAACTGAATGATAGTTAAAAGTAAGAATGGTCTTGCCAATCCCTTCCCAAGGCTCACCTTCCTCCACAAACGTATTTCTTAATGATGACTACTCCAGCTACAGCAGTCATAAGCATCAAGCCTATTACAGCCAGGATGACTGGAGTGGAGTTGGAGGAAGTAGACTGCAGAAAGAAAAGAGAGAGATGCATTAAGATTTTATGACAAATTATTAGATCACTTCAATTACCGAGTCATTTCTATAATGATTCTCCTAGCATATTCTCCATACCTCAATAACTTACTCTCTTGTCCTGCATGGATCACAGGAGGATTATAAAGATTTGGGGGGAGAGAATGAAACAGCTGATTTTTGAAAGGGTGAAATTTGACTACTTAGTTCAGAATACCAAACCGCAGCTTCAGCAGCCAATTTGGAAAGCTCATTCATTTTACTGCTTGAACAGAGTCAAGGTTAATATTGGCAAAGCATTTTAAGAAAATCTGCTTCTCAAATATTAACTACAAATGGGCTGTTTTTCAAGCACTCTTTTTACATTGGTTAGATTACTCTCTTTCTCCCTCTCATATATATGGGCAGCCGGCCGCCTCTGAACTATATGCAGCCCCCAGCCCAATTTCAATTGACCCCCTGCATGCCATCACTGCAGGCCTCTGACAAGAGTGATCTGTCACTCCAGCACATTGGGGAGGAAAAAGAGAAGGGGGTTCAGAGAGAGAAAAAGGGATGATTCCACTCACCAGTGGTCTTCCCCTGCCAGCATGTGGCCTCACACAGAATAACCCAAGGATATATGGCCCTTGCCAGGAGAAAAAGGTTGCCCACCCTTCCTCTATCTCTTTGCCCCACTACAGTTCTTTCTGCAGTTTTAAAAACTTACCAGCTGGCTTGAGTTCAAGTAGTTGCTAGTGCATTTTTTCTTCAGATCAGTCTCTTCACGGATGGGATTTTCCCCGCCAACACATTTGTCTCCTGGGATCTTCCGATATCTGAAATTCAACAAGAGTCTCAATAATCTATTATTGCGAAGCTTCTTTTATTAGTGACAGCTCTCCAAGCCACCTAAAATTAGCTAACCCCTTCATGTCCAAGCATCAGTGGGAAGTCGAGAACATGGTTTCACCATTGCCAGGCTGGGTATCCTCAAATCACCTCTCCAACATTCCCCAAAGCCATGATTCTTTCAGGGCTGGGCACCTAGAGGGGTATGCATGTCAGGTCTATAGGGCTGCTGTGGCCTCCAAGAAAACATGGAAGTCACATGACATGAAAGTCAAGAATCCTCAAACAATAAATGCACATGTCATGCTAAATTATTTCAGCTGCTTCTGGTCCACAAAATTTATAAGCCAAGATAGTTCTATCTAGAGAACTATCTCCCCACCCAGTACAGAATACAGAATGAATCATCTTAAATGTATTACAGATGGCTATACTACATCTTCTACTGAGAGATATAGTGCCATGGTCACAACAGCAAGGGGCATATTTTGATTCTAAGGGAGATTATTACTGTTCTAGAAACACAGCGTGTTCAGAGAGAGGAAGAGAATAATTTTATAGCGTATTTGCAGGGCATCAGAATATAGTCCTCTTCCCAGTAGACTACATATATCTGTTTTATAAAAACAAGTACACACAGGACCAAGCGATCTCCTCCATCTATTATAATCTATTATAATCATAGAAAATTACCCGCTGGTCTTTAGCCGCTCTCGCTTCCCATATAGACAAAATTCTAGGTCATGCCCCTTCAGCTCTGGCTGCTCCACACACTTGGAATGGTTTTCTGGGCGGTAGTAGCCAAAATCACTGCATCACAAATCCCAAGAGTAGGAAGACAGACATTAACAACCCACACACAGTATGAGTATCGACTCATGCATCACTTCATTATTGCTGTAACTAAAAGACCTAGTATGTGGTTGCTCAAACTAGAATTATACATTTTTAATGGTTATTCGGGAATTTGGTGATAATACTTCACATGCCTAGTTGTATCACTGGCCCATTATACTGACAGAACATTCAGGAGGAGAAACTACCCTATGATGAAGCATCCAGTTTCTTCAGGGGTGGCAAATACATTTCAGCCCAATAGATGCATTGAGGGTTAGCCATACTGCCAAGAGCCACATGCCAGCAGTGAGTGTGGTTGAAGTGGGTATAGCCAACACACACACACCAAACAGACAAGAAGACAAATGCTGATTAAGTTGGGGCTGCAGAGGGGAGAATTCCCTGTGTTTTTTCTTCCCATTGCTAGCTTGGGGGCTTTCCTTCTACCCTAGTGCTGTAATAGCAAGGAAAAGAAAAATGTCTTCAGGGTCTTAACTCTGAATGACACTGAACCATTGGAATAAATGGTTCCCATGTTAGAAGACATTAGAAGAAAGAGAAAAGGCTTTAGAAGACTTTTCTGTTTCCTTCCTGCAGGAGCTCCTAAAAAAGGCACTGCACCAGAGGGAGATGTGGAGCTTTTCAAAAAATTAAAAAGAGGTGCCAGAAGAAAAAAAGAGGGTTGGACTCGATGGCCCTTGTGGTCTCTTCCAACTCTATGATTCTATGATTCTATGATTCTATGATTCTAGGGTTGTGAGTCACCAAAAATGGCAGGCCACAGGTTTACCAACCCTGAATTATTTCCTACCAAGCATTAGCAATCTAATTTGCTAATATGCAGCACACGTATCCATGGCAATGAATGTGGCCCGGAATGGAAAGCAGATGCAGTGTCAACAATGAACCCATGCAAACTGAAAAATTAGAACAGAAACCCATTTCAGTGCTGCTTGATAAACTGGCTGTGAATGAAAATGTTTTTTAAATATTCAAAAACCAACAGCTGGTGGGAGAAGATGAGAGAGATATTGGGTTCTGATTCCTTCTAGGGCCCTCTAAAACAACCCCACAACCAGACTGACATCAATGTTATTACTGGTTTTGTACAGCCTCAAAATCTATTGTGAGAAATCCAGATTGATCTCTCCATTTCCCCAGCACTCAAAAACCAGTGCTAGGCTAAAACTTGTCCTCCAATTTTGCAAGGTCATTTGCCCCTTTGCAAACTGGGGAGCTGTTTTCTGCACCTTTCACCACTGCTACGTTTGTAGAAATTTGTGTGTGTGCGCACTGCTTGTCTTATTCAACCATATGAGGTGGCTAAGGAACCCTCTTTTTCCCCACTGAGCTCACTTGAAGTAGTTCAGAACTTACACTGGCTTCCATTTCAACAAAACATCCTGGAACACCCACATAACTATGTGATGTCAGCAGCCATATGGATATACCAGGAAGTACTGCTGGGATGTAAGCCAGCATACAGAAAGCTTTCCATGGCTGCAAGTGTGCACAAAATTTCAGCTTTTAAAAACAGCTTCTTAAAGCTTGGGTGTTCCAGGAAGTCCTGCCAAGCTGGAAACCAAAATGAGGTCCATGTTGCTGTGAGTGTGATGCTTTTGTTTACACAACATTTCAAGAGAAAAGCAAGGTGCTTTAGCCATCTAATAAGGTGGTGGTAGTGGAAATATCTGCTTATTCCCACCTTGCTCTTTTTGAAGGCATGCTCAGTTCACACATACACCGCCCCCTTGAGTGGTTTAAAAAAGAAGCCACTCAGGTTTGAGTCCAGCACTGCTCAAGACACACATTTATTGCAGTAATCTGTGTACTCTGGAATATGGCTCTGCAAGTTTAAGGGATGCAAAGGCCATGTTCAGTCTCGTTATTTTCAGGTATGAATTAATCATATACCAGCAAATTCAGTTTGTGCAGTTAAAGTGAATTTGGCACTCTTGCACAATAAACCTGCTTATAATCCCCCCCACCCTGCAAAACACCCTGGGATTTTTCTGGTAACAAAAGGGATGGGGAAATGCACTGGAAAGTGTGAGATGCTGATGTTGTGCAGTATTATATCTGTGCAAACAATCAGGATGAATGCTCAGTTAAACAGGTCATCAGAATGAGCCAGTACATGCTAGAGTCCAGTAGAACAAGCTACCAGCAACACAGTTCTGCTCCCTAATGTCTGCACTATTTTCCGTCTTCTTAAATTACACTCCACCCTTTTCGTTGTTCATTTTTCCACAGCTGAATGCTCCCCACAGAAGTTATCGTGAGGGCCTTTTAAAAGCAGCACACACAAGCAAAGCTGAACATCAGACGTGACTATTTACTGCAAAAGCTGGTGGCTTAAATGAGAAGCCATTGAGATGTAGTGTAGAGGATTTCTGCCACTTTTGTCTCAAATAAATGGCGTAGGTATGTGCAACTGCATCTGTTTGTGAAAGATCTGCCTGCTTAAAAGCTTGCATGCTCCTTCAGCCACAGAAAATAGACCAGCATTAACCTGCACGTCTTGTTATACTGATAATGGAATCTGGATTGCAAAATGTGGCATTTCTTCTGAGAACCCCCAAGTTTCACCACATTTAATCAATGTTTAATCATTTGACTGCCTCCTTGAAAAACCTCACACTTATAGAGTCATAAAACCACAATTCTACATATGTCAGGAATGGGGAACCTGTGGCCCTCCAGATGTTGCTAGGCTGCAGATCCCACTAATCATGCTGGTTGGGCTGATGAGAGCTGCAGTCCAACACCTGGAGGGCCACAGGTTCCCCATCTCACTATTTCAGAAAATGAACTGCAGAGTCCGATTTAATATTTCAGTGAAGCTCAAAGGTGGCATGGTGGGAGTATGGTCACTCCCCAGGCCATTTCAGAACAGAAAAAAACACAGCCATGGAAATAGATTATGGGAGGAACTCTCCAAACATACCAGAGGAAGTCACCTAAAGTGCAAGTGCAGACAGATGGTTGCTTGGTCACAACGTAGTCTCGGCCATTCTGACAGAAAGATGACTTGCGAAGGCGCAGGTATTCCTCCTTGTAGCCCAATATGCAGCCATCTGCAGGGTCATTGGGATTGCTGGAGTGAGCCAACCACTTTGTGTAGTCCTTCTCCATACCTAAGGAGGGAATAATCACCAGATTCCTGAGATAGCCAAAAACTACTAAAATTCTGTGGGCTTTTCTGTAGAATTCTGTGGTGCAATCAGCCACAGAACTCGGGCGGGTACTCTCTGGAATTAAGGGGAGCTGCCCTGTAGCTTTCTCAAGTGCGGCAGCCTTTGTGGGGGACAGGACATATCACATGGCTCCCCATGCCCCACCACCCTGTTACCCACTGCAGCAGAACAAAAAGAGGGGGGGAGGGAGGAGCGTGAGAGGAGCGTGGCCTGGCGTAAATGGCTTTTTTTCAGAGAGGGAGAAGGAACAGAGAAGAAGGGTATGCAATATTTATGAGCCCTTGCATTAGTGGGGGGGGGCGATATTCCAAATTATTCTTGGAGAAAAGTTTTGCTCCCCCCGCCCACAAAGAACTTGAGTAATTTCCAAATTAATCTGAGGCAAGCTTCCTCATCTCTGGAGGAACTAACTTTTTTGTAGGGATTACACATGAAGAGGCAGCTAAAAGACCTGACCTGTGCATCCTCAAACACAGTATTAGACCAGCAGCCTATTGAAGATGCTCTAATTCATGGGTAGACAAACTAAGGCCCAGGGGCCGGATCTGGCCCAATCGCTTTCTAAATCTGGCTCACGGACGTCCAGGAATCAGTGTGTTTTTACCTGAGTAGAATGTGTGCTTTTATTTAAATGCATCTCTGGGTTATTTGTGGGGCATAGGAATTATATTAGACATAATATAATGTTTGAAGACTGGCAAAGATTGTGGAAGAAAGGGGTCAAGTTCACTGTATGTACAGTGTTAAAGGAAAATACAATGAAAATGATGTACAGATGGTATTTGACTCCTGTAAAACTAGCAAAGATTTGCCATAACAGTGATAATCTATGTTGCAAATGTAAAGAAAAAGAGGGTACCTTCTATCATATGTGGTAGACCTGCCCCAAGGTGAAAGACTTCTGGGAGAAGATTTATAACGAATTGAAAAAAATGTTGAAATACACATTTAATAAGAAACCAGAGGCCTTTCTTCTTGGAATAACAGGTTTGGAATTGCCCAAAAAAGATGTTAAACTATTTTTGTATGCCACAACTGCTGCTCAAATTTTATTAGCCAAGAATTGGAAAACACAAAAAGTACCAACAGTGGAAGATTGGCAGATGAAGATGATGGACTTTTCGGAGCTAGCCAACCTTACTGGAAGAGTCCGTGACCAGAAGGAGGATTACCAGGAGGAATGGACGAAATTTAAAGACTATTTAGTTAAATATGTTAAGTTAATTTAATTGGAAAAGCTTGCAAATATCAGATAGGTTTAGGATTTAAATATGTAATGTGATGAAACAATATGTTTAATGCCAAATTGGAAAGAAAGATGTTAAGTGATTAAGTTAATTTTATAATAATATTGGTTTTGGAAAACCGTTAAAATGATATACACTGAAACTCAACCGGGGGATACGAGGAAGTCACTTAACAATATTACAAAGATTGGCCTAAATACGGTGGAGATTTATGTTTGTTTGTTTGTTTGTTTGTTTGTTTAATTTTTTTTTTTGAAAATTAATTTAAAAATTTGAGGGGGAAATGGAATTAGTTAATTCCCCCCCCAAATATAGTCTGGCCCCCCCACAAGGTCTGAGGGACAGTGGACCGGCCCCTGCTGAAAAAGTTTGCTGACCCCTGCTCTAGTCGCATCACATTTTTAAGATTCACAGATACAGTCAAGACAATTTGAAGACAAGCAGCTGGCTAACATTCTTATTTGTTATAGAGGAAGAGATTACTCACACTCCCTGTTGAGAAGATCATTAAAGTCAATAGTATAGGAGATCCACTGGCGAGACAGGAAGCTCTCTGTAAATCCCCAGATGCTAACATTCATCGATTTTGCTCCTGGCTCTGATGCCAGGCCAGTAAACGTCATAGGATCCTTACTGAAAACGTAGTTGTGCCAGCACTGCCCTTCGTCTGTGGAGAACCTGAAACAGATAAGATTAGGAATGGAGGTTTGGCATTATCACTGTGGTTAATTTAGACTGACAGAAATCCTAATGAAGCTTAAGGCAGCCACTCTCAAATACTGGGGATGCAAGATAGGTGACAGGAATATTAGACTAAACTACATGCTTACTTGCCACTTTGCAGATCAGAACTTTGGGTTCCGCTGTACTGTGTCTGTTTCTGGGCACCACAATTTAAGAAGGATATTGACAAGCTGTTCAGAGGAGGGAGACCAAGATGATCAAGGGGCTGGATACCAAGCCTTATGAGGAATGGTTTAGGGAGTTGGGTGTGTTTAACTTGGAAAAGAGGAGTCTGAGAGGGTGGCATGATAGCCATGTTTGAATATCTGAAGGGCTGTCACATGGAAGAGGGAACAAGCTTTTTTTCTCCTGCTTCAGAGGGCCTTAGGACCTGAACCAATGGATTCAAACTACAAGAAAGGGGATTATGACTAAACTTTAGAAGAAATTCCTGCTGTTAAGAGCTATGATTCCCTTGGAAAGTGGTGGACTCTCCTTCATTGGAGGTTTCGAAACAGAGGCTGGAGGGTCATCTGTCAGAGATGCTTTAACTGTAATTCCTGCATTGTATGGGGTTGGACTAGATGACCTTTGGTGTGCCTTCCAAGTCTACAATTATATGACTTGACTTCTTTGCAAATGAGTGCCAGGAAAAGGTGATTTGCAATGGAGAAGTGCACGGGGACTTCTTCTGTCTGTTGCTTTTATCCTAGCTGGAATTCCAAACATATTTATGTCTGCCTATTCTGGACGAGAGCTTGTTTTAAAAATGTCAATAGGGATAGAAATTAGTGGTTCTTCTGAAATCACTCCTCTCAGGCAACAGCTTCGTGGTTAGGATAGCCTCATTCCTTTCAAAAATTCTAAATTGAGAGCAACCCAGTTTCTTCCTTTACATCATTCTACAGCAGTATTTCATAGACTTGGGTCCCCAGCTGTTGTTGGACTACAACTCCCAGCATCCCTGGCCACTGGTCCTACTAGCTAGGGATGATGGGAGCTGTAGTCCAACAAACAGCTGGGCCCTTAAGTTTGAGTAACACTGTTCTATAGGGATAGTTCCAGGTGACGTAACAGTGAGGAAGTGGGCACTGAACTTCTCATGTCCTCCCACCACAGAAGTATTAACAAAATTAAGTTCCTGCATACTTAATCACATTGATAGGATGATCCGTTTGCTCAACAGCCACAATGATGCCCCCAGAATCCAGGATGGCATAGTGATGGGGTCCTTCAAGCATCCGTGCCCAGGTGTAGCCGCCATCATCCGAAATGTAAACATCTGGGTTTATTATTGAAATGGCATCCCCAACACTTCCTGCAACACAAAGCCATTGCCAATACAATGGATATGAGTACACTACAGTTCTCTCATGAAGGTCCACCACTTGTATTCATTCCTAGGTTCACCCACCCTTACTGGTAGAAGGAAAAAAACAGATCTGTAAAATACAGAAACCAGTAGACAATTCCAAGTAAAGCCTCATCCTTTGCCAATTATCTTACATCGTATTATATGTGCATAAGGATAATTCATTACCGTGAGCAATGACAATTCCAACAGCATTGGGCTCAGACAGAGGAGCCATTGGTACATTCAGCTTCTGGGAGATGCTGTAAGATGCATGGATGTGAAGGCTGCACTGTAAATGCAAGACAACCCCAGTAAGAAAAGGAGGCAAAATGGAGAAGCATTAACATATTTGGACTTATTAAAAGCAAAACAACCTAAAATGCTTGAATTTCAACAGAATTGCCACAAAGGAGAACCTTTACTGGTGCAAATCCAAGGCAAACTGAACCCAAGCTTCCAAGCTTTATTAGCTGACAAACTGTGTTTTGAATAACACATGGCCCAAGGCAGCTTCTTCCACACGTAAGCCTGTTCCCTTCTGTTGTTGTTGTTTTAAATCAGGCTGAATTACAAACTGTTTTCTGTTGCATAGTTTGGGCCCAGCTCACTGCACAAAGTTTGTTGAGCATTCCACTCCTCTTGCAAAACATCCCTAAAAATATGCTTTACTTTTAATTTTATTGCAAGTTAGATGCACTAACCACGCAACATGAGATAATACAACTATTGGTAAGCCAATTTCCTAATGAATATTTACAAAGGCTACAGCAACTTTAATACATTTAATGCTATTTCAAGACCTATAAATGTGGTCTCTAACTATGATTTTGCACACCCTGTACCACCACACCCTAATCTTGCACTTGAGTCATACACTCAATTTACTAGGAAGCATAGTTTTCAGTAGAACCAACTTCCAAACAAGTAACTTAGAACTATAACTTGGCCTGACAATATCATCCTACATCCAATATATAAACATACAAACCTTTTCCTTATTTTTGGCGGTTGAGTCACATTTGGCATTTTCAGGTTTCCTCAAGTGCACCCACTCTCCTCCTTGATCAAAGGTAATCACCGATTGGATGGAATTATCTGATTGAGAGGAGAAAATTTAAGTATTTGTGCAATAAATTCTATACAACATACTTACTCTCTGAGTAAAACCCAATGCAGTGCTAAGTCTCGCATTCCATCAGTGCAAGGATTTTACTGTGAAATGGAACATTATCCCCCTCTCCTCCTCCCATATGCCCCCTAAATCTGTTCCATGGGTTTCCCCAACCCTCTGGATTATATCTGGGGAGGGTGTGGAGTAAGTGCTGAAGTGGGGGGGAATGTGGGGAGGGGGAAGAGCCCTGTGGCACAAGTGGAAATTCTTTCACTAAAGGTTGAATGCCACCTGCTATAATTAAAAAAATGGATGCTTTCTTTTATTCCCATGTCATGTAGCAACATTCCAAGCATTCAAAAAGACAATACATCTTGCAAAAGAGGACCAAACACTTCGAAAATTGAGTAAGACTGCAAACCTAGTCCCACACTGCGCTGCTGAGACTCATTGGGTTGGCTCCTGCAGCACACCGGCTGAGTTCAATGTCAGGTCATCAGGCATTATTTCAGGGACAACCTTTCCAGTACTCACAGCTTGATATTAAAGCTCCAGCCCCTGTGTCATCTTTCTGCTTCAAATAAGACACTCCTGATTCCCATCTATAGGAACTGTCAGCCTTACAACACAGTTTAACATATGAGTTTGGCTTCCTTACTTCACTCAGACTGTCTAAAGAGATTCAACCTGGGCTGAAACTAAGTAACTCTCTGGTACGCATGGGAAACATGTGGCTCTCCAGATGTTGCTGGACTACAATTCCCATCATCCCTGTCTCTTGACCATGCTTGCTGGGAATGATAAGAAGTGACTATACGAAGAGGCACAGGTCCCCCATCCCTGCTTTACAGGATGGGGTATTAACAGACATAGTAAGCACAGGAAGAGATCAATGTTGATTCCTATTAACTTCGTAAAAGCAGAATTGAGACCAGTACTGCAAGACAAGTGAACTTGTCCTCGGCAAACTAAGACAGTAACGTGATTGTTTCCTTTACTCAAAACACCTATGAGAAAACCTAGCTTCAAAACAAGCTATTTCAAACAAATTAGCAAACATAAGCATTATGGATCTCCCAAATGGATCTCCAAGAAATGCCTCAGTTCCATCTCACTGAAAAGTTTCAGCTACTTTCCTAACAGATTCCTCAATCTTCAATTACAGCCAATCTAGAATCCATCAGTCCCCATGACACCATGCAGAAAGTGAGTACTGACCCTCTGAGAGCACACTAGTGATGTAGATGCCTCGCAAGGAGGTCACATTGGTGAAGTCCGTCTCTCCCCCTGTGGTGGTATAGAGATGCCTTTCTAGGGACTTCGAATATATGATGCCTTGGTCATCAGAGGTGTAAATTGTCCCATACCCAGTATCTGCAAGAAAAACAATAGGTTGCAGGGGGTGAGGGTCTTCCAGAGAGTCCCTAAGGAACGGGGCTCTCATCTCAGTATTATCAACATCACCATTAATTTTAGATTACCAGGTCTAGAAAGCTGGTAGGCCTATGCTTATGCCAATTTCAAAGCTGCCTAAAACTATTACAATAAACTGGATTAGGAAATAAATAGGGACTATATGAAGCAAATGAACAGGGCCACAGGGTTCTTGACAGAACAAGAGTGAGAACAGCGGGGTCTCAAGTGTGTGGACGCAACTACAACTGTCCTTCCCTAAGGGATGATCTGGCAGTCTCTTCACCAAGTGTATGATTCAAATGCTTTATCATTATGAGTGCATATATGTTATTTCAAGGATTAACCTTAGGTGCCTATATGCTATACAGTTCATCTTCACATTTTAAGAGCTGGTTCTCTTCATGAACCATACGAAGTTTTGCAACCCACATCAAATGCATGTTGAAATTCAGAACTTTTTACGGTTTTTAAGTATACACCACACCAAACTCCCTTCTCTCACCTCCAGGCTCATCTACATGCATGAATACCATGTCATCATTAGCTGCCAAGATAGAGTAAAACTGCTCTTGTCCAACTGAAGGAAGTTGTGCCATGTTCCAGGTTTCTCCATGATCCAATGACACATGGATTCGTCTTGTATTGCCCTAGTGAAGGCAATGATAGTGTTGTTGAATTACTACCACATCCTACATACTATTGGTGTTTATATAGGAGGTTATTCCTGACGGATACCAGAAATTCACACTACATAGTCTTGATAGTATACTAAATAAGTAATCCCCTTCAATAACTCGCTTATTTATCGACCTGATACTATATATTGGGATGGGAGCTGTAGGGGCACTTCCTCACTGCATAGTGAACTGTTATCAAGGAGTGAAATCACTGAGTGGAATTTAACATCAAGCTCTTCCAGTCGTTCCATCTGTACAGGCATTCCAGGTTGCCATTTCTGCACTGTTTGAGGGTTTATCCTGACATCCCACCAAGCAAATTTTGGGGGGCACAGGAGTTGAGGGAGGGAAGCTCCGTTGCGCAAGTAGAAGTTCTTGCACAGGGTTTCTGCTGACAGGGCTGATTAAACTGAAAAATCAGTGGTGCTAAACCTTGGCCTGGATGCCTGATCAGTCAGCCACTTCTGGCCACTTCTACAGCTAGAAGGTTGGCCAAGGATGAAAATGGCCCTCAGACTAGAAAAAGCCACTTGCATTAAAAATGAACTAATATACATCAACATTCTTCAAACACTGGTTCCTTTGCTTTCTATCATAGAGGGGTGGGACCCACTGTAAACTAAACTCCTGGGGCCTATGGAAATATAAAAAGAGAACAGTGAATTTCCTACCTTTTCTGTCATCACAGATGCAAAGAGGAAGCGTCCTCCAAGACCAAAGGAGTAGATTTTGCTTCCTATAGTCTTGAATGTCTTCCCAAAGTCTTTGGTCCTTTTCAGCTCAAGTAACCCAAGATCAGCTTCTTGTGAAAGAGGAAGTATATGAACATTGTCCCGATTAGAGAGATAGAGAAGCCCTCTTCATGAAATACACACAGCAAAGAGATTTCATCCACTGAAGGGGTTGCAAGGCCACACCACTGCCCCATAAGCCTGTAGTTTCCCATCCCTAACCCCCCCCCCCAATGTCCCTGAAATGTCAATGAGCCTGGAAACTTGCAGCAAAAAAAAGTCTAATTGCATAGGCTACTCTTTTGCAGGCATCTGTGGTCAAACATGCAGGGGGTAGGCCTTAGGAGCTGGACTCTGCAACTGCTTCAACATGTGGTGCCCTTTTCATGTGAGTAATGTGTGAAAGTGCTGTAGAGCAAATGAAAAAAACAGCTTCAAAGGCCTTATTCTTTAAAGCAGGGCCATGCTAGGTCCATTTGAGGTGCTGGCTAGCCTGCACAGTGCTGATCTTGTTTAACACATAGGTAAGCTGCTCTTCGGTTTAGCAGAACTCCAAGGATGGCTCATAATAATAATAAAGCACAGTATCCAAATACAAAATAAAACTCAACATAACCCAACATAACCCAAAATTTGAGCAACACCATCAGAAGAATCAGTAAAAATAACTGATTAAAGCCATCCAGCTTAGATTAGGGCCTCTGGTGAAGACTGTGTTATTTAAGCATGCTCAGTGAGAGAAGGTGTCCGTTACACATTGTGTTCCCAAACTGCTTAAAAAGGGTGAGAACCAGCACTTGAAGCCATCTTCAGAAATGGACTGTCCACAGGTGAGTTGTTAAAAACTATCATGTATCATTATTACTTGTTGTACTTGGGAATACTTACTACAAGAGCCATTCAGGAATGTGGTGAAGAAAATGGTCATGCCAGAGCCCCTGGAAAAAGTCAAGGGGAAGAACACTGAGAACAAAATCCTGACAGCAAAGAAGTTAGCTAATTCAACAACTGGCAACAGAGAGCCACTTAACTGCAAAAGTCAGGGATGAAATCTGGGACCCTCTATACAGAAGGCAGGTGCTCTACTGCCAAGCTATTGGATCTACTCTCCAAACAGCCCTGGTACCCTGAAGGTGAAAATGATCCAAAGCTGGAAAATTTAACACACAGCTACCAAGTTGCCCCTTTATATAGAGCTCTTCCTGCATATGCAAAGTGTTCAAGTACTGCAAACATCAGTGTATGCAGAAGGCATTACAGCAACTTTTCCAAAAAAGCACACAATACAAACATGACCACAAGAAGGGCTATTAGGGACCAAGAGAATTTCATCCCGAAGAGAGTTATCTTTCTGTTTTTGCAAGCAGCCAGCTCTAGTGTAATCAAGAGAACATTAAACTACTAACTCTCCCTGGGGAACATGTTTGTTTTTCAGCTGCTCACCATTTGGCCAGGCAAACATCTTTGTGTATTTCTTTCCATTTCTCACCAAAGGTCTTAGATACCCACAGGCTGCCCTGAAAACATTAAGAAAGGATTATTCATCATCTGCTTAGCATTTTCAAGTCTGAGCTAAAAATATTCATTAAAAAATATTTTAGCCCAGATTTCCATTGAAAATGCTCAAGGTGGTTTACAATCCAACCAACATATTAAAAAATAAAATGCAAAATAATCAGTAAGGCAGAGAAAAGAGGCAGCAGAGAAAACATATCTAACATATCACAGAGCATAAGATTAGCAATTTGGTAGACCAATTTTTTGCCGGAAAACACATCTTTGCACAGCAGTGGAACACCATCAGAGAAGGGTCAAGATGTGACTCCCATTGAGAGAGTAACTGAAGTGTTGGTGAGCCCACAGAGAAGGCTCAGTTGTGTACAGCCAAGAACAACTCAGATGTTGGTGAGACATGGAAGAGAACCTCCATAAAAGATTTTAAGGACAGGAAAGCTCATATGGGAGAGGACAATCTTTTAAACATCCTAGTGTCAAATCATTTAGGACTTTAAAGTTCATTATCAACACTTTGAATTGGGGCCAGAAACACAACAGAAGGCAGTAACTGTCTGGACACAGTTTCTTGACCAGCTGAGGCTTCCGTACTTCAGTTCTGCCACTGAGTCAGACTGTATCTCTTAAATAAGCTTGATTCACCTATATATAGAATCTCATAGTCCTGTTAGAAAAGAGCTTCATGCAGCCAATGCAATGAGTTTCATTTAAAATATACCCCACACTTTCATTATGTAACACAGCACTTAGGGCAAAGCAGTAAGTATAACCGTACAACTGCTGTATTGATGAGACAGAAACTATGACGCTGCCAATTATTACCACAAGGGGTCACACAAGAGCCAAGCCCTCCTGCCCACCCACTCAAATATACACTAAGAGCCTCTCCAGACTGCAGCTTTTTTGTGGGTGAATTCTGCAACATGTCACTGATGCAATAATTGTGGTGGATTGATACTGGGCCATCCATCATTCCACTTTATTAGTTGTTCTGCAATGCTTCCCCAGTATTACACCATTATTGCTGTTTGGAGCAGTACTCTTGCACTACAGTATCATAAAAGCAGGACAAAAACTAAAGCAAAACATTTGTGGTATAAAAGGTTACAAGGATTTCAACAGGACATTATGGGATAAGCTGAAAATGAAGCAGTGTACCCACTCTAGAACTTTTTCAGGTTTAAACAGTATTGAAAGTGGGATCAGGGATAACAGCCCCAATACCATCGTAAGTCCAAATCATCATGAATGCATAATAAAAAGGATGTCTGGAGGAGCCCTAAATGGCTTCTTGGAGCCTAGATTCAGTGCCTAAATTACCAGTGAATAAGTGAACCAACAGCTTTATTCTTCCCAAATCCTTACCTCAATACTGAGGGCCAACAACAGATCAGAATTCTGAGGGTGATAAATTATTTGAGTTGAAGGATGGAAAGGAATATCTGTCAACTGGAAGTTCTTAGCAAAATCAGATGATCGAAATATTCTTCCTGTATGGTATGGTCTAGGTCTGTCCCCCGTCAGTATCACCTAGTCAGAAAAATAAAGATCAGTGTCCCTTCTCAACATATCTGTGCTTCTAGTTTATCACAAATAAAGAAGTCACCTGAAGCTATTTGAAACATTGCAGTTTTGAAGTTGGCAGAAACCAGAATCAAAATCCCAACTGTGTTCCTCACAGAATTCCTCACTAACCCTTAGTGTTTCTTGTGCTTATGCTCCTTGTGCAAATTTGCTGTGCAAATGGACTGCTTCACTAGGATATGAGTGCTTAGCTGAACTCCATTAATTTTTTTAATACAATCTAAAAGGATGTAACATTTTTTCTCACATCCATCTGGAAGTCATGTGGGAATAAACCAAACCCATAAAGACCAAAGGAAACAGTGATGACCCGAATAAAACCAATGATGTTGGTGTAAACATTATTTCTGTTTCGGAGCAAACTAACGAGTCCAGAAAAAGTAGTAGAAACCCTATAAACCACCACCAATCATTTGACTATTAGAAATATGTCTTATGCAACCTGCTTTAGGATCAAACTTTGTACAGCACACTACAGAATGTTCTGCCAAGGAAACTGAGCTGCTCTGAGGACGAGACTTTGTGAAAATCACACAGCCATGCCTAGAACACTGTGTGATTGCGTAGGTACTGTAACGGTTTGATTTAATCTACAATCAGGTAAACTGGAAAAAGCAGGTAATGGCTCCAACATGCAACCAGGAAGCATCAAGCAGGATGCTATTTCTCAAGTTCATATAGCAAGTCAGTGGAGAGTAGGGTGGATAGGTAGGTAGGTAGAGATTTTGTGGCAGAAATCTGTATTCCATAGATATGATATGATATGGACAACTAGGCTATATTGTGCAACACTGTAAACTTGTTAAGCAGCTGGAGAAATAGGAACAAAGCCCACATCCTACCTTCCCCGAATTTTCTGGTCCAATGGCCATTCCAAATTCTGTCCGGATGAAAGTGTTGTTAATGAGATCTGTAATGTCTACGAAAGTTTTCCCATAGTCTTCACTACAGTGCAAAAAAAAAAAAAAGACATTGTAAGTGTAAAAGCTCCTCAGTACAGGATAGTTTTGCAGATGCAGCCATTTGTGTCTGGAGGCCTCTTAAAACAATAGAACACACCAAAAAAATGATAGAAGGAACCAAACCATTTTATGGTCACCCTGTGGAGGTCACTTAACAGCCCTCGTAACCTTTGTTTCAATAATGTGGTGAGCCTATGTTTGTAGTAAAGTTTCTGACACTCGCAAAGTTGTTGAGATTTTTAAAGAATTTTTCACCCAAACACCAGGACCATAGTACCATACTGTGGGCTTGCCATATTTCATAAAGTAAAAATCTAGGCACAAAAATTGTTGAGCTTCGGGAAAATCGCAAAAACAACAATGCTGATATGGGTTGCCATACCCCGGATTTTCTGCCTGGACCCTGCTTCCGCCTGCAGTGTTCCAGGTATGTCTGGGATATTCCAGATGTATGACAACCCTACCATAGTAGCAACATCTGAACATGTAAAAACTAATACAGGATACCTACCTGTGAAACAGGCAGGACAGCTTCTTCAGATGATCACAGTGATCTGGCTGGTGTACAAGGCAGTTCTTAAAGTAACCTGGTACTAGGCCATTTAAGGCTATGTACACTAAAAAAACAGTATCTTGTACCTAGCTGAAAAATGTACTGGTGGCTAGGACAGGGCTTTCAGCACTGTTGTAATATGCTGATGCAGAGCTGTTCTGCCCAAAAGCTGGGCTGTACTAGCTGCAATTTCCAAACCAACCTCTGGGATAGGCCCACATGCAGTGCACTGCAATAGTGCAGTCCAGGGGTTACCAAATCATGCACAACTGTGGCCAAGTTATCCCTGTCCCAGAACAGCCATACCTAGCGTACTAGCTGAAGATGGAAAAAGGTATTCAGTCTTTAATTAGCTAGAACATTGCTGCTTATGCTCTGTTTTTTTAAGGTAACCTATTACTTTCCCTACTCACTTTATATTGAATGTTTTAATACAACTCCTCAAAATGGACACCTGCACTTCCTCCTTGAACTTTGGTTTGTAGACCATCTCCCCAGAGCTAACTGCCCATGCTTACAGCTCTTTGGCAACTTGTAAGAGAGTTAAACAGGAACGCGTCTGAGGTAGTGACGTCAAGCACTTCCAGCTTCAAAGCCAGGGAATCAATGGAGGTGCAAGGATGATCATTTATTAAAGGGAAGCCCCTCAGCAAAGAAAGTTGCTTGTTTATCGACAGCCAGTTACTAAAAATCCACAAAACAGCATTCAGTCTAAAAGGAGGAAACACTAGTGAAAGTAATCATGTGCTGGGGAACACCCAAGAGGGCAGGATGGACTTCGCCTGGCATCTACAAGAAAACAAAGGCAGGGCCAGGTAAATATTCCAAGGGAGGGACTTGTTCAGTGTGAAGCTCCTTGCTCTATATAGTAGCCATAATGTACAAACTAACCCTACAAGTTCCACATGTAACTAGCCAAGACTCCCATAAGAAGTCTTGGCCTCTTGCAAGACTAACTCTACCCAGCCATGCTATCCCTACACTTTCAGAAGCCTCGAGTTAGAGACCTGCACATGGCAAAGAGTGCCTAAACTTTTTCTAAACTAATAACAAAGGCTAGAGTCTTTCCCAGTTCTCTTTCTCAGGCATTTTAAATTTGTCACACTTTGTATATGTGAGCCATTCTTAAGCATGGTCACTTGTAAGCCTATTCCAGCTGTCGAAATGGGCAGCAAAATTTGGTGAGTGCCTGAACTTCTCAGCTGCCCTTTACCTTTCCCAATGCTCCTGGGAAAAAGGGTGCCACCACTGCACACCACTCTCAGCAGATGCTACTCCTAGCCAAAGGGAATTGATCTTAAGACTTGCTGTTTGTGGTGCAACTGATTTTCTCCAGCTGCTAAAAAAGAGAAGCTCAGCCGCACCAAAGAAACAAGGAAGGAAAGATCTGTCTGGCTTCTGTCTGGCAAGGAACCACACCTAAAGAAAGTGCAGTTTGGACTGTGGTTCACACAAGCTCTATCCCAACAGGAAGCATGGGGAAATATAAGAGAGGTGAGCTTTTCAAACCCTCTCAAGCTTCTTGACACCAGTAGCAGCAGTCAGTAAGGAGCTTACTCCTGTAGGATTTCCAACAGGCAGGCAGAAGGGGGATGGCTTATTTACAGTCCCTTAAGGCAAGCTAGATAATAAAGTAGCATATCCATTGCTTAAAAGGCAGAGATAACTGCCTCTGACAAAGAATACACCACTTAGTATATGACTTATTATTAAACCAGCAAATCCCTCCATGATTGCTCCTGGGCTTTTGGTCAGCTTGTGCCTCTTTACATGTCAGAAAGTTGGACTCTCCCAAGACAGGACAGACCTCAGGATGCAACACTGCCCATTTATTCAACCTGCTGTTCATCACTGGCTTTGTAAAGAGGGTGACCTGTCACTAGTTTAGAAGCCCTGTCCCTAACCACTGTACATAGGCAATGTGAGGCTGCTCACAAATCCTCATATATAAGAATGGGCAGCAAACTCTTGGCTTCATTACAATGTGCATTTCAGTTCATAGACTTTCACAACACAATGCTCTCACCTTCTGTAGAGCTTAGACTGCCCGAAACTCATGATTACCAGAGGTATCTGAAATGTGGTCAACACAAGAATAACCTGGAAAGAGAGAAACCTGTTAGCAACAATAGTCTGAGAACAACAGCCAGCACGCACACTGTCTAGAAGCCAGGTAACTATCACATCCCAATAAGGACAAATTCACATATTTGGGGTACATCGCTGAGCTAACACAAGTTTACGATTTTAATTGGGTTTATTTTGGCATGTTGGGTTGCTGTCATGCATATTTCATCACAAGTACAAATCACAACACATTTTTAAAAAATGTTTCAGAAACATTATAAACTTGTGTGGAAGGATTTATAAAGGTCAGCTGAATACACCAACATTCACTAGAATTCATTTTGCATTTATTTTTTTTAATGCTATGTCTTATCTTTGCAACTTCTTTTATTCTGTTTGATGACATTTTAGAAAAGCTACTTCTTAACAAAGTCACCCGTGCTTTGACATCCTAGCTTGAAGTGTCAAGGTGTTTTTTCCCTAAGAGAGAAAAACTCGCTTAATCCCTGGTACACATAATTGGCCTGACACAGGTTTCTTAGTTAATAGCTAATCTCTCTGACTACAGAACAATATAAAATAAAAGACGTTACTGTAGCCCAAAATTGTACCATAATCCCTTTGTATATCTGCAGCCTGGTAAACCTGGTAAGTTAGGGCACATCATATTGCATTTTGGAATTATCACACACTGTCATAAAATTGGATTCCGAATCCAATTTTATCTTGCTCTTATCATGTTTCTCTAAGGCTGTCATCCAAACCCCACTTACCTGGAAGTAAGCCCCAATGAATTCAATAGGAAATACTTCTGAGTAGCCATGACTGGCATTGCACTGTTAGCCATTAGGCAAGAAGCAGAAACAGCTAAACTCTAACCAAAAGAGGAAGTTTGCTGATAAATAGTTTACTTTAAAAAAAAATGGAGGCAGGGGTGAGTCTTAAGAGATGGACAGCTGGACCACTCTGGCAGTTCAGCTGAGATATTAGTTCTATTAGGCTTCCTTCTCCCTCAACTGACACCTGGTATCAGTCATGCAACAGGATGCAGCAGAGGGAGAAATGGGAAGCAGAAACCAACAATATCTATATAGTGCAATTCTTCAGTATGCCTGGAACATTGGTTGTTGCTTACACTTTCAAAGAGAGATGCATTTTTCTGTGCCGGATGTGAAGAAAGAGGCGGTGAGTACTTCCTCCTCCTCTGCAAGACTTCAGTATTGAAGCAATTCTCACCTCAAGTCTGGATGGGCAGTTAGACACTTCTTACCAAATCCAGAGTGAGTCACCCAATATACACAACACCTACACTGTGTCCCTTCTTCCTTGGCCATGAGTAGGAAGGTAATAGCTAAAAGAAGAACCCAAATGGCTTGCAACACCTACATCTGAAGAGGATCATTATTCATGACCCATCAAACAGGAACAACCCTACTTTTCCATGTGGGAAGATTAAAGTAAAACTATCCATTATTGAGAGTACTGAGTCATGCACTTGGAGGAATTATTATTTCACGTGTTGTGCTTTTGTTCCTTTCGAAATTAATATTTAAAAATCCATTCAACCTATCTGTATTACTTACCCCAGTGTTGTCACCAATCCAGGATAGAGTCACTGAGCCACTGAGATCATTGAAGACACGCTGTAAAAGCAATTAGAAATATAATTCAGTCCTCTAGTCTTCCATCCAGTGCCAGAAAGGAAACAGTCTCTCCCAATTTCCCCTTCACTCTAATCATGGTAACAAGCAGTTCCTGGACACAAATTTAGGATCTTTATAATCACATTGCCTCATATGTGCCCTATGTGAAAAATAATAGCTTACTGAGCTTCAGGGAACACAGCATACAACCCAGAAGCTGATCCAACAGCGTCTCTGTACTACTATGGTTTAGATTTAATTTCCTATGCAAGGGTTTGAGTGGATGAAATTCTCATAAGGAAATGACCCAAAATAAGCTCTCCTAGATATGTCTTGCTGGCATTTAATATATTGCCATATGGATCTTCAGTCCTTTTACTCAGGATATCACTGGATTTTTGCTGACTCCATAGAACTGGGGAAGAGAGTTCATGCAGGGACTCCTCCCACAATCCTGTTCATAATAAAATCCCTCAAGCTGACATGTCAAGCAATAAGGAAGAGGTGCAGAATATAGTACTGTATATAGTTTTAGTCTCTGTAACCCATGAAGGTGTAGCTATCAGTGTAGAAGAGAAACTGGAAGCAGCACTAGCCTCATGGATTTGTAGAGACTTCCTCAAACCAGTCCATGTAATTCTTGGAAATCCCTGAGTATGTTACCACCAGGAGCTTTTGATCACTTTGGTTACTCTTCTATTACAGTGGTACCTCGGGTTAAGTACTTAATTCATTCCGGAGGTCCATTCTTAACCTGAAGCTGTTCTTAACCTGAAGCACCACTTTAGCTAATGGGGCCTCCCGATGCCGCCGTGCCACCGGAGCACGATTTCTGTTCTCATCCTGAAGCAAAGTTCTTAACCTGAGGTACTATTTCTGGATTAGCGGAGTCTGTAACCTGAAGCGTATGTAACCCGAGTTACCACTGTATTATTATTATTATTTTATTTATTAAATTTCTGTACTGCCCTTCATCCAAAGATCACATGGTGGTTTACATATATAAAACACATAATGGCTCATTGTCCTAAAAGCAAAACAAGCTGCACATCTGTTACTTCTAACATATCTGTTACAAGAAGCTTACTGTCCTTTCAGTGTACTCAAGGTGCCTACCATGATTATTTATTCTATGCTATCTGTATGCCATTGCTAAACCAGAAGCCTGAGTTCAGAGTCACACCACACCAAAGAGTCTTGACAGCTCCTGGACAAGACCCTGGGGCCATTTAAAAGCTTTAACACCCTTCTTCCATCTCATAGTTCTGTTGGACACCTAGAGCCTCCAGCAAATCATAAATATCCATGCGGTGGAAGGGCATTAATTAGGCATAAGTTACCCTAAAATAGAATGTCATTTCTTTTCACACATGTATTATTCTTTGACTTTGCAAAATTTTGATTTTGCTTAAATGTAGGTGAATGACACATTTAAATTAAGGCTTCCTTCACAGCAATTAAAAAATTACTCCAGTTTAAAATAACAACAATGGAGAATAGATGAAAGAAACAACAGAACTTACTAATGAAGCACCTTTGACACATGTACAAAAGCAAACAGCATTATTCTGTCATGATGTAGCCAAGGCTCAAGCAACATGGTATGCCAAGTTCAGATTCTTTCCTCCATGGTTTGTTTGCTTTTAAAACTAAAGGAGCCTACCAGTCTGAGCACATGAAAGGTGTGCTGCTTAACACTTGTCCTTTTTTAGTTTGAAATCACCTCTCCCGAACTACTTTTTTCAGGCAGAGGACAAAAAGGGAAATAGTCCCCATAGTTTCCCTTCCCCACTCCTCTGGGGGAAAAAGCAGCTTGGAGTGGGCAATTTTGAACTGAACAGTAGTTAGGCCCCGCGATCCTCTGCCGGCTGGAGAGGTGACGCGCGGCTATTGCAGCAGCCTCTATAGCCGCGCGCCACCTCTCCAGCTGGGAGAGCGCGCGCAGGGCTAAAGAAGCCATAGCCCCGTGACCCTCTCCCAGCTGGAGAGGTGACGCGCGACTATGGCAGCAGCCTCTCCGCTGCACGCCTTTCCACTGCTCCCCGACCTGCTCTTTGGGGCTGGTGATGGGCTTCCCCCCACCAGCCCCAAAGAGCAGGTCGAAAGGAACCTGAGGCCTGGAGAGTGAGAGGGGTCGGTGCACACCGACCCCTCTCGCTCTCCAGGCTTCCAAGGTAGCCGCCTGAAGGCGACTGAACGCACCTTAAACGGCACCTTGTTTTAGAGGGGGAAAACAAGAGGGGGGAAATTCTCCCCCTCTCTGCGCAGCGCCTCCTGCTGCTTCGCTGACGGGGCACTGGGCAGAGAGGGGGAGATTTTTTTTTTCTTGTTCTCCCCCCTCTAAAATAAGGTGCGTCCTATTGTCCGGTGCGTCCTATGGTGCGAAAAATACGGTAATTTTAAAAATTTAAATTTTTTTCAAGGGATTTAAAAATTAATATGATTACAATTTTTCAATGATTTGTATTGATTATTTAACATTTCTAAGAGCTACCTGCACAATTTCATCTTGGGATATCAATGGGATCACATTAAAAAAATATTTTGTACATACATGTCTGCCTTACTGGGTTCTATTTAAGATACATGGGTCTTATTGGAGTAAGATATAACAGAATATCACTATAATATTAGCTGCTTCAGGCATTTCTTTAGAAAGTTATTCAGTTAAAAGGTGTCTGAAAAGCTAGCCAGGCTGCAGACACTGCTGTAAACTAGAAAATAGAAGGCTGGCCAACCAAGCCCTGCCTTACCAACTGCATCACTAGGAGTATATACTAGAGCTAACCTTCAAAATCTTCCAATATCAGTGCAGATCTGTGAAAGCAGCCAAAAAGTATCATGAAAAAATATGTGTGCTAGAAATGCTGCTTTTCCAGGTCACATTGATTAGAAAGCAAACAAGATGAGCTATCGTGCTCAAGAATCCAGTTGCAATTGTTGGTTCCCCGGGGAAAAGAGAAAGGACAATAACTATTGCAGACCACAGTGTGTTTTCAAAAATGCTTTCCCTAGGGTCACATGCTCAAGTTTTACACAAATGAAACTGGGAGTCAAGTAACAGCTTGCCTTGCAACCTGTTAAATATTGAGATATCTGAAATATTCTGAACTTCAGGAACAGCATTAGTTTTGAATTTAATAGTAGCTGCTAAGTTATCCATCACTATGAACTGGAAAGATCCTAATCCTTCAGTATTGAGAGAATTCTGTTTAAAGACTGGGAACAGCGGCAATGGATAAACTGGTGGAATATATTGGCTGTGTGATGGCAAGCAAGATTGAAACTTTTCAAAAAAAACCTGCACCATTACTTCCACAAGCAATTATTTTGATATAAGAATTGACATCTACAAGGCTTGTGATGTTTATTCTTTTCTGTACCAAATCAAAGGTCAGTGGGAAGATACTAGAATATTTTCTAAATGGTATTTTACAACTTAGATATTAATATGCATGTCGGAGAAGTACAACGTGATGCAGTACCTCAGCTCATAGAGTTGTTGCGATGTTTTATTTCAAAGAGAAGTGACAACTGGGTATGAGGTTTAACCATACACTTTCCCTTTATGACAAGGACAAAGGAACAACTTCACTTGGATGCATGTCCCTGGAGATCCAATATTAACCCCCATTTTTCTGCAGACAAACTGGGATGCTGGAGAGATAATGATCATTTTCAACCATAATGGAAAGCCATAGAATCAGTGGCGTAGCGTGGGGGGTGCAGGGGGGGCCGGCCGCACCGGGCGCAACATCTGGGGGGGGCGCGCTCGCACTTGCAGCTCTCTGCCCCTACCTGGCTCACTCACTCTCTCTCACTGCAGTGCTGGCTGTGCGAATCCGATCCGAGCCGCTGGGTTGCCGCCCACTATGGAGGGGGTGGGTGCCAGGCGTGCGGTGCGGAGAGAGAGCGAGGGACTATCTGGGGGAGGGACAGTGCAGCGGCCGCCCAGCGCAGCGCTGAGCGCGGGAGAGAACCACACCAGACCAGACCAGGCAGCAGCAAGAAGAAGCTTGCAGCGGCGGCAGGTTAGGGGTTAGGGGGCGCAAATTACTTGCCTTGCCCCGGGTGCTGACAACCCACGCTACGCCGCTGCATAAAATAAACACACAAGCCTTGAATTTCTCTTGTGGTTTGTGTGGAAACAAACCAACAGTCCTGATTCACATGTAGCACTAAGCCGATCACATGATCCGCATGCAACACAGTTTCTTTCTTTCTGGGTTGGTAAAGAAAGGAGGAGGGACAAGGGTGTGTGACTTAAGCAACGTGTACCAGCACGTTGCTCATTCATAGTAAGTCCTAGTTTGTTTCAAACTATGGCTTACCGCAATATGCAAGTATCAGTATACTAATTTAACAAAGCATATGTTTCCTACTTTGGTCACACAGTAGCAATGTTATTTGCTATCTTTGAATTTTGGGTCCAAAAAATATTTTATTTATTTGTGGTGGAAACCAACTATGTCAAATTCAGAATAGACCCATTAAAATCAATGGACCTAAGTTAGCCGTTTGTAATGATTTCAATGGATCTGCTATGAGCATGACTTAAGTTGGGTTCAACCCTTAATTTCTTTCCTACCCTTTCTCCCAAAGGAGATTTGCAGCTTATTCTCTCTCTCTGAAGGAAAGAAACCTTTGGAAACAACCCGTAATTCCAAACCACTTATTTCCAAATTATTTCAACCAGCATCTCTTTCAGAATGTTGTTTTCTACATTAGTACTATTCCTGGCCCGTTGGTGGAGGAGCAGAGAAAACCATTCCTCCCTTGTTTTCCACCAAGTCTTCATATCTCTAGGTCGGACAGCAATTCAGCCATCACTTTCTCCACACAGTGAGGTAGAAGAGGCACAAACAAGTTTCAGCAAGGGTGGAAACTTCCCAAAACAAAGCATGTGAATCAGAGTCAGCTTGTATGGCCAGGGCCAGATATGTGCCAGACTTCCTTGCAGATTACTGAAATTATTTTACTTTCAAGGCACAGAGCAAGGTTACCAAAAACTGCATCCTGTAATATGCTATGCACAAACAGCAATAAAAGAAAGAGGTAAGCAAAGAAACTGCATCAGCTATGAAAGCAGAACTGAGTGAGAAACTGATCATTAGATGCTAGGGGGTTAAATTACCCTTCTTAGCTACGGAAACATGGCTGTAATTAGTAACTAGTCTGAAGAAGGGAGAGGCTGCTAAGAACTATTTGTGTACAAACTGCTCCTTCAATAAAGACACAGAAGGGGCAATGTCAATGCACTTCCATGATTCGAAACCATATCTGGTTCAGAGATATGTTTAGCGATGCTGAGAAGTGTCAAACTACTGACCGAGTTAAAATTAAGAATCAGCAGCACAGGCAAACTAAGAAAGAGCTTTCGGTGAAAGAAATGGAGCAAGAAAGAAGAATACAGATAAAATGGATGTTTATTAATTGCACAATAACTTAGACACATTCATAAGCAGCATTAGCAATGTGTGTCTCCTGTGATGTCAGAAACAATACCCATGTTATTCAACAATATTTTCACACTCAATGTCCATCACCACTTTACAGTCCAAATAATCTGGGATCTTAGCCTTTGCTATAATGGCTAGTTGCCTTCAGACAAACTGAGAATTGCTTGTCTATCAAAACGTTCAAGTTAAACACTTGGAATGTAATACTTCAATTTAAAAGGGCTGTTTCTTTTCCTCCCATATTTTTACTAATCTACCCTTCATAAATTCAAAAATTAAATATGTCAGTACAAGAAAACTGAGTTCTTGTATCATTTACTCAAAATATTTCTGCACTACGCTTCAATCAAAAATTTCCAATAATAAATTAGGATGCTAATCTATTACTTATAGGTAACAATGGTCATTTCCATATGACCTGTTTATTGAAAATTTATCCTGATTTGTTTGCACAAAACTTGCACAGAAAGGTTATATAGCTGGCATAGGCAAACTCTGGCCCTCCAGATGTTTAGGACTACAATTCTCATCATCCCTGACCACTGGTCCTGTTAGCTAGGGATGATGGGAATTGTAGTCCCAAACATCTGGAGAGCCGGAGTTTGCCTAGACCTGTTATATAGTATCTGCAACTTATTGGATATTCATTCTGATTTGTTTGCGTGGAGGCTATATGGAATTCAGTATATGATGAGACTTCACCCTGATTTGTTTGTGCGGTGGTAATATGACTTCTCATTAATTGATCATTATCCTTTTTCTGTCACTCTCCTTATCACAAAAAGTTCAGTTTTCTTTAAAGTGGGTTTGTTGTGCTAGTGCACTTTAGTCTACTTTAACTGAGCAAATCTGGTATGTGACAGAATCTCCCACAAAATACAGTCTGGAGGCGACCAGTGCCAAATCATCCCCACAAATCTGGAAAAACAAGCTCCTGCCAGATGTAATTACAGAGGGGCAACAGTGGATCAATCACATCTCAGAGCACTCACTGACTTTCCTAACAGATATTATCTGACCCTACAAGTATGTTATCAGGAGTGTTGTGCCATGAACAATTTCATGTTGTGAGCCGCCCTGAGATCTAAAGATATAGGGCGGTATACAAATTTAATTAATTAATTAAACGGAAGGCAGATGGTTCTGTCAGTCCTGTTGGCAACATTCGAAAACAAATTAGGGAAGCTTCTGACCCAAGTTTGATATGCAAGAAATCAACTGGGCAGTTAAGGACATGTGAGGTCTCCCCAATTATATTTTCAAGAGCTGTCAAATCCATATGTTCCCAAACAAGATGGGTGTCAGCTGAGAGCACAGCACCTTTATTTATTTTTTACAATTTGTATCCCAAAGAGCTTTCAGTTTAGTGGTATTGGCAATTCCAGATACTTAAGTGATCCAGGAGTCTCCAGTTCTAGTAACCGATTCAGCAGGCTTCTGACCATGTTTTTCTGAAAGCCAACAAGTTAGACGGATGGAAAAATACATTAAGCACAATTCACATCTAACTGTCTGCCTCAAAGGCTATTTTCAATCAAGACTTGGAGAATACCCACAGTATAGATTGTGCTGTTGCCTCACCACACTCATGAAAACACTCCACATAGAGGCAAAGTCATGTAAAGCACTTGGGGACCTAGTAAGATGGGTCTGTTAATGAATCTTGGGAAACAATTAAGCATAATAAAATTAACTTTAAGCACTAAAGCTAGTGAAAGGTTTACAGATGTTATACTGCTGGAACTTGGTAACCATCCTAAAGAAAGAATTAGAAATCTCACAGAAGGGAATAGGTTGCATTTATTCATGATATAGGAAAGTAGTTATTCTATTTATAATCAAGCCCACATATTTTTTATTATTTCACATATTTAATTTGGATTAGAAGATGTATTTAACTAACCCCTATAAAGCATATATATAATAGAATATATTGGTAATAATTGATTATTAATCATACTGAATTTTATTTTTAACTATTTGTTTTTCAGTTACTGACAAATAACAATGTGGAGTATGTTGATGTGCAAATATGCACCTTAAATTTTATTAAAAGGTTAAAAGGCATTCCACACAGGAACTAATTTTCCCTCAAAGATGATTCCCAACAGTACTGGAAGTTTTAATACTTTGTCCAGTCCACCACCAACTAACTTCCAACATATTACTTTGCTGTCAGGCTAAATAATCACTACCACTTTGAGAGTAATCAGCTCTCCATCACACAACCAAGAGACAGGCAAGGAGAGACTATGGAAATATGCATTTATGTGGGTGTACAATAAGAAGAAAGGAAATAGCAAACATCCCAATATTCAAATACTGAAAACAATCTCTATAATAAAGTGTCTTCCATTGTATGTATCCTATTATTGTAATTAAATGATGTGTGATCATGGACGTAGCCAAGGGGGGCAAAAATTATAGAAAAGCGTTGAAAGTACTCAATAAACTGAGGTTCCATCGCCCTCCAAACCAAAGCCTGCCCCTAAAACTTTAACAGAAGCTCAACAATGTTGGCTGCTCCACTGAAGAAGCCAAGAAGCACAAACAAACAGTGAGGGCACAAACAAATAGAACTACACTATCTGGCTTTCCAATGAGGTTCTATCAACATATTTTCTTGGAGGAATATAAACAAAAGAGTAATTAGATCAGGGGAACTATGCTGGATGCCATCACTTGAAAATGAGGTATTGAAACAACCCCATGTTATCTATCGGGAAGGTTTCTGGTTGGTCCTCGTCTGGGGGCAATCGCAGCTCAGCGCTCGGAGTGACCAGCTTCCCAATGTGCATCTTCTGATTGAGTTCAAACTACATTTGTGTAGTTTCTGATCATGCTTGCTCCTCCTCCATAACTGTGGGCAAAGTCTGTTCTATGGAGAGGTGTAGATGGATTATCTATAGTATCATACATATTGATTCGGCGTATAGTTGGATCCAGTCCCTTGGTCTGCAAACACCTTTCTTGGTTGGGTGAGTCTCTTACCGGGGATTCCTCCTGTAGAAAGGCCAGTATCTCCTCTTTCCCAGACCTATCATTGTTTGTATTCCTGTTGCTCACGTTAGCAGGTTCATGGGGGTTTGCCCTAGGCTTGTTCAGGTCACGCATCAAATCTTGAATACTGTTTGTTTTTTCTTCAATTTCCTCTACTATGGAGTTAATTGGGGTTGTGTTTATCGTTGCTCTTTGCTCAACATTCCTAAGGAGCGGAGATGTCTTTAAAGTAGGGGAGGTAGTGCTGTATACTGTATTATTTATGCAAATTGATTTTCTCTGGAGTTAAAGATTGACCGGGACAAACCTTGTTATGTTGAGCTCGTATTTTGCACAATTTGTATACGGTGTCTGTTTGATAATGTGTGGTTTGCTATGCCTAATAAAGGATAACTATTTATTAACAACCCCATGTTTGCACCTAGTAGTCACATATCCAGGATCTGAATCTTTATCAGCAATGGAGCATGCTAAACCTCTGCATCTAGTAGGAGAGTTTTCTGCAGGCCTTGGGGGTCTCCTGCTTGTGGGTTTCCTCACAGGTATCTGGTTGGCCATGATCTTGTCTAATCCTTATCTAAAAGCTATTAATGACTTGCTCAGTGCTAATTTGCCCAGGTTGTGGACGTGTGGGGGAAATGGTCTTATTACGAAGTTTAACATTTTTTAGTTTAAAAAAAGACAGAACTAGAACATCTCAAATTAAATTGAATTTAAGTAAAACTTTGCTTTGTTGCTCTTATGCTAATTCTGCCTGCTACTTCTCAATAATAAACCACCCTGAGACCTCCAGGTATCGGGCAGTATATAAACTCAATAAATAACAACAGCAACTACGAATACAGTGGGGAAATTGTTTTAATTCCATTGCATAAAGCCAATACTCTCATCTGGTTTTATAATATTATTGCCCCTCCTTAGCAACACTAATTTATGAGGTTATATACTCTGGGAATTAAGCTGTATTTTAATCACATCACCCATTGTGGTACTTACAAGAACAGATAGTGTGCTGAACAGTCGAGTGACAGCAGTAATGCTACTGCGCTCCATAATTATGAAAGATTAATTTCTCTCCCACTGTAGGCAGGACTTATGTCTCAGTTCCTCACATTTCCACATGAAGATCAATGATCAAGTGGTAATTCACAAGCAAAAACAACGGAACCAAAAATTGGAACAGAAGTCTTGCATTATTAACAAGTTTGAATACTAATTCAAATCAGATACTGCACTAAAAGGTACATTATAGGTGCTGAGAGACATAAATACTGCATCCAGATCACTGCAACCACAGTGAAGGATTACCTATACAAGAGAGCCCAGCAAGTTTATATGTAAACCATTTTGAGGTTTACATTCAAACAGTATATAAATGTTGTGAAATATGTCCAAAATAAAATAGTAATATCTTTAGAAGAGTAGCTACAGAATGAAAGATCTACAACAAAACAAACATTTAAAGAATATTGTTGTCTTGGATTCTTTACACATACTGCTGATAACTCAGTTAACATTCAGTGAGAAAGGAAAATCACAACTTAGCACTTTATTTTGCCAATCACCACAACATTCACAAAGCAGGGCCATTAGCAGCTCAGCTTCACAATGTTTCAGGGACACTAGAACATATTGTAAAATCATGGAGCCTGTTTTAGACCCAGCAAAGATAATACTCGTCTAGCAAGGACTAGTGGAGGAATTCCTCTTCAGCTCTACTGAAACAAAGTAGCCTATACTGCTTGCATGCAGCGGGGAGAGATTAGGGTTGCTGGAGTTGCGGTAAAGATGCTAATGCAAAGTGATGGAGTAAATGGTGCCTATAACATCACTACAAACCAGCTTCTAATATATTTATCTACTCAGAACATTTTTATTATCCGGTCAGTTATTTAAACTGTTTTACTTTTATTCCTTTTTCCTTCTTTAGATGTGTCCACGTTCCCCAGTGCTCATACCCAGAACTCCTACAATTAAATTTTCAGCCCTGCAACCTCCCAACAGTTAGTCCCACTCCCATCCATAACATGGAGGAAGGCAAGAACATTGTTTGGTAATACAGATAGCACTAGTAAAGTGCTAAAAGCACTAGTAAAGTTCCTATTCCTATAGGAAAGAACCTTCATCTAAAAGGCCAATAGTGTTAGAATAGATCAGCAAGATATCCTTGACCAGATTCCTTCGCCCAAACCCTTCATATCAAATGTTTGCCAGCATCACTCCCAATGCCTCAAATGAGGTGAGAGTAACTTTGAAGGTCATGTGATCAATGTGGAAAGTAGTCCCCAGTTAAAAGTGGACACGTAATGGCATAGTTCATAATCCATAGTATACACTATCGCTCCAAAAATTTTCTATGGTACTGAAGGACAACAGAGATCACAGTACGAATAATGAGAATGTTTCCTGACAATAGGATCCCAGGGACAACCAGGGGTCAAAGTGGCAGCAATCTGTACTAGAAGCAAGACCAGGAAGCATGTGAGGACTTCCTCATTTGGGGGAAGGACAAAAACCCTTTGGGAACAGCTATGCTGCAGAGAGTAGTAATCACAGAACCAGGAATGATGGTGGAACTGTCAAAGTGAGTGAATCCTCCATTCAGAAAGGGTTTGATCCTGAACTTCACCCTCAGTGGAGACATGTACTGGAGCTTCTTTAAGATCTGAGATAGTAATAGCCTGAACACAGCAGAAGACTGAGTAGAAACCATCTCTAGAGATGCTGGTTCTGAGATAATCCCCTACTTCCCTTGCCCTTCTTCTTTTATTTTTCAGTAATGCTTTCAGTGACAAATATGACAACTTATCATTGGCCATTCATTCCAATGTACTTGTGTCAATGTACTTGTCCAGCAATGGGGAAAGTTCCTCCAAGGTGAATTCCTAGGCCGATATCTTTACCAAGGTATGCACTTGGACTTCCACACCTGATGAGTCAAGTCAAAGCATCAGAGCAACTGTCTCCACAACAAGGTTTGGGAGAAATGTTGATACCAAACCAGTCAGCACTAAGTAAGACCAGAGGCACACTTGTTGTAGAGGGTATGCCAACTGCCACACTGGACAGTGTCTTAATTTCACTAGAGGAAACCACCACAGCACTTGCAACAATCCACCAAGGCAGATTCAGCTGTCAGTAAAGGTAAAGGTACCCCCTGACCATTAGGTCCAGTCGCGGACAACTCTGGGGTTGCGGCGCTCATCTCGCTTTATTGGCCAAGGGAGCCAGCATACAGCTTCCGGGTCATGTGGCCAGTATGACTAAGCCCCTTCTGGCGAACCAGAGCAGCGCACGGAAACGGCGTTTACCTTCCCGCTGGAGCAGTACCTATTTATCTACTTGCACTTTGACATGCTTTCGAACTGCTAGGTTGGCAGGAGCAGGAACCGAGCAACGGGAGCTCACCCCGTCATGGGGATTCGAACCGCCAACCTTCTGATCAGCAAGCCCTAGGCTCTATGGTTTAACCCACAGCACCACCCGCTGTCAGTGGCAAGAGTGAAAGGATTGAGATGCAGCAGAGTTATGTCACAGTGGAGCCCTGATAACTTGAGCCTCAGAATTCATCACAAGAATCGGCTACCAGAAGGTCATAGAAAGCCAAGACAGACCTGTCTGTGTGTCTGCCTTGTGAACTTTTGACAAAGAGGGAAGGTGTCACAATGTGCCACTCATTAATGCAAAGGTGGCAGCAGTAGTGTCCAAATGAAGGAACTACTGCTACAAATAGAGCATTCTATCAATAAAATATTCATTGAGAGAGAGATCACTGTATCATAAGACTCCTGTCAACACTAACGGAAACACGAACAAGCACAGGGAATCACCAAAAGAAACAAAATGAAACTCATTGTAGACTGAACAAGAGAAAAGAGAAAGGAATCTAGATTTTAACGTTCCTCCTGGGGGGAAAAAAGAAAGTTTAATCTGCTGCAGCCATGGAGGAATTGAATGGGAATGCAAGGGTCATGGTCCTCCTGAGAATATGCCCAGAGTGCAGGCCTCCCACCAAAAATATTAATCATCTAGCCCTAGAGCAAGGATGAGGAACCTGTAGCCCTCCAGATGATGTTGGACTCCAACTCCCATTAGCCCCAGCCAACCTAGCCAACGGTCAGGAACAAGTTGCAGTCCAACAACATCTGAACGGCCACAAGTTCCCAGCCCTGCTCTAGAAAGTCCTAGACTTTGGCTGGGTATAAGCACAGAACCCATACATGGGACTCCACAGAGACCACAAAGAACAATCTTCTCTCCTTCTACTGCAAATATTTAGTGACCAAGATATGTTCAGCTATAGTTTCTTCCCCAGACCAGCAGAAGAAAATGAAATTATTTTAGACAAAACTAGTCTATCTTTTCATTTAGTCAACTGTGAGCATAACTACACCTTGAGAGGCAATAATGGAATCCCCAACCCTGCAGTTGCCTTGTAATGTTAACATGGAAACAAGGAAAATGCTTAAACATTCCCCACCCAATGCTTCTTCTTGGTTTCTGTGCTACAGCCAAGTCCAGGGCCAGAAGTAAGTTCAGCGTGGTGGCTGAGGTGGGGGTGGAGTGGGGAGAGAAAAAGAACCCCCCAATATTACCATAATGATCTTGGCAAATATGTGTTTCTCCAAGTGTTTGGTAACATACACTGCTGCCCTGTTTCTTCTACAGCACATTGGATAGCTATTTAATTGCAAGGAAGTTCAGCACACCCAGAAACTTGTTCAAACCCTGAAAAACCGGTCTGTCCAACAAACTGAGCCAGAATTCATGGACACTGCCCATCTTATTAAAGGTGAAGCCATCATGGCTTACAATTGTTTTGAAACTAAGGTTAGATTGGATATGATTGCAAAACGATTTCTAGGAAAACCAAGGTTGCTTTACATATTTAAGCACACAGCATTCCCAAGTATCTCTCTCTTATGTCGCATTGCCATATGGACTACTTCTCATTTTCTTGTGTTTTCCATGTATTGTTTTGCTTTTCAAATATGGGACAAGGATGTTGCTCTAATCATTAGAATCTAATGCAGTAATGCACAGAATGGCATGAATTACATGATTTTCTTATTCTCTTCTATGAACAAGAGTAATGTCCATAGTATGATGTGTGCAATTCCATTTTACAGGAAAAAATGAAAGCCCCTACATATATATATGCAAACCGTTGGATAGGAGGGGAAATGTTATTTCCTTTTAGATAGTCTTACATAATGCAGTTTTAAAACCAAACACTTTTGCCAGCAGCATCAACACAAATGTTATGTGAGCTGACAGTATAAATGCCCCATGCTGTTAAGTATGGGGGTCAAAATGCACCTGGGAAGGCTGTTTTAATCCGACTTTCAAGGCATGTGCACATGTGTGACAGACAGAGTGCATGTCTTGCACTGAGTACATTATGGATGCACAGTCATACCTTGGGTTACAGGCGCTTCGGGTTGTGCGATTTCAGGTTGCGTACCACGCCGTACCCGGAAGTACCGGAATGGGTTACTTCTGGGTTTCGGTGCTTGTGCATGCACAGAAGCACTAAATCGTGCTTTGCGCATGCGCAGAAGCACTAAATCATGCTTTGCGCATGCGCAGAAGTGCCGAATCACGACCCGTGCATGCGCATAAATGACGCTGCGGGTTGCGAACGCTGAGGGGGTTGCAAACGTGCTTCCCGCATAGATCACGTTCGCAACCCGAGCGTCCACTGTATTGCTTTCACACTGGTTACATTTGCTGCATGAAATACTGGCACTTTTCACAGGAGTCATGGCACATAGCACTGTCCTAAGCAGCTTTTGTATCAGTGACCATAAACGGTAGTTCTTACAAGGTTCTAAAACATTTTCTATACTGAAGTAGGTATTTCCCAAAACTGGAAGCTTCAACACTAGGACTCAATTCTTATTACTTGCCTCTGCACCAGATGTTCACTATACTATGATACAGCAAGTGTTGCTAGTTGCATTTGTGAAATGTCATTTGCCACTGGCGAAGCAGGGAATATTTCAGGACAGGTCTACACAAATCACCAACAGCTTTGCATCTCACTTCATTAAAAAAAAAAAAAGCAAGTGGAGTACCTCTCTCTACAGAATCTGGTGAAGATATACTAGGCAAATAGCAAAAATCAAGCAGTATTTTGTTGAGACTGTGTGCAAAAGCAGGTTGATCAACTACTGCTCCTTTGTTATGGGCTGCTTCATGTGAAACAGTAAGCAAAGAACAAACCTTGGTGAGAGTTCATGGTTACCTAGAGAGTTCTAGCAACATGCCAAGACTAAACAAAACAAAACCCTAGCGTTATGTACTGAGTTTTAGCTAAGTGCAGAGCTGCAGTAAAAAGGAGCAGGGAGAATCAAATCAGCTGTGAGCTCCTCTCCAGGAGTCCATGTAATTTCAAGAAGCCACAGTACAACTTACTGTGACATGCCAACCCTGTCTATAATAGATGGGCTCTCAGAGGTTAAAAGGGATGTCAACTGGCTTTTGTCAATATCTTTTTCCATTCCACTCCATTGGAAGAGCCATTAGTTATGCATTACAATCCCAATTTTGCTTTTGATCTTTTCACGTTTACAACAATATGTGGCAGTGGAACAAAACTCATACCTTCCCCACAAAAAGAATACTCTTTTTTAACACAAAAAGCCACAGAAAATTATGTGGAGAACATGCTGACCAGATACCACCATCTTTCTGGATTATGAAAAAAACAAAAGCACAGGTAATATAGAGAAAGTCAAGATGGGGCACAACAGCAACCCAACATGACTGAAAATGGCAACTAAAGTGGCAACATGAGGTTAGTTCACTGTGAAGTCACACAAATAGGAAACATTAATGCACAACTTTTGGTATAACTTACACTAGAATCTATACACTACTTTCCCGTTCAGTTATTAAACCAACTTCAGCTTCATAGTATGGTATGACTAATCAGGGATCTAAAAATACAGTAAGTTGTTCAAGTTTGACTATGGCTTTTATTAAAAATAGCTTTAGGGTCACATACTATGTAACAAAATGGTGTATTTCTATAGAACCGCCCTATTATGTCTACATCCCAATCCAGCAAAGAATGAGCATGAAAAATTGATTCCTTCTCCACTATTGTCAACAAGACTTAACAGTAGTTTAGTACATGCCCTTTTTTTGCTCTAGAGCTTTCCCCATGAAAACTCACTCTTTAAAGATCAACTGGAGCAAATGTTAATCCACGGAAAACCTGAATTGATTCTTGCACCGATTGAGCTTTAAAGAGCGGGTTTTTGCACGGAAAGGTCGCCAGGGGGTGGGGATGCTTAGACATAAGAGCATTTAAGCACAGACCTCTTCCTGGAAAGAACAGGGCAAAAGGTAAGTGTGGATAAGCCCCAACTCTTGATTTTAATGGGGCTCCTCTGAGTACATCTTAGTTGGATATCACCCACTGTCAGCATCTGAGGTTATAAGCAATCTTCACATATAGCATTCACAACAAAGTGAAATTATTATTAGGAGTAGAGACTTGTAATCATATTTGAATAATCACGCCATATTGCAAAATAAAATGAGCTGCTTGCAACAAGGGAATTAACAGGGATTCTCCTGATAAGCATACCAGAAGGTTCATTCTAGATTACCGTATATCAGTGAGAATTAGACTTAAGTTATTGCGCCCAACATGTGCTCTAAACATCACAGGACCTTCTATATATGTGATAAGCAACTTTTCTCAAGTTAACTTTCAGAAAGCAGAACATTGTAAGAGCTATTGTATAAGACCAGCCATCAAAGGTTTGCAGGATTAGGTATCAGAGTGGCCTAACCTTTAGTTGGACTTTTTTTTTTTTTTACTGTGCATGTATACATGTTGCAATGGGACGGGGGAGGTCAGTACCTAGGAAGTTTTATTGAGAAAGAGGCATGTGTTTGTACCCAAGTAGAAATACAGGATTTAAGAATAATCACAACATTGACCTGGGAAAGGATATCTTTGAAGGAACAGCAGCATTTGGCACACTCAACACTCTTCTTGGACAGACACTACACTATATAAAGTCCTCTGCTTCATATGAGTGATGCGGGGTACAAAATTTTCCACTGCTACATTTTTTCAATATAATTTTTTTATTTAAAAATGCAACTCCTTTATAAAATAATTAATACAATACCAGTCAAACTAGATAGATTTTTACAGATGTAATTAGATCATTTATACCAAGGAAATAAATATAATAGCACGTTCAATGAAAGCAGTCAAAACTGTTATGAAAAACAAATTTTAAACAAGGTAAAAGTATGTTATTTAATTGCTTTGTCTTATCTTACAAGTATTTCAAATACAGTCATACCTCGGGTTGCAAACGTGATCTGTGCAGGAGGCACGTTCACAACCTGCAGTGCTACAACTGCACACGCGCGTGATGCGATTTGGCGCTTCTGCGCATGCGTGTGACATCATTTTGTGCTTCTGCGCATGCATGAGCATTGAAACCCAGAAGTAACCTGTTCCAGTACTTCCGGGTTTGGCGCGGTCCGCAACCCGAAAACGCGCAACCCGCAACGTTTGCATGCCGAGGTATGGCTGTAAAAGTAATTTCCTAGCTAAATGTTGAATTTATGGAACGTAACGGGTGGTGCTGTGGGTTAAACCACAGATCCTAGGACTTGCCAATCGGAAGGTCGGCGGTTCGAATCCCCGCGACGGGGTGAGCTCCCATTGCTCAGTCCCTGCTCCTGCCAACCTAGCAGTTCAAAAGCACATCAAAGTGCAAGTAGATAAATAGGTACTGCTCCAGCAGGAAGGTAAATGGTGTTTCCGTGCACTGCTCTGGTTTGCCAGAAGGGGCTTAGTCATGCTGGCCACATGACCCAGAAGCTGTACGCTGGCTCCCTCGGCCAATAAAGCGAGATGAGTGCCACAACCCCAGAGTCGGCCACGACTAGACCTAATGGTCAGGGGTCCCTTTACCTTTAACATTTAAGCCACATTAAGTGCACTTTTTTGCATGTTTCCCCTAGTCAAATATTTCCGTCCAAATATATTTGGCTACTGGAAAAGCCATTTATCCAGTTCATAAGATTGTTTTTGAATTTTGGTGAATGAATGTAAGTGACATAAAACACTAAATCGGATTCCAATCAATAGAGGCTTTTGGGGGTGGGGGGATCAAAAAACCAAAACTGCACATAAATGCGCTAAAGCCACTAAAGGAGGAGTATAATGGAATCTCTCCTGTACGTAAAAGTTCTTATGGTAATGAGAGTTTCAACTGTATGCACCTGTATGAGTGAAGGTCCCCAGAGATATGAAGAATACACTTGATCCAAAACTGGAGCCAGAGGGCTGAAGATGAAATCAGCTTTTGCAATTCACTCCTTTTAAATGTGCAAAAGCCCAAAAGGAAAGTATCAGAGCCAAGAATGGCTCTCTAGTCTCCAACAGGCACCATCTATTCTATCACAGTGATGACAAAACAGACACCAAAAGAAAACAATTACAGTACACATTATTTCTTGTGCTGAGACACCAAATTCTTATGACACTTGTTTATTATAGAACCAAGCCTCACAGAAGCTTTGTACTAAAAGGGGAAAAAGCTTTGTGGACTAGAAGTGAATAACTTATTTCTTCAGCTAAGATTCTCAAAAAGATTGGTTTAATCAACATTCAAGAATTTCAAGTTGATGTACATTAGGTAACAAATACTAGTCTCCACCTTGCAAAGTTCTACTGAAGACAGAAGACATTAAGTTAACATTGAACACTCAATTCATTCCTGTTTGTTACATTTTGGCACAAGAGATATGAGAGCTAGGGAAGACAGAACTGGAGAATGGAGGTTTAATCTTGGGGTAGAGTGGCTGAAAGGAACAGAAGTAGGTGAAAACTACTATTGGCTACTGAATTTCACATTACACCATGAGGTTTCAGGAGAATTTGTATCAACTGAGAAACATTTTTAAAATGTAAACTATCCTAAACCTAAGTACCCAAGAGGGCAAGAAGTGTATTTAAATAAATAAATCCTGGGATCTTTCTGTGTATATGGCAGGTTCAGGAAACAAACAGCCAGCTCATTGTAAAGAATGCATTTTGAATGCATTCTCAGCAGGCAAGATCTAATGCAGCACAAATAAGCATCTGCTTGTACCATTCCCACTTCCTTGTCTTCTCCATTCTATTTAAAAAGAGAAATAAACAGTGAGGGCTTCTTGGTGCCTTGGCCATGAAGAAGTATGAAACAGAAGTTTTGTTTGTTTTGAATTCTTCCTATTTCAAATCAGCTGTGAATGCATAGAATGAGAACCTATAGTGTCTCTCAGAAAGTGTCTTGGAGAAAAACTGAACATTATTTCTACAATTTTGGATTATATATAGACCAGCTGTTTTAGATAGACCTTAATGCTCTGATAATGTGCATTAGTGTGATTTTCAAATACCTTAGAAACATTTTGCTCTGTAAAATGGCCAGATGATGAATGCAAAATAAATAAAAATGCATGCAAGTAACCATAAAAATCTATAAAATAAATATATATTGGCATTCCTCTCATTCCACTTGGTAAATGGGTGCTGAGTTGGAATAATCAGATTTTCTTTTATGTTTTAAATAATCAACAGTACTTTTAGGTTTTATGCGTTGTTTAAATTGTTTATTCATTCAATTAATCAGTGTCTTCCTGCTTATAGGATTCTCATGCTGACAAACTGTAGCACTAGACAGACCTGTGATGAGTTAAGATAATTGTACATGTACCTATGCAAATATGGCAATATAACAAACCATAAGCAAGACAGTCCTGTGTGGTAGGTGGGGGGGTGGGATGAAGGGTGGAGTAGCAAAATTACAACACCCAATTATATTAGAAAAGCAGAGAACAGTTGGTGTTGGGCACTCTTCTTCTCAAATTGACACATTTTTTATCTTCATTTTACAAACAGTATCAAATGTTGAGGGGAAATACAGCATAAACTGCTACGTGGGGAAGACTATAACAGGGATTTAAACATTGCTAACAGGAAATGATCAGGGCAGATAAGATTTTCAGGTTCACCAAATCCAGCAGCATCCTCTTAATCTTTATTTCATGGTATCATTACATTTGCCCTGTGATATAGTAGTTTACTGCTTCTACCAGAGTTTTAGCTCATTCATGCAATATTATTTAGAACTACAGTATATAAACAGCATAGCAGCTGTTATCTATGTCTCAGGGAAAGGAAATATGGCCCTTTCCCCTCTTAGGAGCAATACATTTCAGTTGAAAAGCTAAGCTATGAGAAATCCACTGAGAAAGAAATGTGCATTGTCATTGTGATCAGGAACAGAACATGAGAAGAGGGGTAAAACTTATCCAGCTCCCCCAGCAGATTACTACAACAAAACTCCTGCTTGTCTGATGAGCTTATGAAACTCTCCCTATTTTCTGTGATTGGAGCGTTCTTCCTGATCCACCCAGATTAAAGTCTCTGAAGGAATTACAATTCACCACAATCATCAGCATAATCATCAGTTTATAGCCAAGCAGGTTAATTGAAGAAAGAGGGATGAACACTCAAGGCATATGTAATGACTTAAAACTTGCTTCATGAGAAGTAAAAAAGTTTGCTGGAGATTGTGGGGTGGAAAGGGAGGGACGGTTTAGCACTTTGTACTCTTCCACCTTATTCTGCGGTAGTCAGACCTCCTTCTGAACACAGTGTATGGTTCTGGACACCAGAGGCGGATTTACGGGAGCACGACCAATTCAGTCACACTGAGCTTCAGGGGTGCCACAGGGGAAGCTGCAACTCTGATTTAGAATGGAGTGCAAAGGGCGGGGGGGAAGCACCAATTTTTGGTGTTGCACAGGGTGCTGCTGAAATTTGAGACCACAACGTGGGCAACACCCCTCAGGAAGAATGTAAACAAACTAAAATGGACTCAGAACAGGGAAACGAAGATGGTGAGCAGAATAAAGAAAACAAGTCCTGTTAGTTAAGGTTGAAGTAGGGCTGCCCTACAACCAGATTTTCCCAGACATTTCTGGGATTTCAAAGTTGGAAATGACGTCCGGGGGGAATTTCCGAAATGTCCCAGATCACAATTTGGCATTTGTCTAAAAAAAGTTTGTCTAAAAACACCACAATTTCGGTGGTTTCCTAAAAACAAGCTCAACAATTTGGGGGTGTCCTGGTTTTTACTTTTTTAAATATGGCAGCCCTAGTCGAAGGAACTAGGCATGTTTAGTTTAGAGAAGAGAAGACAAAGAAGACATGACAGCACCCTTCAGACTCACTGAATGGCTGTCACATGGAAGAGGGCATGGAGGAGTTTGTTACTTCCCCAGACGGCAGGACTAGATCTAATTGGTTTAATTTACAGGAGGATAATATTTAGGCTCAACCCTAGGAAAAACTTCCTCACATTTTATAAAAAGATTATCCCACCCCCTTTGAGAACCCTGTTAAAGCAATGAATTTATTGGCTCCAAAACACATTATGGGGCACAAAAACAAGAGGCTATAAGGCATGTAATCTACTATTGTGCTACTATTTATCACTTAGTGTTTATACAACAAGAGGCTTACCATTTAAGTAAGGCAAGGGGAATGGAGAGGAAAGAAAGATGTGCATGATTAGTTAAATGACACAGCAAATACTCAACTTATTTTGTTTTTAAACACACCAACAGAAGGAGCTAGGCAAACATCCGGTTTAAAAAAAAAAGTTCCAATGGTAGGGAGCAGCAAATGAGAATGCATGGAACTGGGAGGATATAATTTTGGTTTAACAGAATATAATTTTGGTTTAACAGAGGTCAAGAGAAAAGCAAAAAAAACACGGCAGTAGAGAGAAAAAGCAAAATTAATGGAGATAAAATGAGTAACATGGTCACAACAACAATAAAATTATTGTGAGTTTAACAAAAGAAAGATTTGAGAGAAGAGGCCTAAGCAAAAGGTGTTGCAACTTATTAAAGAGATAACAAGAATGAACACAAAATTATTGGTTGCATCAAGACAGAGATAATTGTGAATGTTATAAAAATAACCAAGATAAAAACCATGAAATTTAGCAGCTGAGTGAGTACTGGGAGAGAAATTAAGACTCCAATGCAACACCAAAATTACAAGCTTGAGGGATATAAGAAATAGTAGACCTACCAAGCAGAAGAAAATGTAAAGCAGGAAAAAGAGAAAGGAAGCAGAAACTTGTTTTTTTCAGAATTCAGTTTTAAGAAATGCGTAGTCAGCCAAGGAAAATAAATGGTGATGCATAGTTAAGAAAGTAATGAGATCAAGGGGGAGGAATAACCAGTAACTTCTTTCTTTCTTAACAAAAAGGCTATAAAGTTAACTTGAAGATTCTAAGGTTGTTGTAGTAAGAAATGATTGGCTAAAAATGAGGAAATTGGTTTGAGTTAATTGCCACTCATACCATCAATAAACTTTCTCTGAGAGCAGCTGGCTGGTAGGGATTAGTAAAGTACAGTAATACTCCCTTTTTGAGACACATGACAAGGGAGCACACATTTCTGTTCCATCCAGATATTACAGAGTCCAATTTGGGCAGGTTGATATAACAGGGAACAACCCCAGCCATATTACTCATACTTAGGAGTCAGGCAACAAAGCCATATTATTTGGTTAACATCCATCTCCTACATCTTTCTTCCTCCTAGTCAGGGGCAATTCACAAGCCAATTGCTACAACAAGAGTTATGTAATACTCATCACTCAGTGAAGCAGTTGTATGAGTGTTTCAGCATAAGCTCAACTAACAATTCAAAGGGATTTTGCCATGTCAACCCTAAATCCACTTTCAGCAGCTTTTAAGTTAGCACAGCAAATAATAGTTAAATTGTGTGCCAAGTCCATATGTGGTAGATTCAGGTGAACTGTTTATGCACCAGTATGCCCTGATTTATGTAGTCACTAAATGCAGACTATCAAGCAGAACTTGTTTATTCTGAAGGGAATCCTTGTGCAACAGACTACAAAACTAACAAGAGGCAGATTTTTGCAGGGCGGCCAATGAATATTTGCTGCAGAGCCAACTGAAGTTGAACCCCTTCAGAAAAAGTTCCACCATCTAAACACACCAATTTAGGGCTTGTTCACATGTATAGCAGTGAGCTTTGGGGAAATGGGTTGGTGTCAAACTCTAGAAACTTCCTGCCATGCAACTGCAGCTGGTCACATGAATGTCAGCCCCGTATACTGAACACAGCATTTAACACAAAACGCAGGGGCTGTGTGCAGTGTTGTAAACTAGCCTTTAGTCTGTGAATGTCAATGATTCTCAGCTATGAAGGTCCCACAAACGTGGGGGAAAATGCTCTCAGGACCAAACCAAATGAGGCAGAGGAGGCCATTGATCAGCTTCTGCCACATTTTAAAGCCTCAAAGCAGTCCTGAGGGTGCTCATTTGATTTGGGGAAAGTGGAGAGTCCACCCATTCCTTTTGCATCCTTTCTCCATCTGTCCTGCTTCCAGTCCCTCTCGTCCTTACACAACTACCTGGACATTCTGCACTCTCACTTCTACAGGTGTGGCTCTCTCTCTCCTCCTCTCCACATATGAGCTGCATCACACCACTCCAACACAAACAGGCACACTCCAGCTTCTTAATGCTGCCTGCTTCCTCAGAGAGAGGTGGTTGGGCTCAACCCTCCTTTTGAGCAACGTTGTTAACCGGCCTGGGAGCCCAGTCCCACCCTGAAAAACTGCTGCCGTATCTTACGTGGCTGTCAGCGAAACGCACTCTGCACATGCTCAGAGGCGCCGACTGTGAGAGTTCTGGGGCGCCGAGGCGAGGCCAAGGCTGACGCTGCCTCAGGTGCGTCTCCCTCCCCGCACCTGCGTCAAGCTCCAGCCCGCGTCCCTCACCTGCCTCTCCCCTCACCGGCCAGAGAGACCCCCCCCCCCAGCCGCGTCCGCCTTCGCCTCCTTCGCCGCTCCCTCTCTTCTCACCTGGTGGGTGCTGTTGCCCAGCACCTCCAAATCAAAGCCGCCGTCTCGCGGGCCACACACTCCCTCGGATTCGGCCCGCCGGACCCGCGGCGGCGCTCCCGCTCCGAAGCGGAGCTCGCGGCCGTAGAGCGGGGCCGCCAACAGCAGGAGGATCCCGGCGCGCATCCAGCCCGACGGCTCCATCTCTGCCGCCGCCGCCGACAACAACCTCCACCACAGAAGTCTCTCCTCAGAGCACGGAGGCGGCTCACCCCCGCCGCCCCGCCCACCAAAGCCTCGATTGGGCTGCGCCGCTCAGGTATGCCGAAGCCATTGGCTGCGGGAGGTGGCACTCTTATCTCCCTTTCAGACAGCAGACAGCCTCTTCTGACAGCTCCTCTGCCATTCGCGCAGCGACCCCAGCCTCTATTTTCTAAGTGGTTTACAGGGCTGCCAATTGCGGCGCAGCAGCCAACCCTGCCCCCACCCCCCTGTGGCCATTGGCTACCTCCTAACACCAGCCTCCTCCTCCTAATTCTCTAGCTGGGCAGCATCACCCCACTTTGGAGAGCACCTTGCCCATTGGCTAGCTGCCTACCAGCGTTTCCCCTTACAGCTCCTAGGAGTAATCTTAGCCTCCTCGCTGCTGTGCTCCGATTGGTTAGAAGAGGGTGGCACTAAGGCTTTTTTTTTAATTGGCGGAAATTCGATGCTGCTTTCGTCCTAGGGATTCTTGGAGTGGCTCGGAGCGTTTGGGATGGAGATTAAGACCAAGATAGGGAGACTTTTTTTTCTCTTCTAATTTTCACATACTGGTATTTGTTACATTTGCCCACTTATATGGGCAAGCAACTAGTCCTTTGGGGAAGGATTCATTGGGGGGCAAGGCTGTGAGCCATTCTGGATTTGAAATCCTCTTCTGCAGTTAAATCACCTCGCCTTCTGGACACCTGCTGGCCTTCCTAAAAGATATGCACAAAGTCCTACTGCCTTATCAGTTTGGATCTCTGAGTCAGGCAATTTTTATGGCCATTCTCTTTCAGATGTGCTTTGAACGAGCACAGGGTCCTCGTTTGGTTTCTGTTGAAGACTCAAGTGAAAACAGCAAGCGAAAAAGCAAGGGTCAAATTACAGAAAAAGAAAAGGTCAGGTCTGTCACCTAGATTTTGTCATTTTTGAATGACTTTCTCTTCCACCCTATTGAGTGTTAAAGGATATTCCAAAGAAAAACAAAAGCATACCAAGAGAAATGGTATTTAGATCCTTCCCAATATGCCTAAAATGTACAGTACTGCAAGACATGGGCTTAAAACCTACACCCATTTACTGAGGAGTAAATCCCATTGACTGAAGTGGATAGATTGTGCTTTTAGAGTGTGTCTTTAGAGTTTTTAGAGTGCCCCAAGCATTTTAGAGTATATTTTTTTCCACATTAGGTTAACATGGGTTGCTGCTCTGAGAGTTAGTATATTCTATCTTGGTGCATCCAGGATCCAAGTTCTTTATTCCTCCATGATGCTTGTTTTACTTCATTGTCTCAGCAGTATGGTTAAAGCATAATCCCAGAGTCGAAAAAGCACACACAGAACATTTTGAACACCCTTTCTCCCTCATTTTCCTTTTTTCAATGATAGAAATGGCTTGACTAAATGTGTGAAGCCCTAGTATTGGAACAGAGCAAAGGATACATTAAATATTTATTCTCTCTTCACTCCTCATTGCCATAGAGCCGGCAATTATGGCATTTTGCTAACGAGCAACACAAACAGGCACATGATGTTCCTTATACTGCTCTCACAGTACTGAAGGCTTTTTTCTTATGAAGAGGAAGGTATAATGTGTCCTACTAACAAAAATGCAGATACATCAAAATAGCCATCACAAAAGTATCAGGGCAGGCAGACACCTAGTTATGAGCACTTTAAAGAAAAGCAATGGTTCATGACACAGATGCCCTTCACAGATGATGCAGTATATATGTATTTTCTGCAACCAAGTTCAAAATGTAGCGTAAGTAGTGACTCCACATAATTAAAGCCTGATCTTTAGGACAATGGTATTGGTAAACTGCCAACACACCTCACTCAGTTAAACACAGTTAAGTACATTCCACCTCCATTAATAACAATGGAAAAGTACGTACTTAATTAAATCTTCCTTCAAACTGAACAAAGCTTATTTTGGCTGGATCATGTATCACCATATATAATTCAAACTAAAGGCAAAATGAAGTTTTAAGGTTACATACAAACGAAGATGTTAGAAACTGAGCACTTAATGATAGTTATCAGAATTGATAAATCCTTGCATTCCCGAATACTATTTTTAATGGGCTGGACAGTAAGGTATCCTTAATCCAAGTCACAGAGGAAACCAAGGCAGACTTCATGAGATGCCTTCATTGAACCTTCATCTACTAGGTCTACTCTTGTTTGCAGGAATGGAAGTAGAGTGCTGCTAAGTAGTTGGATAGCCAGATGGAGCATCTACAGACTTTACTTTGACCCTCCTTTCTTTTACACAACTGAAGACCCAGGAACACTGCAGCCCTCCTAGCAAGCAATGGGTTAACAAGTTTTATAGCTAGAAATAGCTAGAAAGTAAAGCCTTCAGAGTATGAACAGGAAACCAACACATAACAGAAGCATTGCAACATGAATTCATGGGAGAGGGGGAAGAGTTGAAACCTACATGCAAGAACCACAAGTTGCTGAAATAGTGTATAGTTATTTCACATAAAGTATTACATAGCATTATGGACAAAAAAGAGTGGAAATTAACCAAAGAAAACAGTTGTATATTCTGAATGTCAACGCTAGAGACAAATAATTTGGACAATTCAGAACTTTGCCACCAAATCTCCAAACCTATCAGGGTTGCAAGTGGCCATGCTATAGGATGGTAATCTTCTGAGGATTTTGATCACTTGCCCCAGAAAAGAAATACACAATTATTTAATGTACCAGGTAAGTACAGCTGCTGCATCTGGAGTCCTAGGGTGGGGAGGTGGATGGAGAGAGAAGCACACAACCAGGAACAAACTGCCTTTACTCAACAGCTCACTGGAGGCAGTTGGGGGGGGGGGAGGAAAAGTTAGGGAAAACTACAGTTGCAATGCCACTGCACTCTATTGCAATAAGTACAGTCACCTTGGGGAACCTTGAGTTGCAAAGGAAATATTAATTACATAGGGCAATATCCTACTAAACAGTTCCACTAGCACTTCTCTTGTGGGTCCACCCCCCCCCAACCTCCTAGAACAGATTTATGGGCCACTGAGGGAGAAGGAAGCCAAAAGTGCTTGCTCTAGCAGAACTGTTTAGCTAGATACCACCTATGTAGCAGCAGCAGTAGTAATAATATTCCAGAACTGTTAGGAAATCAGGAAATGGATTTTTTTAAATGAGGATTTTAAAATAAGGCTTTTAAAATGTTCCTGTAACAGTATCACCAGAAAAACAAGACTGAAAAAGAATGAAGAACAAAGATTACAATTATCTTTGAAAATACCTGTCAACCTTATAAAGATGACAATGCATGAAATTACAGTTCAGAGACTGCTTAGTTGCACCCAGACATGGAGCATCCCAGTTACTATATATTGTGAGCCACAGAGTTTAATGGACCAAGTTGGGGTTGACTGGTTGTATCCACAGATCACTATTTAGAATGGCCACTTTTCATACTTTATATTTTGTAGGATAGTCACTTTGAAATACAGATCCTTAGTATCTAAGGTCATAAAGACTAAAAGTGTGCAATTTTGGCAACGTTACCTTGTAATACTTATGGTGTATGCACAAGGGCACAAAAATTGGATATATATATATTCTAATAATATTCAATACATCCAAAGTATTTTGGTACCTCTCGACAACAGCTGATGCAAAAATCAGCTGATGATCAAATAATGTCGCTAACTGAACAGATGTATTTGCTTTAACCTATGGCGACAGAATAAATGCATCTGTACAAGCAACCAAATTAAACTATACACTATAGAAAGCACAATTTGGCACAGGTGTTTTGGTTTGGTCAGCATCAGCTATGGACACCTAATATGATGTATCTAAAAATTGTCAAAATAGAAAGCAGGTACAATAAACCCTCAAGAAAATAGCATGTTCCATGTGTATTGGAGCATATAGTGAAACAGATCCTGCAGATATGGAAGTAGTACATGTTATCCTGTAGGCAACCAATAGCTGACCCAGGAAAATGAGGAAATAAAGCACCATGGAAAAGTTCAGCATCTTGTACACATAAAAAATGTGATTTAGATCAGTTAAAGAGTCCAGTATTTGACCTTGGACCAAGGACAAAATAATTGTTTCAAAAATTAGTGAGCCTCCTCATACCTTATTTGCCCATGTTAGTTTGCATTTGAAATGTGCAGGCAGGCATACCTACAGCTACATTACAGATTATTTACTTTCAGAGTCTCTCACGGGCTAAGGAGACACACTTTTCAAGATCTGACTGTAGTAGGCAAAAATTGAATCACTTTCGGTCATAGAAAGACTGATGAGAGCAAAGTCTTGCTTTTTGGTTTGCGAGAAATCATGGTATGATCACATGGTCTCTGGTACCAGCAACAGCGCCTAAAGCAGAATATAAAAAGCCTTTGTCTTTAGTGCCAGGGAAGCTTTTCCTTTTTGCACAGAGCAAACGCTAGATGAAAAACAACAGTTCTATATTCCAAACAGGCTTTAAAATGCACCCATTCAAGCTTATCCTGTGATGTATCCATTCTTATAGATAAGCAGAAGGCACAAACAGACTAGCCACCCGCTATGCAGGTCATTACCTAGCCCAACATAGGCCTGTCCTTTTTCTGCTTATTGCTCATTAAGACCATTAACTTCTGCTCAGCCAAAGTATAGCCACTAAAGGCACACACAATCATTTCTGTGTTAATCTTTGCAATACTGTGTTCAGGATGCAATTACAGCTCTCATTACTGGCAAAATATTTTTGTAAGTACCAATGACTGCTAGGCAAATATTGTCTGCCAAGCTGTTAAATGAGACAGACAATTCTTAACTTTCATGAATGAGTAATCCTACAATTTCCCATTTTACCCAACCTGTTTGATATTGCATTGTTTGTTATCCCAGCAGCTTAGATTACTCTAGCCTTGCTGATATGCATTAGAACAAAAAGAAATGAACAAGGGCATGGCACAAAGTTACCACGCACTCCTGTTCTAAAGTGAAAATAAAGCCAGTTGGCCACAGTATCAAATATCTAAAAAGCAAGTCAGACCAGATAGTTTATTAAACGAAAACTTTTAAAAATGAAATCGGCAGGCCTATTTGTCTGACAATTCAGTTCTTATCTAGGATAGAAGCATATCCTCTCCCATAGGAAGATACAAGGTGCAAAACTAGATCAATTCACTAGCGGCTAAATTCTGTTGACTCATTAAGAACATGTGTTCCCACACGAGGGAGCTATGCCATTTGAATGTCTAGAAATGGAGCTCCAGAAGTGGATTTTGAAGGCTACATGTCTGGGAGTTTGATTATGAATGCTGCCCAGAAAAGGAAGACAGCTCAGCACAGTAATGTTAGATTAGAAAGGTAACAGAAAATTGCCCCACGTAAGTGAAGTACTATACAGTAATCTTAACTGTAGTAAATAGTATAAATGCCCAGAAAGTTAGTATTTTAACTGTGCTACTTACTCAGGTGCAATCTTGCAATATGAAAAAGGGATTTGGGGGTCTAAAATGTTTCCCCACAGCATGTATCAGTGATGTTTGTCACTGTTGTCAGGATGGGAGGTGATTTAGTTTTTTTTTTTTAATGAACTGAATAAGCAGTCAACTGAAGTTAAGAGTCACATTCTGAAATACTACTGTAGTAACAGGCACCAGAGAAGGCAGCCCTGAATTTTCATTGGGATATTGTACTTCCACTCTCTTGTTGTCGCAACGTTTCCAGTTTGGTCCAGCACCAAGTTGAACCATTCCTCCAACCCCAGAACTTTTATTATAGAAGAATTGACATAAGAGTAACAAAATGATTTATTCTAGTTTCCTCTTACTGAAGATCTTTTATATGTACAGAAACTGTAAAAAATATTTTGAGCCTTTGTTTAAGAGCAGGCATACTTGCTGCTGAAATAAAGTTACGGGCACTGGAAAAAAACTGAAGAATCAGTTTGCTGTGATCAGGGAATGAGGCATTTGGAGAGGTTCTCTCCCTCATCAAATATCTTTGATGACATCTTCAAGTTCTTCTTTTGTGTACATGTGGAACTTCTTCCCAGGCTGCACTGTTGCAAGCTGCAAGGACAGGGGGAAAAGGTTACATATGCTTATGTACATTAAGAAGACATAGCACAAGACACAGCAGACAGCTCACTGAACTCTTTTGGCTCATGGACTGTTCCAATCGAACACGTACCAGATTCCTGAACAGCTACCCTGTTTCCCCGAAAGTAAGACATCCCCCCCCCCCAAAAAATAAGACCTCCTTCCAGTTTTGCCTCTCGCTGTAATATAAGGCATCCCCCGAACATAAGGCCTCCCCCAAACATAAGGCCCCCGAAGCTACTGTAAGGCGTCTGACTCCTCTGGACCGTAGCGGCGGACTCTGCCGCACAGCTCCCTGATTGGCCGCAGCGCAGCCGGAGCTGTTCAGGCAGTGCAAGGTCTCTTTAAATCAGAGAGCCCGTGCCGCCACCTACTGCTCGCTCTGCCCTGACGGAGTCTGGCTGACTCACAATTAGACAATAAGACATCCCCTGAAAATAAGACCTAGCGCATCTTTGGGAGCAAAACTTAATATAAGATACTATCTTATTTTCAGGGAGACAGGGTATGTGAAACTTCTAATGTACTTTATTTCTCTGTAGCAGAGGCAAAACCAAGAAGCCTCTACTGAACATGCTTGGATTCAGCTGCTCCTTTATCAAAATGAGCATGATAGCTCTTATCAGGGCTTTTTTTTAGCTGGAACCTGCCAGAACTGAGTTCCAGCACCTCTCAGGTGCCATTCTAAGAGAGCATGGAAGGCGTTCATGGTGAGTTCTGGCACCTCTTTTTCTAGAAAAATAGTACTGGCTTTTATTGTGCAACCCATTTCTCCAAAGCACTTGAATCCAGTCTTTGTAATTCCACCCCTTAAAAAGGGGGTGGGAAGAGTCATATGAACTGAATTTCCATGCTACTGGGCATTTCCAGGGCCCGGTTCGCACTAACCATCATCCCCATTGTAAAGGAGATGGCAGTAATCTCCAGCACACAAAGGCGGTACAGACCCTTCAAAATGTATGAACTGAAGCATAGTCAAGAGATGGCTCAAGGAGCTTGGCTCTTTTTAAATATATATATACATGCAAACAAATCAGGTAGGCTCTTAGTATGGTTTTCCATGTTGTCAAAAGGTTTGTATTCAATGCTGTCTGCATCGAGTTGTGTTCTGAATGGGACCTCTACTTCATGTCCCTCAAATCTTCTCCAGAGGGTCCCCCAACCCTCTGCAACATATTGGTGGTGCACAGGGGGCTACAGGAAAGAGGAGGAGGAAGTCCCATTGCACAAGCTTAAGTCTGTTGCATCTCTCAGCTTTTCAACAATGCCACCACTGCCTAATATGAATACTGTATGTGAAGCACTTTGAAGCACATTATCTCAGTAACTCTATGAAGAAACATGTTAGGCTCATTTTTAGAATGAATTATAAAATTGTATGACTGTAGAAAGGTGTGACTTTCTTTACTTTTTACAGTACAGTACGTTGTTTACATACTACAGAAATAACCCTCTAACAACCCTTCTTGAGGGCAGGTGATAGTGGTGCAACTCCAAAAACATCTGGATGAAACCAATATTATTAATTGGCTTGAAGCCCAGCTTTGGAACAGAAACTGCCTTGATCACTCTGGTACATGACCTATGCTGAAAAACAGAGACTGTGAGTGTGACCCTGCTGAAACTCCTAGACAATCAGCAACTTTCAACACTATCAACTCTGATATCCTTCTCAGTCACTTGAACAAGCTGTGAGTTGAAAGAATGATTTTGTGGTGGTTTTGCTCCTAGTTGGTCAGAATATTCCAGAATATGGTAGTGATAGCCTCTTAATCATGATATAGGGTCCTTCAGGGCCCAATTCTGTTCACGAGCATTTAATTTTTTAAAGAAAACTGCTGGGTGATGTCCAGGAGTTTAGAGTAAGGTGACACTCAACTCTATTTCTCTTCTTCAGTGAAGGCAGGTTAGAATGTGAATGTAAAAAGCTGCCTTATTACCGGCTCAGAACATTGGTCCATCTAACTCAGTATCGTCTCTGCTGACTGGCAGCAGCCCTCCAGGGTTTCAGCTAGGAAACATTTCCAGCCCTACCTGGCAATTTCAGGATCAAGCTGGGGATTTTCTGCATACAAAGCAGATGCTCTACCACTGAGCTATTCTCCTTCTAGTCCACAGAACTACTTTTAAAAATACAGAAGTCTCCCCGCCTCCACTCCATGTTAGATGTGATCAGAAGCACATTCTTTAAAGCATTTCGTGCTTTTTAATTGCAGGGGCAGACTACGAAAGGGGGACACCAGAGATTTAAAGAGAAGTGCAAAGTGTAGCTAAACAACTCTTTCTCCCCCTCTCATGATACTAGACACTTAGGACCCAGATCACGCATTACTCACATAAAGGGGCAAAGTGTGTAAAAAGGTACTGTACCTTTGAGCCCACCCCCTGTTGTTGCATAGCTTCCCCCCTCCCCGCCACAGCCCTGCTTCCACCATCCACACCTTAGCATGGGCATCTAAAAGGAAAGCACTCACACGTAGCTCTCTATGCATAGAGGCTTCCCTGAATCTTGCAACTCGTAATAATGTACATTGCTTCTGAGCCCAAGTTTTCCCTCAGTGCACACAAAACTTGCTCCCTGAACCTGTATTGAAAACTCACACTAGAGATTTAACATTGCTTCAGATCTTATTACAGAAAGACCTTGGAAGTCACACAATTTTCATTCCATCTAAAACTTGAGTGCCAAGAAAGCACTGCTGAGCAAAGGAAACTTCCTTCTTAAAGAAAGTGCATGATGGCAAACAGGCATGTTCCCTAGATAGTATAAAACATTTTCTAGAAGTCCTCACCACAGAAGATTTTAACTAGCTGCCTTAGGTCCCTTCAAGGGAAAAAGCAGGGTATTAAAATATATAACAGCAACACTGAGTTCTGTTTTCACTTTCAAAAAACCTGCCAGGAAATTAATTTCCAGAATCCCACAACAGTTTAATCAGGGCATTCATTCCTACAGCAATGGTCTCTAGCTTCTATAAAATTCAGTTATAGAAATTGAGAGAAGCACCAAGGTAGTGACCAATTCTAAAGAGCCTCTCAAAAGGCACCAAGATGATAAGAAGTTAGGGCTGCTATTATTTGGGCAAGAGGATACAAGAACTCTCACTTCAAGGCTAAAGAGTGTCAGAACTATCAAAGCTGCAGTTATAAGTATGAGATCTTTAAAGATGCATCTCAAAGGCATCTGTTTGGGTACTGTGAGAACAGGATGCTGGACTAGACAAGCCACTGGCCTGATCCAGCAGGCTCTTCTTATGTTCTTATGCAAAGACATGAATCCCCTATGATGAAGCAGCTATTAGCTAAGGGACATAATGCCTTGTAGTTTCCATACTGTAGATACAGGTGGATAATGCTTGCCTTTATCAAAAGAGCAAAATACATACCTCAATGTTAGTTGCATTCAGTTTCTCCTCCATAACTTGTTTTAAAATGACAAGGGATGACTTGATTGCTTCTTTCAGTGTCATTGACTGTAAAGAGAAGTCATGAAAGTTAAGCACTGGTGCACACATGACTACTTTAAATCTCTATACCAAGATTGTCTCCATATAGCAAACAATCTGCTTGTTTTAGCAAAAGCTAAAAGAGGTTTGTAATGGCACACAAGAATTTTCCTGTTCTTTTTGGTATGACATTGTATATGAATGCCTGGATAGAATAACTGCTCTACAGAGTGGTTTAGAATGAAGAGCTGGTATGGAATTAGCTATTAATCCTTTGTTAGAGAAGTATTAATAGAAATCTTTGTCCATACTTGCCCACAACTTACTACTATAAGAATAACTTTATAACTTAGAAATGTAGTGTTCCATTTACATCAGGAGGCACCAGCTGCTTTACTACACCTTCATAACAGAAAGATTAGGGACCACGTGTCAATTGCAGAACTGTCATTCTTGTCTCTTTTACCTCTGTTCTTCCACCAGGGAACTGCAGTAAAGAGTGTTTTATGGGACAAAAAAATCAAGATCTGCTTTTTTCAGATCTCATCCTATTACCTTGTGGTAAACTTCTTGCAGAGAGCTTTGTGCACCTTCTGAAGCTGATCCAATTGCTCTTGCATCACACTGTACAAACGTCCCAGAAGGGTCCATGTGAAACCTACACAAGAAGAGGCAATGGGGGATGAGTAGAAAATTAATGGGACAAGGAACCTTTCTAGAAGAGACACAGTAAAGCATGATACTTCAAGGATTAAGAGGTGTCTATAAACTTGGCCTATTGTGATTCAGCAGCACCTAGAGACTTGAGCATTCTTTCCTCCCACATGGCCAAGGAGGAGGGGTGAAAAAAGGATTTAATTTACCAATTTCTGGCTTGTTATGCATGAAGTAGGAATTGTGGCTTGAAAAAAAGTAGTCAACTGCAACACAAACCATAGTCAAACCATGGTTTATGAAGCAGGCTTGCTTAATAAACTACAGGATTTATTTTAAAACAAGCTTCCTAATTTGAACATAAAAATGCTATTAGGAAAAATGGTATTTAATTCTGTGTTTTTTCTCCTCTTGGCCATACAGGAGGAGGAGAGGGGAATCCTCAAGCCCAAGGTTTTGCTCAGACTTACAGAAGCACATAGTTTAGAGTTACATGCAAACCAGTCATGGGTATGCATGGCAGCCAAAGTGTTAAAATCTTGATAGTTGGATTATTTTGATCTATAGAGCATTGTGTGGTGTTCTGCACAGAAACTGGCCTTTCCTGGCTCTCCTCCAGCAATTGATCCTGCTCCAAATAGCTAGTCCCAGAACCCTCCAAAACAGCATATACAGTGGTACCTCGGGTTAAGAACTTTATTTGGTCTGGAGGTCCGTTCTTAACCTGAAACTGTTCTTAACCTGAGGTGCCACTTTAGCTAATGGGCCTCCTGCTGCCGCTGCACGATTTCTGTTCTCATCCTGAAGCAAAGTTCTTAACCCGAGGTAATATTTTTGGGTTAGCAGAGTCTGTAAATCTGAAGCATATGCAACCTGAGGTACCGTGCAAATGGCATATTCTGGTTCAGGGCCATGTTATTCTTTAAGGAGCTACAAAGACCAACTATTTACTTAACTAATAAACCACAAACTAAATTATGAGTATGAGCTTTCACAGGACTGGAGTTTGATTCATTAGATGTTAAAAGGTCATTGCCTGTTTAAGGAATTGCCTGAAGGATCTCTATGTATGTTCCCAAATAAGTTAAATTAAATGATGGACAGAACATGAAATGGCAGAACAAGAACTGATAGAGCAGTTATGTGGACCAAAATTTTCAGAGTCTCTCACGTTATACACCTCAATGGGAGAAAGAAGATGAATATTCCATGGAGGTGACTTCAAACTCCAGACAACTGTACTTATATTCCTGCAATAATTCAATCTGTTATAGCATTAGACAGAACAGACTGCACTTTAAACCACTAATGGTCTTTAAATAGTTGTTTTTTAAAAAACCAAAACGAATGGCAAAGAACTGGCATAAAAATAATGTTAACAATGGGGAATGAGGCAATGGGTGGGAAAGGGAAGAGAAGAGTACAAAAAACTCAAGTCTTAGTCAGAATCAAATGTGCAACCATTCTGAGAATGTATTTAAGGTATTACTTGCAATTCTAATAGATTATCAAGAGACAAACTGACTGATACAGTAAAATACAGTACAGAAGGTATTGGGGTGTCTGCTTGAGATGACTACTGAAAGATAATCAGACAATTATTATTTTGCAGATTTATTCTGATTTCAGGTTAATGCTAGCAGTATTTGCGAATGTTTTGCATATGCAAATGATCTTGAATGCATGTTCCATATATTTAATTAAGAAAAATGTTTCAATAAACATTTTTTTGCAATTTTAGATTGCAACTCCCTTATCTTTTAGTGCACGTAATCCTTTGTTTTAATCACACTCTCAACCCTTGTTCATACTGCTCTCTCTCCTACAAAACTGAGGAAGGCTTGCTGGTTTAAAAAGAGCTTGCAGCTTTGAAGTATACAGTTTCTGGTTACAAATGCTCTCCCAACCCCACCTAAGGAATGTCATAGCAGACTACAGATATTATATTACCAATAGCTCTGCTAGTCCTTTAGAAAAGATTATTTGCATACTCCCCTATTCACTCTGAATGTTTACATGTTCAAACATTCGGGATTTATGCAAGTGTCACATTCTGTGTAACAATGTGCCACTTAGGCAACTCTGAGAACAGGAACGGAGTAGACTTCCCTTGCACCCCGATCTTATAGATAAGGCATAACTACAATGGCATATGGTAGCCTGAGCCAACATTTGACTGTGACAAAATTCATCATGTTATCCTGCCTGTCCATCACAATTGCACCATAAGGAGTTACTGAACTGCATCAGACGTATTTAGGTTGCACTATTGTAGCTGGTCTGCACCGACGGAAAAAATATATTTAAAGCAGCTTACAGGGTAATAGTCTCCAACCCTACATCAATAATATTGCCATTTATCGTTTCTATTCTGCCTAATAGCTTTTCACCGCTATTCAAACTTTAGTGATTATGACAGATGCTAGCATAATATGGCTAGGATGCTGCTGCAATATTCTGAATCATCTTGCATTATCAATCCAATGTATTGCCACTTATTTACTGACACGGTATCTCACAAGGTGGCAGATACCCCCCTTTTTCAGAAGGGTACCCCATTTCCTACCAATTGCACAACAGGTAGACACGCTGCACTTGAACATACAAAGAAAACAGAGTGAAAGAAGTAACGGGCAACTTACAGCTGTGGTCCCTTTTCATCAACTCCTCCAAAGAGTAGTGCCACGCCAAATGGCCTTGACTGGAACATAATCACAGAAGGATCAAGACTTTAATGGCTGAGTAACTGGGTAAGCCAATTGCCAAAGATGTGCATGCAGAATATAACTGGCACAAGCACCTACTCACCATAGCACCTGGATCAGCATCTTCTTCTCCAAACTGTAATGCTAAGTTGGACACGGCCTGTGTCACACTCTCTACAGTCATGATTTCATTGTATGTAAACCAGTGATTCTAAGACAAAAGAGCAGGTTGAACTCTGTAACATGAGAGTTTTTCCTTCACACACACACACAGAGCAAATTTACAACAAATCAAATAAAGGATCTTACTGTTACAATGAGCAATGGTCAATTTCTTCTGCTTGGAGAGCTAGCAAATCATTGGCCCCACTCTATGGAAGCAGCTTGGCTAAGAAGGGCTCAGCATGCTGCCCCCCAGAAGCTAAAATCCTAAAATGGTCCCTAACCCCAATCCTGAGAAGACACTTCAGGATGCTGGGGCATCTTCTCTCATTATGCACTAGAGTCCTAAAATACTGGCTTTTGTTCTAGGCAGCACTGTTCCCCAAGTAACAATAATGTGTATTTCCGAACAGAACAAAGTGAGAGTGTGCTTACCAGGGAAGAATTACACAAAAGTTTCACATGCCAATTTCATTGTGGTGCCATTAGGGAGTCACAAGGAATTGGGGAAAGAATTAATGTGATTCATGGGCCACCAGCTGGTTACTCCTCTTAGAACACCTATGTATAATATAGCCCAACTATCTGACGAAGGCGAGATACTGTACACCAACTCTACCAATTCTATGATTCTAAGATTTACAACACATACTTTCTTAGGATGCTTTTAAATGTCTCTCTAGCCACTGGGAGCTGTTTTTCATATACAGTTCCTATACAGGTTGGGAGATTATAAAGATCCAACCACAGCATCCTCTGGTTGGACCATTTAAACATCATCCCAGCCACAGAGAAGTCACTCATAGAGTGGTGACTCCTATGCAGTTAGGGGAATTAAGGCCCCTCAATCTTTCTTAACTACCTAGAAAGGATTTATACCACCACCTGAGCAAAATGATGGAGCTCATTAGCTAGAACAAAGAGGGCAAGAATAGTGTTGGATTGTTTCAGAGTGTATGTATTTTCTACATATTAAATAAGGTTCTTCCAAAAACACAATGATAGGTTACCCTGTTACATCTTAGACTCTTTTAACATTCAGGGTAAACAGGAAATAATATATTGATAAAGGAAGAACAAGAAAACCCTATGCTAACCTTTCAAAGTTAACCTTCAATTTTGTTTATTCCTTAGATAAAGACAGAGATTAAAGTTGCTCTATATTCAACTCTATCACCATGTTCTGCTAATAAATGACTGACATTAACAAAAGGAGGAGGGGAGAGATGCAACACGGATCAACATTTAAATGTTACCTGTGTCTCAACTCTTGCTTTGTCAATTAATGTCTTTGCATCAGCTATTAAACCGCTCATTGCACAACCTGTAAAGAGATACACAAACGTTAGTCAGCTTTGGATCCAATTTGCAAGAAGTAAAAAAAAAGTTTCAATTTCCCAAAAAACTTAAAATCCCTATGAAGTCCGTAGTTTAACTATACACCATGTGAAGAAGTACTTTCTTTTGTCTGTCCTGAATAAAGACGCTTTGTCAACTCCCATTTTCAATCAAAAATTGTTTGTTTTTTTCATGCTTTGAAATCTGACCAAAAGGTCAAAGCCCCTGGATAGGTACTGCATATTTTTCTGGTTTAACTGGCAAATGCAAAGATTTAAGATGGCAAGCCAAACTATATGTGGAATCCTTCGGCTTTCTGACAAAGTGGCATTTATTTTTATTTTAAAACCTCATTAGCTTCTCAGATACACAAAGTAGACCCATGTCCATGAGAAGTTAAATGCTCACAAATATAGATAGTACAGAGTAGTGTGTTAGTCACTTTAATGCAGTGTTAATGCAGAAACTCCTATTGTTCTAGGAGCATTTTGCAACAGGGAATTGCATACGTGTGAGCAGTTTCTGAGTTCTGGGCGCAATACTGTGCCTAGGATTTCAGATTAAAACTGCAGAGTGGAAGGAAAGAACCTTTTTCTGCCTCCCCACTTCCAGCTACTCTCTGAAGACTAGAGAAGAGACCCTCTTAAGCAGTGTTTTTTTTTTCTAAAAACATGTTTAGGCGTACTCTCATTTTGACTCAAGATAATCACCATTTTATGGTTCAAATCAGGGGAAATAAATACAATACATGGACAAAAGTACAAAGATTCACAAAATGTTTAGGGGTATGCGTACCCCTGCATACCCCCAGAAAAAAGCACTGCTCTTAAGAATGCTAGGGGGGATGGGCAGGGGAAGGACTAAATGAACATAATATTTTAGCTTCAGTTCATTCATTTTCAGCTTTATATTCTCGCTATTTAAGAAGCGTGCCTAGACATTCCATAGTTCTGCCCATAACTATGGGCACATTTAGCGCCTAGCTTTCATACCTCAGTTTCTAACACTGCCTTCATGTGCTACTAGAAATATGAAAATACCAGTGTTACATCTTCAGAGTTGATTAAAAACACAAACAATTGTCTGTGAACAGTAAAAAAGTTAATGGTGTACTAGGGAAAACCCATACTGAAGAGATATTACTATTAAACACAGGGAAAGGAAGGTATAAAAATGTAATGTATTTAAGAATACACCCTAGTTTTCTACTGTGGTGTGTGCGTGCCTATGCATGAAACTGTCTTGAGTAGAGGACAGGCTAACATTAGTGATCCAATCAGTGAGCTTCCAGCACAGAAGCTGGCTCAGGATCAAGCGTTTACATTGCAATTCCCTGCCCTCCAAGTTCTAATTTTGGGGACACACTTTCACTAGTGAGGTCAACCAGAAGCAAGTTACAGCTGCTGCTTCCTACTTCTGCAACTATGTCCTGCTGGCCTAGAGCCTGGAAAACCAGTGACTGCCACCATTAAATATTAATTCCCCACCAAATAAAGTCTGCACATAACTTTGTAGTGTGCATTACAGGATAATTTCTCACTAAGAGACTTGCAGAGGAAGAGTTTTATTCACGTACATGCTGCATCACACACTACATGATTTACTGTAGAAATAAGTGAGATTTTGTGACCCTTACCTATATGAGCATCTATTTCTACAATTTTCTCAATACTGCTGGGTTCCATAAGTGGAGAGGTGATCCTCTTCTCCACAGCCAAGCAAACCCCTTCTGCTGTCTGAATTCCAATCGCTGTGGAACCAAGCTTTTTTAAAAAATTGAAAGGAAGAGGAAAAGATTAGTACTACCAACCACCTTTTATATTTAGTGTATCTGATCTATATACTTAAGAGATGCACATCTCAACGTACATAATTGGTGATAATCAGATTCAGAATATCAGAAAAAAATATAAACAAGTTTTACCTACATATGTATTATTATTCAATTTATTATCTGCCCTTCACCATAAGGTTCCAGGGCGGGTTACAACAATATAAAATGAAGCATTAAAAATACTTAAAACAAATTACAAGCACAACTAGAGGGGGTCCTAAAACATATACAGTGGTACCTTGGGTTACAGACACTTCAGGTTACAGACGTTTCAGGTTACAGACTCTGCTAACCCAGAAATAGTACCTCGGGTTAAGAACTTTGCTTCAGGATGAGAACAGAAATCACGCTGCGGCAGCGGGAGGCCTCATTAGCTAAAGTGGTGTCTCAGGTTAAGAACAGTTTCAGGTTAAGAACGGACCTCTGGAATGAATTAAGTTCTTAACCTGAGGTACCACTGTATCTCAAGTGTCAAAGGCCAGGGTAAAAGGGTATTTCTTCAGCACACAATTGAAAATAAATGGTTAAGGTGCCTGGTGCACCTCTATGAAGAGGGAATTCCACAACTTAGAGACTGAAGCAAAGAATGTCCTCTCCCAGATCCCTCTCTCTAACTTCTGAAAATGGTGGAACAAACAAGAGCTTATCCATGGATAACCACACCTAAGACAATCTGTGGGGAAGGAGGCGGTCTTTCAGGTATTTGGGGCCTAAATCATCTAGAGGTGCTTTTCCCCCTTTGATAAAGATTTTTTAATTTCATTTATACAAAACAAATAAATAAAACAGGGAACAATCATAACAACTCAATAATAGGCACAAAAGTAAGTACAGATGCACATGGGTTAAATTACGAAATCAAAGTATGAAAAAATGTGTCTTAACACAAAGAAAGAACATGGGCATTGTTGTGAACTGGTCTTTAGCTTACTGCAAAAAATTATAATTACGCAAAGCAATGCAAATATTTTATACAAATACATTTTAGTTAGAAAACAGTGGCTTATCTAAGATAAGCTCTCTACTGATGTTACAAGTTAAATTTTCTCTGTCTGAACTGCAAAATAGCACACTTAGAAGCACTCAAGGATTACTGATAATGCAGTGAGCAGAAATGAACTGGGAACAGTGTTTGAAGACATGTGGATTGCAAAAGCTAAGACTTGCTCTGGCCACAGGGAGTCCCTGCTGGACTCTTAAAGCCACTAATTGTCATTACCATAATCTTTTAATGCTTCTCTTCTTAATGATGGAAGCATATTTAAGAATAAATGTGGGATACTTAATGATGAATGCACAACTGTTGTGTCCTGATTCTAATAAGCCTACACAAATATATTGTACTGGTTCCAATGCCCAATACAGCCCATCACTGCAAGGACTAGTGGATCCAGAATAGCTAGTTACATTAAGTAAGTCTGATTGTGTTTGTTCTTAGAAGGGACAATAATTACTGATTTCTTAAAATTTAGTTGCATGCAGAGCATGATAGAAAGAAGTACCCATTTAATTTAAGTGTACTGTACACAGAAGTCGTCATCTAAGGTATACAGACATCAACTTTATTGCTTGACAATCCTATTCAGGTCTCCTTGGAAGTAAGTTCCACTCAGTTAAATGAGACCTGCTCCCTTCTAGGTAAGTATGTATAGGATTGTAGTCTTAATGAGTTTAACATTTTACAAAAATTCAAATTTAATGCAGATTAATACAATTAAAGAACACCAGGTTAGGCACAACAACAAAACCAAAGCAAGCACAGCTGCTCACAGTCTGTAACATCTAAACTTCTGTGATCTGAACAAGCAGCACAAGCTTTGGATAAAGTTGCTCAAATAAAGTTGCACCTCACTCCGAAGCTACGGCTTTGAGATTCCCCATTCAACCCATCCAGACTTTGTTGATGACTTGCGGAAGTCATAATGATGATGATACTTTATTATTTCTATCCTGCCCATCTGGTAGTTGGTAGTTCACCACACTTCAATCAGTATGATTTATCAGCAGAGTATGTGGGAGCCCCAGCAGAGTCTTCAGCAGAACAGCTTCCTCCAGCGTCCCTGATTATGGGAAAAACTCCCCTCTCACACAGTTCAAAGCAGTGTTAGAAGTTGGCCAGATGCCAGGCATATTTTGCAACTGGTGCGGGTCCAAGTGCAATCATGTGGAGCTCTCTGGATGCCAGGTTGGCAACTGACATCTTCAGCTGGCTAGCCTCTCCAGCTTTCTTAAGCAGGTAAGCAGAAGAGCTTATTTATTACATTTATATCCCAAGGACTACATGATTTACACACACTCCGCAGTTAATCCCTACAATAACCCTGTGAGGTAGGTTAAGAGGCTGTGCCTGGCCCAAGGTAACCCAGTGAGCTTCATGACCGAGTAGGGATATGAACCCTGATCTCCCAAGTCCTAGTCCAACACTCTAAAGCACTACACCACACGGGCTTCCTAGAGTACTTCTGCTATGGGGCAGCCATAAAAAGTAAGTAGGTAAATAAATATGGGGAAAGCAAAATGTCTCTTTAGAGAAGGATCTGAAATATTTTCCTTGAAGCTTGAATTTGTTTTATTCTGGATAGTTTTACTTGATGCTTTAATGTGTTGTAAACCGCTTTGAGATTTTTTTCTTTAAAATATGAAGTGGTATAGAAATGATGGTGTCCATAACCTAGGTTTAAGGTGCCATTTGATGATTAGCTTATATATCTGAATTCCTAACACTGATTCAAAGTAACGAAGTGTTTATTGTCACCAGACATAAGACAAAGCTAAACACTATTATCTACTATATACCGTTCTTCTGGTCTTTGCAGTCAAAATACATGCGCACAGAGAGATCCATTAACACTATCACCATGCTAGCTAAAACCGCTGTGTAAAACCCACAGCCTCTTTCTCTGACTCTCACTGATTCTGAGTCAGACAGTGATAGAAACAAATCATTTAACAGGACAGGACATTGACATGGAGAAGGCCGTAATACAGTGGTGCCCCGCAAGACGAATGCCTCGCAAGACGGAAAACTCGCTAGACGAAAGGGTTTTCCGTTTTTTGAGCTGCTTCGCAAGACAAATTTCCCTATGGGCTTGCTTCGCAAGACGAAAACGTCTTGCAAGTTTGTTTCCTTTTTCTTAACACCGTTAATACAGTTGCGACTTGACTTCGAGGAGCAACTCATAGAACGCAGTGTACATAGTAGCCTTTTTGAGGTTTTTAAAGACTTTGGTGATTTTTGAAGCTTTTCCAAAACTTCTTTTGCAGCCATTTGGTAAGTTAAGCTTTTAAAACTTTTTTGGGGGGTTTTGGATTTTGGGTTGGGGTGTTTAGAATTCAAGGACTTGGTGTTGGGGAGGGGTTTGCAAGAATCTGGAAGCTTGTGTGTGTTTTTTCTGCATTTTTCTGATTTTCTGTGACCATTGGGACACTCTGCTGTTTTTAAAAAAAAATTCTGGATTTGAATTTCTGTATGCTGGGTGGCTGGGGGAACAGTTGGGGAGGGGTTTGCAAGAATCTGTAAGCAAGTGTGATTTAATTATGCAATTTTATGATTATCTGTTACCAATGGGCCACTCTGCTGTTTTTTTCATATATTTCTGGATTTGAATTTCTGTGTGCTGGGTGGCTGGGGGAACAGTTGGGGAGGGGTTTGCAAGAATCTGGAAGCTTGTGTGTTTTTTTCTGCATTTTTATGATTTTCTGTGACCATTGGGCAACTCTGCTGTTTTTAAAAAAAAATTATGGGTTTGAATTTTGAAATGCTCTTTACAGTATGTGTGACTTTAAAGAGCACTTAATAAACTCTTGTTGTACCAAATTTGGCTTTGTTTGGACTTTTTTTGACCATAGGAACGCATTAATTGATTTTCAATGCATTCCTATGGGATTTCGTGCTTCGCAAGACGAAAACTTCGCTAGGCGAAAAAATTCGCGGAACGAATTAATTTCGTCTTGCGAGGCATCACTGTAAAAGAAATGTGTTAGAGACTATTATACCTATCTCTACATGTAGCATATTTCCTGAACCAATGGGAGAGTGAATGAATCAGCAAGTCATACATTTAAGCTTGCTGGTGTTGCTATGGTAACCCAGTGCACCTGGCACTCTTATCTCAAAACATCCAGGGGGGTATGCTCCTCAAGACATGAGACCATGCACTGTATAATTTAACCCATTGTTCACATCACACCAACAGACTTGAGAGGTGGTATTTACAGAAGAGACTCAAATGCTTATTGTACCTTTATAGCTTCAATGGCATATTCCACCTGGAATAATCTTCCTTCTGGAGAAAAAGTGTTCACACCCCTGAAATTGAAAGTAAAAAGTAAACTCATAGCATAATCCTATGCATGGTAACTCAAAAGTAAGTGTTCCTACTATCACAACCTAAAAAAAATGAGTCAGACTCTTGGAAGTGTCAGGAAGTTTACAAACAGAAGTAAATGGTGCTACATCCTGTAAGAAGCAAGAACTAGGTATGCTTCTTTCAGTGAGTGGGCAGGTGTGTAAGTGTTTAAATACAGTCGTACCTTGGAAGCCGAACACCTTGACTCCCAAACAAATCAGCTCCTGAATGACTGAAACCCGGAAGTGAGCGTTCCAGTTTTCGAACAAATAATAATAATCTACAACAATGCTTGTGCATCTACAGCAAAATCTACCAAGGGCCAGTGTGGGTTTTAAAGGCAGAATAAATCATTTAAAGCGAGTTGTGATTTCTATAACCACAAATGTTCTGTGTTACCTTGCATAAATGAGAGGCCACCAACCTCACCTGGGGAAAACCAAAAGTACCTAAAGTACCTTTCAACTTCATCTTGCAGGTTTGTCAAGCTGCAACCAATTTTCCGGGGGGGGGGGGGAGATTTAAGCCTGAATTTGGCACTTGAGAGTCTGAAGTCAGAAATAAATACGAACTAAAATTAAATTTATTTTGTAAAGTGTGCACCCAAGGAAAATTCTGATACTGTAAATCCCCAAGTATCACAGGGAACAGAGCAGTGTTCATTTGCTAGCTGTTTGTGTGATGTTACCTAAGATTCAACAAATTAATTTGAGACGTTCTGCATAAGTTAATTTGCCCACTGTCTTATAAATACAGAAGTGTTGTTTAGTTTCAGTTTATTGAGCATGATGAATCATTCATAACCTTTGTCAAATCGGTGCAACTGAAAGCAAAAGCTTGAAGACTCCATCACTATGACTAAGGAAACTTGCTGAGGCCTTGCCTCTGCAACAGTTCAGATAATACAAGGCTACCATTGCACAATACAAGTTCTGTCAGTTATAGATTGGAACAATCAAGAATTTTGCCAGCACTGAAGTACAAGATTATTTATGTTTTCCTAAACAGCATACAACTAAAGGGACACAAGCCCCTTCACAACTCATGCTTGCCCATCACTGAGAATGCATATTTAAGACAAACTGGACCTGGAGGCAGAGGCGATGGGGAGCAACAGGAAGAGGAGGTTTGTTGTGATCAGCCTACATTACAAGTGAAAATAGTTGGAAACCTGTGCAGTCAGTAACACTCACTCTCTTACTGATGTAGCCGGTGCATTACTTCTGCAGGACGGAATTTTCCAATTTAGCCTTCATTTAGTCTATCCTCCACTCCCACCTGGCTGGAGAAAAAGGAAGCCCAGAAGAGGAGAGCGGGGTTGCTTCCCTCAACTTGCGTTGCTACTGCAACGGGCTTCTTTTTGCTGAGCAGCACAAGGGTGGGCATCCCAAGTTTATCGGCATCTTCTTAAGACCACGCCGCTTCCAAGGCGACTTGCCTTCAAGCGAGCGTGATGATGGCGCTTCTCGCGATCTCCTCTCTGGCAGGAGGTGGGTTAGGCGACTGTTCTCAAGCCCGAGGAGCTTCAGTCTCTCGAGGGGAGCAGAGACTTCCGAAGGCCACCCGCATCCCCGCCCTCCATGGACCCTCGCAGGGGGAGGGGGCGCCTGAGGGAGGGAGGGAAGGAAGGCGCCTCTAGCCGGCACCCGAAGGCTGAAGCAGGCAGGCCGCCCCACAGTGACTCAGCCCCTGACTAGGCGCAGGCCGCGCTCCCTCATATCCTACCCGCACTCACCTGTCGTACTCCGAGCGAGTGAGAAACATGTCGACGGCGGCGGCGGCGGCGGCTGCACCGGAAAAGAACTGAGCGCACGCGGAGCACGGGAGTTGCAGGTCCGAGTTCGAGCCCCCACGCTAGGCCGGGGATGGCTGCGGCCCTGTCAGCACAGCGCCCGGTTTCACAAGCCACTGTCGCCCCGCGCATGCGTTGAACGTCACGCCGTACGCGCTGCGGCTCGCCGGCCAATCAACTTCTCGCGGTGCCGTCGTGCTATTGGTCTCAGAAACACTCGTACCGAGCCCCGGTTGGCTAATGGTTGCCATGGTCTGTGGAGGGACCTCAGGCCCGCCCTGCCTTCCACAGTATCAGCCACAGGAAATCGCCGAAGAATAAGGAGAAGCAGCGGCGGTTCGGAAGGTGCAACTGTAGTGCGCGAGGAAAATGCTTTTTTACTCAACGTTTATAAGGAACAAGCTTATTCTGAGGGACATCAATAAACTCACCCATCCCAGAACTGGCAAAATAAACTCACCCATCCGCCTGACAAAGTCTTATTATGATTTTGATTTAAATTTCTTCATCGCTTTTCACAGTGAAAAGAGACAAAGCGACTTGCAACAAGTAAAACAAAAACAAAAAACAAAGATAGCATACAAATTGCGTTAAAACAAAACTCTAGATTCCCAGCCAGAGGTGTTTGCCAGCCTTGCTGCCTAATGTATTTTAAGCTAAAGATGCCAAGGAGTGAAACTGGGACTTTATCCATGTGCTCTACTTATTCAGATACAGTACTGTACTGTGTCACACTGAGCTATGATAGTCTGCCAGCCCTGATGTCCCCCCTCCCATATCTGCTCAGCTGTAATAGCATACTCAAATTCATCGTGATTCAGGGACTCTGTGAGGCTGAAGGATCCACAGTTGGGAAGCAGGGAAAGTTGAATTCAAGGGCCACGGGCATAGTTCACTGAAAGAAGAGTATGGTAGAGAAAGCCAAAGGTAGCAGTAGACAGAGACTTTAAAATGCCCCTCACCATGACTGTTAAATCCTGTATCTGCAAGACAACTGCACTCAATCATCAGCATCCATCCTTTGACCCAACCTGAGGATGCTCTGGCTGCTCCCAACTCTCCAGCAAGTAAGTCCCTTACTCTTTGCCTTATAAAATCTCCACACATGCCAAAACAGCTCCCACAACAGCAGCACCTAAAGTTCAATTGATTCAGGTCCCCTTCTCCACTGATAATGGCAAATGGTCAATACCACATACCTTGGCGGGTGGCGCTGTAGTCTAAACCACTGAGCCTCTCGGGCTTGCCGGTTAGGAGGTCGGCGGTTCAAATCCCTGCGACGGAGTGAGCTCCCATTGCTCTGTCTCAGCTCCTGCCAACCTAACAGGTCGAAAGCACACCAGTGCTAGTAGATAAATAGGTACCGCTGTGATGGGAAGGTAAACAGTGTTTCCATGCGCTCTGGTTTCCTTCATGGTGTTCCATTGTGCCCAAAGTGATTTAGTCATGCTGGCCACATGACCCGGAAAGTTGTCTGTGGACAAACACCGGCTCCTTTGGTCTGAAAGCGAGATGAGCGCTGCAACCCCCTAGTCACATTTGACTGGACTTAACCGTCCAAGGGTCCTTTACCTTCACCTTCTACCAATTCTACATACCTTGGTGGGCGGGCTGGTGTTGTTGAGGCATGTGGTAACACAGCCATTGTTACGTCAGCCCCTTGCCCCTGCTAAGGAAGTTGCTTTTTTGCCTGGATAACAGTTCAGTAATTCATGAATAGTATAAGGAGGATGCTGTGGAATCCCCCACTTTGGACCCGCAATGGCCTTACATTTTGCAGCAGTGCTCTAGAACTAAGCAAAGAGACTCTAGATAAAATATTCACAACAGCTTGCTCAAAAAGGAGAGGTCCATCAAGTTAAATATGGGTGAAAGGGATGTCATTGGAGACAGTGGGTCAGCTGACTCAACATTAAAAAAAAAATCCCCAGATGAAGCTTATTGCAAGACTAAGGTACTGGTACCTGCACTTTCCTTTTACAATAATGGTGCTGGGATTAGGGAACTCGTGCTAGTGGTCCAGGTTATAAAACCCACGGTGCCTGATACCAGTTCTCCTATACCTATTTTGTTAGTACTGTGCTTCATGCATCACCCACTTCCTTTTAATGCACACATACATGCAAAAGTAAGCTCTGCTGAATGCAGTGGGACTTACATGTTAAGAATGGAAGAAGAGCCCTGCTGAATCAGACCAAAGGTCCATCTAGTCCAGCGTGCTGCCAATGTGTACACACTTCACCATGTGTATGTGGTAGAATACACTGACCTATGCATGAGAACTCACAAATGGCATGTTGCCTCTGTGTGGAACCCATCTATTCAGTCTCATAACGTGAACTCCTCCCTGAGTTTCTTGCGCCATCGTGTTCTAACTCCTGCTGCTGGCAACCTGCCCAGTTGGCAATCTGCCACTGATCCATAATGGGATCCCAAGTGACCGTTTGAAAATTACTGCTTTGTAGGCTGATGTGGTGCATGGTAACCTGGTAGTTCAATGTGACTTGCTCCTGAAAAGTGTGTATAGGTTTGCAGTCAAAGACTCCCTTCCTTGCTCTCCCTGGAGTTACACAGCAAGAGGCAAACCTTTTCTGAAACCCACCCCCCTTTCTGCTAATAACACTGTCTTGAAATCAAACCAACATCTTCAAGCGCATAGCTGAATCCAGATAATGAATCCAGATCTTCCTTGTAGTACAGGACCCCATGGTAAGGTAGGCATACCTTCCAGAACAAGGCATATTGTACCACTTCTGTTCAGTAAAATTGGCTCGTCTTTGCAAAGCACATTTCAAAATGACAAGCCACCTTTTAAAAAATGTTAAAATATCCTATTTTTAAAGCCAAGCATTAATTTCATGGCCCAAGTTCCCTAAATATAGGAGGAATGCTGAGCCAGCCATAAGTAGAGCAGAGCAGGACTCTGTTCTATCACATAAGGAAATATGCTGGAGGTGTAAAGTCCAAGGCTTAAATAGCGATTCAAGAGAAGGAGGCTCACATGTGGGTTTCAGGTTGCATTACATACAAGCCTATAATAAAACCCTGTGCTGTCCAGGGTGTCTGCCAAACATTAAATTTACTGTATGAAGAAGATGCCTAGAACACTAGCTGCATTTGCAAAAAGAGGTTAAGATCTAGGAAAGGGAGTGATAGATGTACCAGTATGTCACTGACTTTCTGTGTCCTATACTAAGTCCTAGAGTGAAGTCAGGGTAGGGTTGCCACATTTCCTGGAAATTAATAACAATCTAAGCCTACTACCAAGTTCTGAGACAGTGCAGCAAGTGACCCAGAAATAGCCACATACTGTACTCTCTCTGTACACAGAATGTTTGAGCGCAGAAAGATGTGAGTTTGAGGCTGTGATTCTTGACACATGTACCTGAGTGTAAGTCTCATTGAGCTTCAGGAAAGAGACATTATAGGATTGCCCTATAAATCACACCTCATTATTTTTCAAGTTACGGTTTCCTTGTCTTACAAATAAGAGAGCAGGAATAGCCCAGTGGGGAACAGAACCTAGCATATTCTGCTAAATATGCTGGCAAGCACCTGCTTTAACATGCTAAATTAAAGCAGCAACAACTTTCATTTCCTTCTTGGGTTGCTGCTGTTCAATTAAGCAAGCAATTGTCATTGTGCCTCAGTTTTTGACCGGGGGGGGGGGCGGGCAGGGGGAATCAAGAAGTACGTGTTCAGTCCTGACCATTGAGCAAATTGAAATAATAAAATGGTGGCATTCTAATTGATGCTATGGCTATCCTGTTCTCATTCCACAGTAAATAAAGGTAATGCAGGACTCCTAAGGTTTTGCTGCTATGAATTTAACGCAGCTACTCTTCTGCAAACCTTTTTCAATTCTCAAATGTGCTTTTAAAAATGAAACCTTTTTACACAACCTAACCTCAAACATTTATTTTTCAGGAGGATTCCGTAACATTCTGTACTCTAGAATATTTACTCAGGTGAAAGAGACTCTCACTGATGTATGTGGATTCACTTTTTCTGACCTTTAAATAATATTTGAGAATCAGGGGCGCCAACTTGAATAAAATATTGGAGGGGGCAGGTAAGACCCATCCCACTAATCCAACACAAGCCACAGCACATGCACACCATTTGAATGGCAATGCTCATCAACTGGGGGGAAGGGGTAGCTCCTCATATATTTTATGGGGGGGGAGAGACCTCGGCCCCTAGGAGTTGGCTCCTATGTTGAGAATATATACCAATCTTAATGCCTGTGCACTATCTAGATCCTGTGATCTTCAGCATATCATCTAAGGCTGACAAATTCAAATTGTTCAGTTTAAAGGGTTTGTGGTTCACAACCATCCTAGGAGTGTGGTTGTGACAGGGATGTAATCACTGTTGTTTCAATCTCACAATTGCCTATTTATTAAGATGTTCTGCAGTGAAACGGTTTTACTATGTTACACACAAACACACAACACTTTCCTAAGCTGTGAGAAATTTCGGAACATTTACAGGTTTTAGTTTCTTTTGAATGAGAGAACACTCTAGGTGTTACTATATTTTTTATGATACTATGTTCAGGGCCCACTGCCAGCTGTCTGGCCTTGTTCATTTTCCTCTTTGATGTCTCTGCCTCCTCTCCAACCATGTAAGCAGTGATAAGTGTAAAAGAAAGGAACCGCAGTCTTGCCCTCTCCTTCCAGACAGCAGTGTAGACTGGATCCAAAGGAAGAGAGCAGTGGTGACCATGGCAAGGGAAAAGGTGGATCCACTGAGAGCTGAGTGGCTGAACAAGATTCCAGGAGTCTTGGCCCTGGTTTAACCAGGGTTGTATTTCCTTTGGCAAATCAAGGCTTGATCGAGTCTACAGTGTCTTGGAAATATGGTGTATTTACACATATATACACCTGAGTTTGACAGAGGGAGAGTTCACAGCATTTTACATCCCAAGAGAGGCTTGTCCTTCCCAGCAGTGCAGCACTGAATTCAGAGGCATACTAAGCACCATCCCTGTGTTTCCCTGCAACAGCCTGCTCCTGCCAACCAATATGTCTATTGCCCTTCAGTCCCCGCATGGAGTTCTGCTCATTTCCTCCTGCTCAGAAACCCCTGTTCTCCAAACCTCTGTTGTAAAAGGACACCCACTCTTCCAGTAGTGACATCAAACCTTGTTATCTGGACAACCTGCCTCTGTGCTTGGCAGAGCTTCTGCCTGGTTGATGACTTCCATTGGGGAGCTAATGACTGGCCATCAGCACCATGGTTTCAACCCACCATCCCAGGCTGGTCTCATGACGAAGTTAGCTCTTGTTATTCTCAGTCCTTGCTAAGTTCAAGAATGTATGAGTTCGCTCAAATTCTGATCTTTCACTCAATGAAGAGATTATGGGGAGTTTGTCCCCACCACCACCACTGCTGTAAATTCATAACAATACAACAGTGATGGCCTGGCATCTCAGCCTACAATTTTATTTTTATTTTAACAACTTACACCCCACTATTCTCCATCAAAGATGGGCCTAAGTGGCTTTCAAAGAAGCAAAATCAAATATAGTCTGTAAACCAGCATCTACTGTAGTCCAGCAGAATCAAGCAACATCCACTTGGCGCCTCTCTAAGGATCCTTCTTCCATTCAGCCGCATTGCCCAAATCTGTTTTTCTCTCGATAGCTATGCTATATCACCCCCAAAACCTTTTCTCTCTACCTCACATATACAAACCTGAAAACTAGTCTCAACCTCACACTAGCTAGTGGGTACACATGGACTGAGTGCCCTTCCAGATGTCATTTTTTATTTTGCATTCATGATTATTTGTGCTTATGCTGCTATCAGGCCAATCATATACAATCCTGTTTTTAATACAGTTTGCTCTCGCAACAGTTTTGGAGTGATCATGCTGCTTCATTTCCATTCAGTGCATATCCTGTAACTTCTTGCTGAAATCCCCAAACTTTTTATATCACGAATGTTTTTATTTTTGACCACACTTTTGTAGCCAAAAGTGTCTGTCTGTAGCCCCTTCAGCATTGAGAAAGCATTGCAGAACAAACTGAATGAGACAAAATCCACCACTAATACACTATTATTATCGTCTTCCAAAGCAGCTACTCTATTCCCAACTTAAGAATGGAAAGCGAAATACCGGTGGACACTCTCAAGGCAAATATTAAAAAATGTAGTATAAGCACTGATAACCGGGAAACACTGGCTTGCGAGCGCTCCAATTGGAGAACAGCCTTTACCAAAGGTGTCATGGACTTTGAAGATGCTCAAACTCAGAGCGAAAAGGAGAAACAAGCTAAGAGGAAGGCACGTTTGGCAAACCCTCACTGTGATCAACTCCCACTCAGAAACCTATGTCCCCACTGTGGAAGGACGTGTGGATCCAGAACTGGCCTCCACAGTCACTTATGGACTCACTGTTAAGACTGTTTTCATGCAAGACAATCTTACTCGGCTATTAGTGATCTCCAGAGAAGATTGTGTCAGGACCATGAGGCCAAATATACCAGCAATAAAACACCAGTCTGAAGGAGACTTGCTAGAACCCCGTCTGTCATGAGTTTTTGACATCTTCAACTTCTCTGAAAGGAAGGGATAAAAGTTTACCAAAGAGCGTCACATAACAGCTATTTATTCTTTTTATTCATTCATTCATTCAATTTATATCCTGCCCTTCCTCCTGAAGGAGCCAAGGATGGCAGCTGTGACATATAAAATATTACTGACAACAATAATATGGTGTACGTATTTGCTTTTTATTCCTAGTTACTGGTAAAAAGCTATAGAATTTTTAAAGCAAGTTTAGCTATGTATGTTGCTGATCCTTCAGGTAAACAGGCATTGGTAAATTTTCCAGTGTGTGTAGATGATATTTTAATGCAGACGAACTAGCAACTCTTTCATATTTAAATATGGTTTTGATTGTTGTATTTCTGGAGGCGAAAGCAGTTCTGGAGCAGAGAAAAATATTTTTTCACCAGCTTCTGCTATGGAGACAGGCAAGACCTAACACAAAACTGCTTCTTCTGACTGAAAATCTGTTGACATTGGCAGGCACCATTTAAACACAAGCAGCCTTTCCCAGCGCGGACATGAAAGTAACTAGAACATGTTGATTTCTGCACAAAGTGAAGTTTGATAACAGAGCCCCATCCAGAGAAAAAGTGACAATCCAAATTGGCCATGCATTCTTGGGTGAATAAAGCTGCTGTTCAGGTGTGGAAAGGTCAGGCATCTCTGTGTCTGGCTGGGCTGAGAAGGATGCTCATGGTTGCTTATTGTTAATAATCACTGTCATAATAATTTGACTGCATCTTCTCTGATGCTGGAGGAATTGTGGTAGAAGCACCACACCATATATGGCAAGGGGAATACCCCAAAAGAAACTCCTCCCATTAAGGAAGGCCTGTTCAGTGTCTAGTAGATGATAGTGTAGGCTTTGGGCCTAAACCAGGTTTTCTGAGGACACTGGGCCAAAATCTGGGGGTAGGCCTGGCTTCTAGAGATGACACTGAGCTGAACTCTGAAAAGCCTGCTTAGATGTGGTGTGTCCTTGCCTAGTTGTGAAGATGGAGTTTCCTTCTGGAATCGGGAGAGCAGTGAGAGCCCATGGATCCCCACAAGGAGACAGTTGTGCCTTGATAGTGGCAGAACCAGAGGCTGCCGCTTTAACCTCTCAGAATGAGCAGCTTAAGACAGAGAGGACAAAATGTGAGTGCATAATTGTTGGCAAGTGCAACAACTGGGAATAAAGCAGGGTGGGCACAATAGAACACAACTTTGCATAACATGTGCACAACGTCGATTTATACTGTTGCACGCCACTGCCAGTCTCTGAGCGGTGCAAGATTCCAGGGCGTTCACCCAGGTCTGTGTTTCCTTATAGGAATGAGGCACGGTGGAGACTGTGATATATGGTTTATTTATACATATATACAACATCAGCCTACGATGGAGGGGTTCACAGCATCAACACTCCAAGAGGGTCTTGCTTCTGCCATAACAACAGCTTTGGATTCAAATGGAAATCATACATCATTCTCTGCCAGCTGCTTGGCTTCTTGGTCATACAACGCCTAACTCTCTACTCTTAAGCTTCTAGTTCACTTTGCTTCTGCCTCAGTACTCTAAGCTCTGGCTTTCTCTCTTGAGAGAGGGGCCTCATCATTTGGCTGTCTGACACACAGTCCTTTTGCTGCTTTGTTCTCTAAGTGGCCCATAACCCAGGCTATCACTTCACGGGAAACTAGCGTGGCTTAACTAGCTTTTAACAGTTGTTGAATCCAGGGATTAAAAATGCACACAACTTAGAGCCCCAAGCCTTAATTAAATTCTAACACTAGCTAGATCTGGGGATTATAGTGGTCTGTTACCCCCAAACTCATAAAATTATGTGTAGATGGAAGTTTAGAAATGATTGCTATAATCTAAATAGAAATGCAGTGCAACTCACCATAGTGGGTAAGACTGACCAGGTGGCTTTTGTGTACCTGAGTCTGCTGTCCAGGTGCTAGGGTAGGAATGGGAATAATATCTGTGATTGTACTGAGCTGAATTCTGAAAGTGCTGTAATTCTCAAATCTGCCCCAATCACTTTATCATTGTTCTCTTCCATGGCCCAACTGTATGTATACTAGGCTAGTGTTTTACATGACTGACATCAGTAGCATTTGCACTTGACTGTGGTAAATATTAACCAGTACAATATGCAAATTACCTGTGCAAATCCTCTGTACTAGGGCATGAAATCAATTGTTCTCGTGGGTGAAATGGTGGCAGGAGTAGAATGATGATTGATTGTCCAGCTCTTTATATAAGATTTCTATATCGTCCTCCCTCCAAGGAGCACAGGGCAGCACACATGGCACACACCCACCCCACCCCACCCCACCCCGGTTTCATTCTCACAACAACCCTATGAAGTAGGTTAAGTTGGGAGTGGTGACTATCAAAAGGTCACCTAGCGAGTTTCATGAGTAAGGATTTAAAGGTAAGTCTTCCTGACCCAAGTCTTATGCACTTCACACCACACTGACTCAGTCTTGCAATTTCCCTATGGCATGGAGAGCCCATGGTAGGAAAAAACAAGATAATGAAAATAAGTAGTCAAGAGGAGCAGTCGAGGACTGAAACATCTGTGATAGCAGCATGCCCTAGCACATTCACATTAAACTTTAGTTTATTTTAGCCATGGTTTAATGTGACATGCAGTCTAAGTTTCTGTTGGATGCTAATGATGTATCTCAGGGAAATCCATAGTAAGTATCACATACAGCAAGACAGACCTGGGTGCATTGGTCAGGGAACAGTGTTTTTACCAGGAGTGATCTTGCTAATGTGACTGCCCTAGATAGACCCTCTTTAGACAGGGAATGTGTGGTTTCGAGAGCGCTTGATTGAAACAGTAATATGGTCTCAGCTTGACCACATCTGCTGCTCCTTCAGTTATGATAGGGAATGGAGGGGTTTCAGTGGGAACAAGGCCAAAAGGAGAATTATGTATAAAAGCCTGCCCCGTTCATTAGTGGTAACTGTCCTCTATTTTCAAAGTTCCACAGGGAGATTAAGAGCAACTTCCTGTCTCATGCATTTATGTACAGCCAGCTATAGAAAGAACTAGATTCCACTAACCATGATATTTTATTATGTCCTTTGCCCGCAACTGTGAGCAGCCTCTGTTTCTCACTTGCCTTAACAAGATTAAATGTCACAGTTTTCTGAATCTAATAAGTATCCATCAGCAAATGCACCCTGGGTATTCTGAATGCCAAATAGTGGATTTATGCAATGCCAGGCTGGATGGCCCATCTTTTCAGAGCGCAATTGGAAAACTAAGGTTTCATTTTTACAGGAGTACAAACCATAGCTCCTACCAGCACCAGCTTAGTACCTCTGAAAATAAAGTTCAAATGAACTGACCAATCAAATCCTGGCCTGAAGTTGCTGTTTTATTAATAGAATGACATGAGCTGATACCAGGGAGAAAATAATTAACTCCGTTTGGAGAGAGACCAGATTGGCAGGCTGGTTGGCTCCTGCTAAATGGCAAGACTCCTCTGGTAGTTTTATTCTCAAATACTATATTTTGAACTGTCATATATGGTTGTGTAAAATATACCAAGCTGTGTAAGCTGAGTTGGTGCTCAGAAGCTCAACTTTGGATTTGCTACACTAGAATGTTAAGTTTATGTTTTTTTAGGCCTCCCAGAAAACCTTTGAGCTGGGAAATAGGCATATTTGATTTTTAAATGGACAGATTCATAACACTGTTGTGAATTGGCAGCTTGCTGTGCAGAATCAGAACATCAAAATGCTTGGAAGACACACGTTGACATTTTAGGTGCCATACATTATGCAACATCTCACTCCCCAAATATTTCCAGAATCTAATTTTACTAGCACAATATAGGCACCACTGTCAATGCTCAGGAGAGCTGCTAGGAAAAAAGATAGCAACCTTAGGCACGCAGATAACATAATGTCAGCCAAATGGTAGTAGGTACAAATTCTGTACACATCAGAAACGTGAAGATCTAGGTGTTAGGACTTTTATTTAAATAGCTTTACCTTCTCGCTGGCATTACTATCCTTTCATTTGTGCTAGGAGTATCATTCCGGGTGTGGGATGGTTAGTTTAAAGTTGTGGCTGTGAAAAACTCAGGCACCTTCTACAAGTAAAGGAGAGCCATTCATGGAAGCAGGCTTCAGGCCCACAGTTCCCTCTGCTGTCTCAGGATCTGTGTAAACAGGTTTCTGATGCTGGATAAGGAACCAGATGTGCAGTGCTGAATACACAGAGAGGATGCAGATGTGCATCCAGATGTGCACACTCCAGTATGGTGTGAGTGAAGCACATTACCATTCATCTTATTAACATATTTCATGTCACACTGCTCATAGCTTAATCACAACTACAAATGTGTATTAGTTTCCCATCTGTCATGCAGGACCCACATATCTGTCTTCAAGTTATTATGTTTATTTTTATTTCTGTAAAAGATTCTTTTCTTCACTCTTCAGGTGCAAAACCGCCCAGAGTGACTAAGAATAACCTTAAAAGCACAACTACAATAAATGCAAAAAAACTTCAACAGTAACCTTTTTTAAAAATATAAAAAATCATTAAAAAGTAATAGCAGCAGAGATACAATAGCAAAGTAAAACATTGCAGAACATATTAGCTGGGCAAAGAAAAGGATTGATGCCGAAATGACACTGGATTCAGGGCCACTTTGAGCCTCCCTTGGGAGATAAAAGGCAAAGGTGACCATGATTTTAAAAAACTGCAAAGTCCATAGTTAGGTTAATACGTTTTATTAGGACTAACCCCAAAGGCACAACAACATGGCATCCTTTCGAGTTCTCCAAAAGATGTAACACAAGGTGGTGGGACGAAGAAAACCACCCGCTTTGTGCAACATCTTCCATGTTGAGGAGTTGAAGACAACACAAAAGCTTGCCACATTTTTGTGGCGGAAGATACTACCTACAACTGAGAAGCCTCCTAGATGGGGCACCAGTCACCTCTCCAGGGTTACATACTTATTGCTGGAAAAACAACATGGGGTTGAATCCAACAAAGTCGTTGCACAAGTGGAAAGACTGGCTCTTACAACAAAACTTCCCCTCTCTCTCCTCCTCCCATCTGTCCCCATACTTCCCCATATCTGCTCCAGAGGGTAGGGGGAAACCCAGAGCAGATTTGAGGGGTATGAGGGGCATGTAGAGGGAGTAGAAGGAAAGGAATTTCCCTTGCATAAGCTGAAGTAAGGCATGTTGTTTTTCCTGCAACAGACAAACATGTCTACTGGAAATTCTGTATTGCAGAGGATTGTATCGAATGTTAGTCATACTCATGAGCAGAACCACTGTAATTAATGGACATGATGAACTTAGGTACAGTAATTTTAGTCGGTCTACTCCAAGTAACACTTATTTGGATGCAACCCATTTTCCTAGCATTTTTGTTCCTGGTGAATATGAAATACTTCCTCTAGTTAGGCACGTTTGTTGCTATTATGACTGTAGTTAGCCCCACACCACCAGCCTTCATAAATAACAATAAAGGAAGAAGGGAGTAGGATGAATCCACTGGGGACGATTCATTCTGGTAGAGAGCTGTGCAAGAATATCAAACACCCCCAAGTCCAGCCTTCTTCCATTTGAATCTTATTGGTCTGGGGGCACAGGAACGCAATCCAACTAAATATTTATATCTGATAAGCTACAAGGAGTGCTGGCTGGCGCTCTTGGTTTGCATAAAAGTGAACAAGACAGACAACAGGAAGCCAAGGGTGGGAGCAAGTCACCTACATGGTTTCCTCCCCATCAAACAGTTGTGTGTTTTGAAAACAAATTTTTTTACTGAATTTTGTTAAGCAAACAGCAGCAGTACAACACGTTTGTTTAAAGGTCTGCTGCTTGGAGTTTAACATGTGTTTAGTTTAGTTTAGTTTAGTTTAGTTTAGTAGATATTAGCCACCTTTTTCCCCCCTTTATAAGTGCTACAGCTCAACTGAAACAACCAGGCTTTCAAAACTTCATCAGAGTTTGGTGGTCTTTCTGTGCCCGCACTGAGGCTGAGATCCTAACCCCACGTTACCTAATGCACTGATTACCTAAAGCACTGATTCCACACTGATTGATTTTACTAGAGCTGGAAGGGTCCTTAGGGCCATCTAGCCCAACCCCCATAACAATGCAGGGCTTACACCTGAACAAATATGGCTAGGATTGCGCTGTCAGTCAAGAAGCCCCACCAGCATGTCCCAACCCTCGAGACGAGTGACGCCGCTTAAGAAAGACTTCAGAGCAGATCCGGATCGCCTTCGCCGCCCGTCCCTTCGAGGGGAAAGGCGGAGCCGCCAGGCAAGAGGCTCCGCCCACAGCCCGCGGGGGGGGGGGCGCCAAGCTCCATGTGCGCCCGCCGCCGCGTGACGCGCTCCCTCTCCCCCTCCCCACCCGCGCCTCCACTTGCGAGTTTGACAGGACTTTCGACGGGGCTTTTTTCCCCGCAGCTCCGCGGAGGAGGGAGCAGCAGCAGCAGCAGGCGCCTCTGCAGTCCCGGCCGTCGTCAGCCCCGGCTCCCCTCGCCTGGACCACTCCTCCGTCCGCGCGGCGGAGAAGCAAGGAAGCCGCGCTCCCCGCAGCCACTGCCGTGCAGACGACCAGCAGCAGCAGCAGCTCCTCGCCGAGAATGTCGGAGCCCAGAGCCCAGAGGGGGGCGGCGGCGGCGGCGGCGGACAAGGAGTCCCAGAGCCCGGTGGTAGGGCGCCCTTTCTTGGCTACTTTCTCTCCCCGTCGCTCTTCTGTTCTCGCCCTCCCCCGCGCCCTCCCCCGCATTGTTCTCTCTCCTTTTTCCGACGCCCCTTCCCCTCCTCCTCTTCTTTGGGCTTTCCCTCCTGGCTGACCTGAACTCCCTGCCCTTGTTTCTCCCTCCTTCCCTCCCCCCCTTTTTTTGCTTCCCTCGCCAGGCCCAGCTGCTCTTGGGGCTGCGTTGGGGGCGCTTGGAGGAGCCCCTGGGATTCATTAAGGTGCTGGAGTGGGTAAGTTCGGCCTCCCGTGCAACTTTTTTTTTGGGGGGTCGGGGTGCGAGAGAGAGGAAGGTGACGCTGCCGTCCAGCAAACGCGCTGAGAGACCAGGCCCTTGGAGATCAGGGGGAGTTGAAGAAAGGGGGCGTCCCTTCTCCGGCGGTGGGACCCTGCGAGCCGACTTTCTGGCTGCGAGCCGGAGGCGGCGTGCAGGGGCAGACTTGGGAGGGAGGGCGGGAGGGAGACGCCCGAGTGCCTGCCCTCTAAGGCAGCCCTTCTATGTGCAAGGAGTCTGGATTCGTGGACTGGGGTATGCATGGGAGCTGGCGTTAGCAGCGCTCACATTTCACTCAGGCGGGTTTAACCTTTCTGGAGTTCTGATCCTGCACATACCGCGCCTTAACTTGTCCCTGAGCTCACGGATTCGCTCTCTTCTCAGGCTTCCCAAGGGGAGCTTAGAAGCCCTGGTCTTATTTAGTCCCCAGTTTGGAGCCCAAGGGTTGGAGGGGCTCGGGGTATTTCCCTAGGATTAATGGGTGGCCAGGAAAATGCCCAAATTTCTATCGCTGCAAGAATGAGAAATGAATGAGCCTTATTGAATGAGCTAAATGTCTTATTGAAAAGGGAAGAGCCCTTGTTCTCACCTACAAGAAAAGAAAAGAAAAACTCTAAGATATGTACTTTTCCCTAAGTAGCTCCACAATACAGTTGTAACACATGGAACCTGCATTTACTTTCACTAAATGCACATGTTGGCACAACATGACAGGTCTTTCAAGTGGATCCCCCCCCCCTTTTGGCCAAAAGGAGATGGTATGACTGACTCTGAGGCTGCGGCGCTCATCTCGCTTTATTGGCCGAGGGAGCCATTGTACAGCTTTCGGGTCATGTGGCCAGCATGACTAAGCCGCTTCTGGTAAACCAGAGCAGCGCACGGAAACACCGTTTACCTTTATCTACTTGCACTTTGACGTGCTTTCGAACTGCTAGGTTGGCAGGAGCAGGGACCGAGCAACGGGAGCTCACCCCGTCGCGGGGATTCAAACCGCCGACCTTCTGATCAGCAAGTCCTAGGCTCTGTGGTTTAACCCACAGCACCACCCACGTCCCCACTCAATGGCTACCTGGTGACAATACTTAAATCAAAGGCAGAGGGTTGATAGTAACAAAACAGAACTGAGCTGGCATCCATTTCATAAGAGTGCAGTCTTGGATAGGTTGAAGGTCAGTGTGGACACATCACAACTACTGAAGAGCATAAGAGAACCTTTTCCAATCTGGTGTCCTCCATCTACTTTGGACTTCAAGTCCCATCAACTCCAACCAGCACAGTTCTGACTCTACAGGTGTTGCTATAGGACAGGGATGGGGGATATGTTGCCCTCCAGACAGCAGGCTCTGCTATTAGGCAGACTGAGGCACCTGCCTCAGGTGGCAGGAGCCACCAAGGCACCAGATGCAATGCTGGTATTGGCTGAAATTGCAAGAGATCTTACAGAGCATGCAAGATCTTGTGCGATTTTGGCGAGATCTCACCCAAAATTGGCGCCAGTGCTGGCGCCGCTTCCACACCAGTGGGAGGGCAGGCAGAGAAGCAACACCAGTTCCAGCAGGTATGGCAGTGCCAAGGGCAGGCAGGGCAAAGGCAACATTTCCTGTTTCTCCAGACTGTCCCCAGGTGTCATTGGACTACAACTCCCATCATCTCTGACAATTGGCCGAGTGGGTTGGGACTGGTGGGAGCTGGTGTCCAGTGATACCTGGTAGATTCCCATACCTGCACCAGTGAAAAAATTGGCCGATTAAAGCAGTGGATCAAGGGAACCAATGCAGCATGAAAGACTAATGACAACACAATGACTTGCTTTCTGTGAAGCAGTATTAGTGTTCATGCCTTCTCCGATGTGCAGTATTTGCCTACTTGGTTATTTTCTGTGTGCACCTCGATTTTTGTGAATATGGCTCTTCTCCCTATAAGCAACAGATTACATTTCACATTCCATCATGTTGTCTGGCCAACTCTATAGCTCACTAAGTCTCTATAGCCTACCTGCCTCTTTGTGGGGGGGAAATGGTGGTATAAATCAGTCTTAAGAGGTTTTCATTTTGGGGCATAGGCCAAAAACGTATGTGACTTAAAAAGAAAGAGGCATCTATTGATGGCTCCCCGCCCCCTAAAAAAAAAAAGAGTAAGGGAAGCACTAGACTTGAGATCTTAAAATGGGTTTTGGATTCTTAGAATGGAATAAATAGCCTTAGTAGCATCCTTAGTCGCGGCTTGGATAATAATACAAATAGTGCCTGAAGGAGCATAGTATAATTAAATAAGTAGTTCTCCTGTGCTGTGTTAGGATCTCTTTTTGCATGTTCTCCCCCCACCCCCAATGAGTGTGGAAGCATTTGTGCATGGCTTGATCAGGCCATCTGTTGTGGTGATGGTACGGTGAAGATGGTGCTTTGCTCTATTGCAGCATTATTCATCCTATATAAAATCTTTTTCTTATGTGTCCCGCCAGTTTATAGACCTGGAAAACAAAGGGCAGGATCTCAGTAGAAACAGGGCCCATATCCCTTAATGCCTTTGTTTTCAGTTCAGTCCCTATTTCCTTCTACACTTCTTCCACATATTTGGCCCAAATTGGGTGTAGTTCAAATCTACACCAGTTCAGCATTTGGACTGTTGCTGCTTACTTTGTCAATTATGTTCAGTCAATTATGCTTGCAGCTTGGTCTTAGCTCCCCCTCCACCCCTGGAAATAATGGATACAGTACTTTGATGAGTATTATGGTGCTGTCATGAACTGCTGAATGAATGTAGATCTTAGATAGGATTATATAGTTCTGGAGGGAGGAGTCGGTTGATATGACTGGCTAGTGAACAGACTGTAGGACAGGGGTCAGCAACCTATTTCAGCCGTGGGCCGGTCCACTGTCCCTCAGACCTTGTGGGGGGCTGGACTATATTTTTTGGGGGGAAATGAACAAATTCCTATGCCCCACAAATGCAGAAAATGCAGAGATGCATTTTAAATAAAAGCACACATTCTACTCATGTAAAAACACCAGGCAGGCCCCCCAAATAACCCTGAGATGCATTTTAAATAAAAGGACACATTCTACTCATGTAAAAACACGCTGATTCCTGGACGTCCGCGGGCTGGATTGAGAAGGCGATTGGGCCGCATCCGGCCCCTGGGCCTTAGGTTGCCTACCCCTGCTGTACGATGACGTTTTTTGCTTGGCGCTTCATTCAGTTTCTACCAGCGATGTAGGATGGCATAGTGACCACTTCCTGTAAGTGTCTCTGGCCCAAACTCCCTAACCCAGGCCTCTTGGCTTCTCAGAAGGCAGGAACAAGTGTAGAAACAGAGGTCATGGAAAATAGTTGCTCCCTTGTGGAATAATAATGCATTATTAATTTATTTTTATTTTTTATTTATGCTTCCATCATAGTCCAAAATATGAACAGCTGCAGCCCTGGCCCCCACCTCATTTGTTTGCAGATTTCACATAGGTTTCATTTTCCCTGCACTTGTATTTGGACGGCCGAGTTTTGAAGTTCTTCAGCTGTAGTGGTGCAACGAGTGACTAGCGCTAAAGCTATATCCCTTGCCTGCAAGTTCCTTTCATGTTTGAGCATTTAATTCTCAAGAATGCTATATGCAATGATTTTAGCAGCTTTGATCCTATCAACTGAGCTGTTGCTGGGCCTGTTGTCCACTGGTACCACCTAGGTGTCATAATGCAGCACCGATACACCAAAACAGGGGCAAGTGCTGACTCTTTTTGCTGTTGTTGTAATGCTGAAGCATCTTAAAAGGCCTAATCTAGTTTTGTATGGGCCTGTGTCGGTATGTAGACATACTTGGGCCTAATAGCAAAACAAAATACTGATCTCGGTGCATGTATATTCTTGGTTGGCATGATATGCTAAACTGGAATAACCCTTAGAGAGATTTTAAGTTTCAGACTTCTGCTTTGTAATGCATTGGCATTTGCTTTTGAGCTGATTGTATTTAACTCTGGGTTAATGGTACTGATAATAAAAAACTATTAACATGTAGAGAACAACTGTTCTTTGGTATATAGTTTGGTGGTGAACTTGGGACCAAATTACTTTCTAATTTTTATAAAAATTGACCTCTTTCAGTTGTTGTACCAGATAATTGTAGAAATTACCGGTAATAAACTCCCAAGATTCATTTTCTTTAAACCAGTAAGTTCTACCTAAGAACCTTAGCACAACCTGGTTTTCTGCATAATCCAGCTTGACATTTATTTGTTAATGTCATTGTACTGGAGAGGTACTTAGTACTGTGGAGGTTACTGATAACACACCCAGATGAGAAGCGTATTTTTTTAAAAGAAAAAACCATATTTAACTATCTTGGGTTGTATTATATTAAAGATGAATAGTTCAATGAAAAGTAATATGTTGTCTGCTTCTCTCCCCCCTCCCAATTAATTGGCTAGCTTTGCACATGGATTGCACATGGATTGTGGCATTTATCATTGTGGCTTGCATGTGAGCTGATCTTAATGTTTTGCAAGACAAGCCTGGATGATTGTGATTTTTTTAGGTCTTGGATAGTTCATAGCAGTTGATGCCAGATCTGTTGTCCTGCATGATGCCAGAGCCTGTGCCACTGTTTGCTACCAACTAGGACACATTCAGTTCTAAACTCCTTTGCTTTTTCCTCCAGCTCTTTGCCATATTTGCCTTTGGAGCCTGTGGTTCTTTCAGTGCAGAAACAGGGGCTACTGTGAAATGCAATGAGAGTCCTAAAGAGACAACTGCTATCACTGTGCAGTTTGGATATCCTTTCAGGTAAATGGGGGTCTTACTGAGTGTTAATTTAGCAGATACTATGTGGAGCTGGACATTGTAGCTAAATACATCATGGTCCTTATGATTCTGTTTCTAGCACCTCATCTTGCCTGTGTTTGGAAAGGCTTCCTGAAGAAATGAAACTTAGTTGCAAAATTTCTGCTTGTACAGGATAACCTCCAGAGTATCCCAACTCTAAAATTCTGGGTTTCTAGGAAATGACTCAAAACATATTGGGGTGGTGGTGGTAGAGGGAAGTGGGTGGTTTATTGGGGTTAGGCATGCCAAGGGCTTGTGCAGGCTTAATAGGATTTCCCCCTAATTTACCTTGAACAACCGCCCCCAACGCAACACCTCAAACCAATTTTGTAAATTGTTTTGATTTCAGAACTGGTTTGCTCTGCAGCATACAGGGGGCACCGATATGGAAACACAAACACAAAGTCCCCCTTGGGGTGTATGCAACTAGTTTTATGGTTCTTCGGGTCCTTCCAACGTGAGGGGAACTCTGCTAGATCAAACCAAAAGACCATCTCATCGGGCAATTCTGTTCACTCAGTCCCCAAGCAGGACACACACACATAATTGCCCTTGTCTACTCATAACCCCCATTACCTGGTAATTAGAGGCATATTGCCTCTGATATTGGAAGTAGCATATAGACATTGCTGCTAGAAGCAACTGGTAGCCTTATCCTCCGTGCATTTGCCTAACCCTCTTTCAAAGCTATCTAAGTTGGTGACTCAGAGTTGGAAGGGCTACTTTGTACTAGATCTCCCACTAGATCTTTGTTTGTTCTAGATCTTCTTTATTGCAGAAGCCTGCTGGCAGTGGTGTCGCTGCCATTTACTGGTAGGAATGAGGTGGTGAGGTTGGGGTTGTGAGGACATACCAGTAGGAGCCCTGAATTGCTGCTTCTGGTTTGTTCACAAACCATGACCTTGCTGCCTTCTCACCCCTGCCATTGCTCTGCCTCTACCCCACCAGGCAAGCCACTCTTGGGTTCTAGTATTCTGAGAGAGGGAGAGAAATCTCTCTCTCTGCTTTTTCTACACCGTGCTTAATTTTATACATCTCTATTGTGTGTCCTGCTCCCCGACCTTTTTCCTAACTTAAAGAACCCCCAATGTTGTAGGAATGTGCTCACAGAAGAATAGTTCTGCTAATGCGAAGTAACATATTTATTTAACCAATCAAAGCATTTACACACCACTCTTACAAATACTAAAATGCAGATTAATTAAAGCAACACATTTAGTAACAGCAAATAACAAATACAGTAAAAGCATCAGCAATGAAATAGAATATATATTTGCTTTAATATGGACTATAACTCACCCATTGTTTGGAAGCTAGCAAAAGAAAGTAGTTACAGAATGCATCAGACCTGTTCCTTGCAAGTTCAAATGTGACTTTTTTGTTTTTAAATATACTGTTTAAGAGAACCAGAGAAAGACACTGTTAGTTTTTCTGACATGTTTGTCTATGTGAGCATCATAAGGTAAACAGACATTGCCATCAAGAAGATACTGTAGAACATAGTTCTGTTAATGGGAATGTAAGGGAGAAGGCACCCTTAGATACATAGGGTTCAGCTTCTATCCACTTGTAAGAGACTGCCATATGCCTACCTATTTTATGTTCCCATTTTGGACATAGGCTTTTGACAAAATCAGTTGTCAGCCATGTTAGCAATGAAGAGAAATTCTTGTCACATTGTAAGATAAGTTAGAAAATGTGTTAATGTGCCATTTTTGGTGATCTGCAGAGAACCTCATGAGTGAACACTGCTAATTGGGATGTTTTTGCTTCTAAGCAGTGAGTTTGTAGAATTGGGTCATCAGTTTAATATTTCCCATAATTCCCTGTTGGGCATATCCTAATTTCCCCTAATTCCTTGTTGTGTTTTGAATGTGGGCAGCCCCATTTCCCCAGGACACCAGAACATATCAGAGGAGTCCATCTGTCCCGGGCATTTTCCCTCAGGTAAAAAGGTAAAGGTAAAGGATCCCTGGACGGTTAACTCCAGTTGAATTAAACAATGGGGTGCAGCACTCATCTCCGCTTTTCAGCCTGAGGGAGCCGGCGTTTGTCCACAGACAGCTTTTCCAGGTCATGTGGCCAACATGACTAAACCGCTTCTGGTGCACAGAACACACTAATGAGTGCCAGAGCACACAAAAACGGCATTTACCTTCCTGCCACAGTAGTACCTCTCCATCTGCTTGTGCTGGTATGCTTTCAAACTGCTAGGTTGGCAAGAGCTTGGTCAAAGCAATGGGAGCTCACCCCATCATGCAGATTCGAACTGCCAACCTTATGATTGGCAAGCTCAAGTGGCTTGATGGTTTAAACCACAGTGCAACCAGCCCCCCTGTTTTCCCTCATTAGGTGCCCTTTAAGGCAAGTATCACCTTTTCCGGCTTGTCCAAGCATAGCTATTTAAAATGGACAGGTTCCTGAGACTCCCTGGTTGCAGGCAATTTTGTTGCTGCAATGCCACCAAGGAGGAGATGAGGATGCTTTCCTCCCAACACTTCTTGGAGGATTTCATTGGCCTTGGACTTGTTTCAGGAGGCGCTCTAGCCAGTGTTGTTTCAACTGTGTTTTGAGTTCCCCCTTCTTCCTTTTGTGTGTGTGTGGGTTTAAATGCATTATATTGTATTTCCACTGATACTGGGGTGATCGCTCAGGGCTGAAATGATAAGGAAGGAGCTTTCTAAGGGCATTACCATTGGAGAGTTTAATAAATGTTAAATGAATGGGTGCACCTGACACAATAAAATCTCTGTGCTAATAACTGCTAGACAGAGGAACAGCAGATCAGAGTCTAGCACGAATTTGTCTTCTGAACTAATCCAAAGCAAAAAAACCCCACACTGACTGTCATTTACACACACACACACCCCTTCAAAATCACTGCTGGAAGACCTAATTGTGCATAGGGAAAGCTGTCTGGACAGCACTGTACTTGTAAATTCTCAGTGCTCTGTGATTTGTTTTGGGAAGGAGGGTTATGCCCTTCATAGCAAACTTAAAAGCTGCAACTGACTTGATGCGTCTGTCATCTGTTGAGAGACATATAAGCATGTGAAATATGTTTTCAAAATTATTTTATTTATTAAATTTGTATGCTGCCCTTCAATTGTAGATCTGAGGGCGGTTCACAGCATGAAAATACAGGATCAAAGCACAAAAGGCATAATAAAGACAAGACAGTAATGCACAGAAACCAGTAACCCCTCCCTTCCTTTTTGCTGCTTGCTCTCCTCTTTCCCTTCCACTATCTATGTTCTGCTAAGTCCTAGTCTAGGTGGTGTTGGGGTTCAATGCCACTGCAAAAAACAAGAGACTGGATCAGATTGTGGGGGGCATTCATAGGTCCTTTTGCCATGCCAAATCAGGAGATTACCTTTCTTGGAAAGTAAGAAGCTAGCAATATTAAATGATTTGTATGTTAGGGATCTACCACAAGACTTGTCAGATGAGTACAGACATGGCCAAAGTTAGAATGAAATCAATCTTACACTCAGTGTATGTAGGATATGAGCATGGTTCTATCTCTGCAACTTTGCTTCCCTGCCAACATCTGATAGCTATAAATAGAGGCAAGCCTGTGAAGTCTATTGAGATGCCTTTGACAGGAAGAACAAATTGGGAGGAGTGGTAGTGGTTCTAACAGAGAAAACACAGAACGAAGTATCTGGTGAATAGTCTCTTGGAATAATGAATTGTGTTGTGTATGAGTTGAGAAGCACTTTAGATGAAGGAGGCTTTTGCTCTCATTCTCTGAGCTCTTCTTGCTGCTTGACTTCTAGATTACTATTTGTGTTTTAGTATACCACAGAACCCTGCTACCTTTTGGTTGGGGGTGGGGGTGGAATTCACACCTGTTCTGTCATGGCCAAGCCTCCATTGCAGGGAGCCCTATATACTTAGGTGTTGATGGTTAAATTACTATCTGGACAAGTCCTTAGATCCTTCTTAAACTGCAGCCTGTGAGCTTAAAAATGTCTTTTCTAAGAGGTATGTTAAACATAAAAAGCTAGCGATTAGACAGACTTGGAAACATTAATTTTTCTCTGTTTAAGCCCCACGGTAAGTTTGCATTTTTCATTGGAATCATAGCTGCCTTTTTCTACCCTCTAAATTATCAGATGATTTCTGTGGGCTCTTGCTTATTAAAATAAGCAGAATAGCTTCACATAACCTGCAAACCATTTGATCTGCTGCACATAAGCAGATTGGCTTTATAGTTCTTGTCTGCAATGTGGAAACCTCCTGATTTTAATGTCGGTAAACACAGTTTTATGTTGGAAGCTGTTGCTGAGGGCTCAAGCTACAGAACTTCTGACTTCAGTGCCAGCCTGGTTCAAATGGCACATGTGGGAAAAGGCTAGAGGCTATTTATATAATGTAGAGAGCTGCTGGTGCTATACCACACGATAGCAGCTAGATGGAGAACTGTAATAGCTCTTCTTAGTGACCAAAAATTATATCCAAACAGCTAATATGCGCTCCATGCGCTTGATATATTTGGTCTCTTTGAAGATGGGGTATGTATATTTGTACTACACTTTTACAAAGTCCTAGCCCAACCAATTTTCTCCATGAAATGACAATTGCAATTCTGTGCATCAGCCAAGTCACTGCTTTGGAAAGCTGAGTCTTTGGAAAGCAGAAGGTGGAAAAAACTCTGATCCTGCAAAGTGGTAGCTGCCAGAACAGTCCCAGTAAGTTTCAAGGAAGGAGGTGTCTTTCATAGATGTTTCCACCTTGTATCTGTTTTGGTAGGAAGTTGGTTTAATACTTTTAGAGGAAACCTACAGAGTGTACCCCAAAGCTCAAGTATGTAATTAAAAACAGAGAGGTGCTATTTTTCTTTCTTTCAAGGAAGTGTCTTGTTCAAGTCATGTCAAAGCATCTCTACCACACATGTATCTTTTTGAAAGCTGTATCAGTACCCAAGAGGTTTGCTCCTTCAGAGTAAGGGTGAAATGTACTATCACAGCAAGCCATATAGAGAAGGCACCACCTGTCATCAGGCCTTACGATAAGTGTGTTCTGATTAGGATAAGCAAAGATGCAGATATGGTTTTATTCCCCAATGAGAAGAGTGACATGATTCTATCCTGGAAAGGCTGGAGCTAGGCTGCAGTTGTTGGTTTGAGGTGTTTTTCCCCAGAGAGCTACAGGAACTTTGGAAAGGGGTTTGTTTGCTGTTTGGTGTGTGCATTCATCTCACTTTGATAAACAGGTGCTGCAGGGTTTTGTTCTGCTTCAAAAACCTTGCACAATCTATTTGACCTGAAGTGAGAGTGGGGCAAAATAAATCTCAACTACTTTTAACTCGCTTAAAAGCTATCATCTGTCTCAACCTTCACCCCTGCTTGTCAGAGGTAGCTCTGTACCAGATGTGCTAAGTCGTACCAAACATGTTTCTTTCTCTTTCCTTTTCATCCTGACCAGGTTGTACAAGGTTCCATTTGATATGCCAGACTGTATTGAAGGATCTACTGCTAAAAGGACGCTGCATCTCTTGGGAGACTTTTCAGCACCTGCTGAGTTCTTTGTGACCTTGGGTGTTTTTTCTTTCCTGTATACCATGGCAGCTCTGGCAGTCTATCTACGGTTTCACTCACTCTACAAAGAAAATAAGAAGCTTCCTTTTGCGGTAAGATTTCACTTTGGTCCTCTGCTCTTTGATGCAGGACCTAAACCCCGGAGAACCAGTCTCTAAAACACTCCTTGGATAAGAGACACTTCTCTCTATCCAAATAGGAAGTGCTTCCCTAAACTCTCTAATTCAGTTTATCCTTGGGACAATCCGGAGGAGCAGCTCACACAACCATATTATGCACTGAGTGGATCTGGATGGTGCCTGATATACAGTGGTACCTCGGGTTAAGTACTTAATTCATTCTGGAGGTCTGTTCTTAACCTGAAACTGTTCTTAACGTGAAGCACCACTTTAGCTAATGGGGCCTCCTGCTGCTGCTGCCGCACCACCAGAGCACGATTTCTGTTCTCATCCTGAAGCAAAGTTCTTAACCCGAGGTACTATTTCTGGGTTTGCCGAGTCTGTAACCTGAATCGTATGTAACCTGAAGCGTATGTAACCTGAGGTACCACTGTACAAGTATTTTCCTGCAGTGCTGTAACATGACAAGCTGCGCCTTCTGGAATTCCTGCTTCTACCCAACTATTTAATGTACAGGAACCTTTACCCTGGTCACCCCTCATTTTAGGGTGGAATCTTGGGCCTTCTTCAGTTGGAACAGCATTCCCACCCCCCACCCCCCAAATGGCACAAAGACTAGTTAAAAACTATCTATCTAATGCTGTCATTAAACTCCTTCCCCTTGGGGTTGTGTGGAGCCACTTGAATTGTTATGACCCCATATCGCTTGCAGATCCTTTAAGAGTGTCTTAGGTAGCTGTGGAAAAATTGGATGTGGCTCTTTTGGCACATGTAGACCCACCATGTGAAGGGCCTGAGAGATGGAATGGAGCAATGACCCAACATCAAGGGCCCTCAATGCTTGCGTCTTTTGGGTGGAATAGGGAGGGCAGTCTGTTCTATGAGATGGAGCCATTGTGGTCTTCTCTGTTTTTTCCTCCCCCTAGGACTTCTGTGTGACCGTCTCATTTACCTTTTTCTGGCTAGTGGCATTTTCAGCTTGGGGCAAAGGTCTGTCAGATGTGAAAGCAGCTACGCGGCCTTCCAGTCTCATTGCTGCCATGTCAGTGTGTCAACTCAAAACTGCTGTATGCAATGCTGGGGCCACACCTTCTATGGGCCTGGCCAACATCTCTGTGGTAAGAGTTGTCTGGGGAGCAATATTGGGGGGGGGGGCAGGAATGGCAGAGCTTCAGCTGCATTGGAACCTATAGAGTGTAGCTCCACTGATTTTAATAGAGCTCGGTTAGTTTCATACACATTCATAACTTCATACATTCATACCCTTTGAGTAACTTAAAGCTACAGGTAGTGATGTACCGTATTTTTCGCTGTTAGGACACACTTTTCCCCCTCCAAAAATTAAGGGGAAATGTGTGTGCGTCCTGTGGAGCGAATGCAGGCTCCTTGGCTTCAGCGATAGCAATGCGAAGCTGCCGAAGCGCAGAGGGAGTGCTCCCTCCGTGGTCCGGAGGCTTCATGTTGCTTTCGCTGAAGCCTGGAGAGCGAGAGGGGTCGGTGCGCACCAACCCCTCTCGCTCTCCAGGCTTCAGGGATAGCTGCCTGAAGCCTCCGGAATGCAGCGGGAGGTCCTGCTGTGCTCCGGAGGCTTCGGGTTCCTTTTGCTGAAGCCGGGAGAGCAAGACTCTCCTGGCTTCAGCAGAGAGGGAGAGCGAGAGGGGGGGAGGAGGAGCAGCGCCATCCAGGTTCCTCGCGTCTCGGCCCCGCGCCTTGCTCTGGGCGATGTCCCCGTGCCTCTTTCCTCCGCGGCGGCTGTGGTGGCGGTGGCAGCGCGGGCTCCGGGGGGAAAGTGCACGGCCGTAGCAGCGGCGACGGGGTGGAGCAAGATGTATAATGACACAACAAACAGCTACTAACTAATGGATTTTAACCTTTTAAAAAAAATGCAGTTGGTATCTTTATTTCCCAAGTACATCTTTCAGAAGTCTTGCCCTTCTTGATGTGTACACCAATGAAGAACAGCCTGTCTGCATGTACTGAATATAAAGCTCCTGATTCTTTTTTAATTATGGGCATTTCACAGTTTTATTCAGCACTGGCAACAGTCTTGTCAAATCTGTACTTAAATAAGTACTGGTACAGCGGTTGCTGGTTTAAATTGCATATGCGATGGAGTACAGCAGTGCCTAAAATATATGCAACTTAGTGATGACCTAAGTACAGATTTCAGCCCCTGAAGAGCAGACAAGCAGACAGGGCATCTGTTCAAGGCCATTTTTTAATGGATTAATTGATTCTAAAATAACTATTGACCTCATTTGGTCCTTGCCTTCACAAATGTGGATGAGAATCACCAGTCACTACTGTTCACAAACACTTACTGAAAACTAGTGAAAATTTGACTTGTTACTCTTTGTTGACCAAAGTGATGAAGTAGACAGAAGAAAATTAAAGGGCATTAAGGAAGAACATGTGAGCATACTAAGGTTTTGCATGGGCCTTAAAATTTGCTTTGTATCTGCTTATAAAAACAATTAGGATCTGTTTTTGATTCTCTGTCCACTTCAAACTGTGATTCGGGTTTTATGCTGCTCTGTATAAAATGGAGCTCTGTGTTCCCCATTCACTCTTATGGGAAATCTAAAAATGGCTATAAACTTTTTCCCCCTTTTGGCAGAAGCAGATGAAAGCACAGGAGCCGCTCCAAAGTGGATTAACTCTACCAAAACGCAGGCCCAGGAGCCTTTATAGGGAAAGTAAAAGGGTTTCACTTTCCTGCACAAGCCATACTAGGGCAATGCTTTTATAAGGCTAAAACACCAAAATCTAGTTATCTTTTGGGGGGTGGGAGACGATTTTGTCTCTTGTTCTTTCATACCTTAAAATAATTAAAAAGTGGGCAAATGGTGTATATTCTTGCTTGTACATTGATGAAAATATTAGCATCTTCACACTGGCCAGCTTAGCTTTCCCAGTGCTTGTTTGTGTTGGGATGCTATGTCCTCCAATAGGAGGTAGAAGGTGAGGCTGTCCTTAATACTTCCTGCAGAGTGCTGAGGAGCCCCCAGCCACAAACAGAGCAGCAGACTGTGTGTGTGTGTGTGTGTGTGTGTGTGTGAGAGAGAGAGAGAGAGAGAGAGAGAGAGAAAGGGAGTCTCTTTTTAAAAAATCATTGTTCTGCTTTAACAACAACAAAAACCACCAAAAACATCCACAGCTCTTCAGTGCTCCAAGGTCAGCATTTAGACAAACTTGCTTCTTGCAAAGCCCAAGGACCTAGAGTAGAGAAACATAGGCATATAGAGCACTGAAAAACAGAGCAACATGAGGTTTTGTAACACACTGATCCAGCTTAGGGCATTTTGTTGCTATCGCAGTTTGACTCTGAAAGGGTTAAAAGAGCTCCATATCAACCCAATTTGCCTCATTATTTGGCTCCAGCCCAGAGTGGTTGCACTCCTCTACAACATACAGTCTGCTCAGATAGCTCGGCTACAAGCGCTTCTACATTAACTCTGCACTTCTCTCTTTCTTTCTCAGCTGTTTGGTTTTGTCAACTTTATACTGTGGGCTGGAAACTGCTGGTTTGTTTTTAAAGAGACCCCTTGGCATGCTCAGACCACCAACAAGGAAAGCTCTGCTGAACAAGGAGCTGTTGATAAGCAATAAGGAACCTCTCCTCCTTCACTCCTGAAGCCTCCTCTTCCCCCACCAGGAACAGTGCCTTGTCTCACGTACATGCTCATCCCATTTCACAGCAGGGCAGGAAATACGCCTTCTCTGCCAATTGTTGCTGCTGTCCAATAGTCATACTGGCATCTCTCTCTCCTGACTATTCTGGAATGCCTTCCTCTGGCTGAAATCAGGGGGTCCTCTTGTGGTCCTAGATACACAGACTGTACATGGTTACAAAAAAAACCTCTTCTGCCTTCAGATTTTTTTACAAACATATTTTATTGTGCATTGTAACATTGGCTACTACCAGTCCTAGGGTGTGTGGCATTGTTTCTTCCCATCTGCTTTTGACCACTTTATAATGAGAAATGCAGGTAGATTTGGATAACAGCATAGAGATAGCCAAGGCATTAGTGCTACAGAACCTGGGACATCTAAGCACTTTTGAGAGTAAGTACACCTTCGACTCTGCGGCCATAATAGAAGCAGAAGCGGCAATATGCCCCCGGGCTTAGCAGCAAAATAAATGAGAAATACAAAGGGAATATTTTTACTTTCATACAATTGAAGGAAGGAGTGTGTTGCGTTTCTCTCTGTTGCATAATGGGGTATGAATGTGCTAAATATCTCTCTGCTTCTCTTAAATTCAGTTGGATGAAAGCTGGAGCTGCTGTTTGCCCACAGATGGGTTGTCCACTCTTGAGCAGCAAAGTTTTGGTGCCTTTATTTCTTTCCTCTCAGGTCATGCACAGATGTATACTATGTCCATATTGAGCCACAAGTGCTGACTCCCACCAGTATGAGCTGATCGGCAGCTTTTAGTCTCCATTTCCCTGTGTTTTTTTGTGTATAGTGGAGGCAAACCCTTCCCCACACAGAGGATGTAAACCCTGGATACCTGTTTCAGTGTCTTCTGAGGTCCTGTTCTATTTTTAAAATGCAAACTTTTAAATATGAAAACCTAGAGGAATTTTTCTCAGTTTCTAGGATAGTTTAATATAAAACTTGGGCCCAAGAGGCTTGGGGCATTCGCTTCTGGTTGACAAACATGCAGGGGAAGGGTGGAATTCTGTACAACTTGTTGTTTTGTTGAGAATATTTGTGGTTAATGACCTTAGTTCTGGCCTCTGAACACTCTGGTAACAGGAACAGATGAGCTGTCAAGTTTGTGGTGTGGATTGTTTGTCAGTGAATTCATGTATGCCACTATCTCGGGCCAACGCCCATTTTAACTCCAGTGTGGCAGTAGGCAGCTGCTTGTAGATTTCTGATGGAGGCTTGAGGCATCCCAGGCCTCCAAGTGAAGATGAGAATCTTTAAGGAAGCTTCCAGTATCCCTGGATGTCCCTCTAGCAAATGATGGGACCACCAGTTTAGGACAGTATTAAATCTGACATTTTTAAATCATAGAAACTCTTTGTTATTGTGTATATGAAGCGGATACTTTCAGGTGAAGAGAGCTGTCATATTTTCTTCCATCTTTTGATCATGCCATTGACATAAACAAGGGACTGGAGCCTGGCCTGCCATTTACTCCAAACTCTACTAGTTGCCTATTTTCTAAAACTTATATGAGTAAATAGAAAAGAAGCACCCCAAATCTTTAGATCCCTGTACTTCCATGTGTCTAATATTGGATGGGGGAAACTAGTTTTTTGGGAGGTTGGGGTGTAGCAAGTTGCAGGGAGAGTTCTTCTATGCTGATTAAATCTTTCATATCAGACCTTGTTAGGTCTTTGACTTTCTCTTATTTCCTTATTCTCTTTCTCCTCCTTGTGCTGAGAGAGAGGAATTCTCTTCTGCAGAAGGAAAAATATTAATGGTGCTTCATGAGGTGTGGGACCTCTACGCTAAGAAGACCCTCTTTGTACATTTTGTAATTTTTTTCTTCCCTAGTTTAATTATTGCCCTTGCCCCAGCATTACAGAACAGCAGCCTTTATGGAATCCTCTGGCATGTCTGCAGTCAAGCCACAAAGACTGAAGCATACAATCATCCCTTGTGTTGCAGTGTCCAGATTTTCTTGCAACATAAGGGCTGGTACAATACAAAAAGAAAGCTGACTAGCTAGAAGGAGGGCGGTTTTTCTCCAGTTTTCAGTCCAACTGTCTTTTAGGAGGACTTTCCCCAGAGATTCTTTTTTAAAACCACTCACCGAACATCACCATTCACACCATGTTTCTGGCCACAAGCTACTACTTCATAATAGTAGGCTTAGGAATCAGCTTCTGGCATGGTAGTGTATTCCATAACTGACCATTACAGCCACTGTAGCCCTTGAGTGTACAAACAGATCAACCCTCCATATCTCCCCAAGTTAGGATACGTGTATCTTGTATCACATTTGTGTCTTATAGGGATATTTTCTAATTTCTTAAAGATTTGTCCAAGGCCCTCAGCTAGTATAAATTGACAGTGCGTGGTGCATACCAGCTGAAGACCTGACCTTTGTGTCTAAGCCGTGGGCAAAGCCTAAAGAATGCTGCTTCAGACATGGGAAATATTCTATGTAGACGGATACTAGAAGCAGGAATAAAGGCCTCAGTAATAGTTCCAGGAAAAGAAATGGTAATTGTATACCATTGATCATGCAAATCACTTTCCACACGGCCCAAGTTCCTGTGAGTTTGTTTCTCTCTGTACTTATCTATAAATCCATGTATAAGAGAGATAATATATATGGTAGCCTTGTAGCACTACATTTGGCACAGCACAGGAGAGGGCTGTTGGGAGCAGCTGAGCAGACAGCAGGTGCAGGATATTTCACACCCTTGTGGGTTTTCTACTTTTTTTGGATACACCCGATGCATTGAAACCACAGTTATCCTGTATGACTAACTCTCTCAGACTCCTAGCTGCGTATTAGACGTGACACATCCCTCCTCTGTGATGGAGCCCCCACAAAACAGACTTCAAGCAGATGACTGGGGACCAGCAGAACTTTTAACTGGAAGAAGGGGAAGGGTCAGTCTCGGCTTGTACTAGCTTTGCATTTTGTGGCCTATGATTCCCCCACACATTTGTTTTGAGTAGGGGTGAGAAAAGAGCAGGTGTGGAATCTGTACAAGAGCTCAGTGTGAGAAGTGGTGTGGTTAGTGATGCTCAATGAAGGGTATGCCAAAAATATACTCTGTCCTGTCCTGAAAATGCCACCATGTGGAGTAGAGACCACCAGCCCTGGGCATGGTCTCCCAGTTCTCTCAATCATTTCCTCTTCTAGTGGCGGTATGTTGCATGTTTTTCTCCTTTCCTGACGATTGTTAGTATGGTTCTAATAAAGTGCCGAGAGAGTTTGCTCTGAGGGAGAGCTGACTTTGGGCTGGTTTTCTTTGTCCTTGCCTTCTGTTTCTACTTTGATCTCTTTTGCAGCCCGGTTCATAAAATACTGTTATCTCGTTGATTATTTATTGCTATGCTGGCTATCAGCTGCATGAAAGGTTTTTGGGAGCCCTCGTTTCTTCTGCACCAACCGCAGGTGGCACTGTATACATTACACCAACATATGACATGGTCTGAAGGTGTAGGTCTGGGCATTGCCTGGAAGGCGCCATGCATTTACTGCCTTGGGTTCCATGACAGAAGAAAGGTTGTGATATTAATGTAAGAGAACAAATGCACATCCCAACATTTCATATCTCTTTCTGCCTTTCTAAGACTTTGTGCAGACAATAGGTAATAAAGACCCGCAAGTGATATTGTAGGCATGCAGTTGCTTGTGGTATATATTTGGTTGAATCCAGCTAAGTCATTATGTGTGTGGAACAGAACTCCCCCTCCCTTATCTTCCATCACATGCCTGCCACACCATCCCCTAATCTACTCCAGAGGGTTTGGAGCCTTTCTCAACCTGTGGGTCTCCTGATGTTGAACTACAACTCCCATCACCCCTAGCTAGCAAGGCCAGAGCTCAGGGATGATGGGAGTTGTAGTCCAACAACATCTGGGGTCCCATAGGTTGAGAACCGCTGGTTTAGAGCATGGGTGGGCAAACTAAGGCCCGGGGGCCTGATGCGGCCCAATCACCTTCTAAATTCAGCCCGCAGACGGTCTGGGAATCAGCATGTTTTTACATGCGTAGAATGTGTGCTTCTTTTAAAAATGCATCTCTGGGTTATTTGTGGGGCATAGGAATTCATTCTTTTTCTTTTTTCTTCCAAATATAGTCCGGCCTTTCACAAGGTCTGAGGGACAGTAGACCAGCCCCCTGCTGAAAAAGTTTGCTGACCCCTGGTTTAGAGGACCCACCAAGCAAATCTGTGGAAGGAGAGAGGAGGTTCTGTGACACTTACAATTTATTTGGATGCCACCCATTAATCTGTGTCCCATCATAGTCCCTGCTCAAACTAGTTTAGTGGGTTGCTGAGTAGTAGTGCGCTTACCCCAAGCTGGCTTACAGAGAGGTCAGCAACCCGCAAAAATGTTAGTATTAGATAGATGCAGTAGATAGATGTGTGACTGATAGGGATGCTTAGTGAGTAGAATCCATGATAAATAACACATCCTTTCCTTTTCCATGTCCAGAGCATTTGGGAAATTTAAAGATTGAAGGGTTTGTTTTTGAATGGGAGTTGAGTATCCTCATTGGAAAGAAGAAAAAATACAGATTTTTCTTAGATGTGAAACTGACTACACTAGAAATTGATTGCAGCAGTCTACTTTAACCACTTCAGGTGTCTTTTTGACTTGCAGAGAGGCATTTCCCATGCACCCTTTAGATTTGTATGGTTGTTATGTGGATAGTGTCATTATAAAGGGTAGCCACTAGGTGGCACTGGGCTTAGTTGCTTCTGTGTGGAGTAAAGAGTTTCCTAGGAATGTTCTTGTTCCAAGGGGGACAGTAAATTCATTGTCTAGTTCCCTGACTAGACAGGTGCATCCTGCAGCTCTTCCATGAGTTTTCAATGCTGGACTAGGGCAAGTACTGCAGTAGTGGTAAAGAAGAATAGGTCCTGTTCTTCTAGATAAATAACTGTCTGTACTCAGCTGAAAGCACAATTTCTTTTTCCACTGATAACTATGTTGGAATGATTTTAGTAGTCAGATCCAGAGATTTTCAAAAGCCACCAGAACTTCATCTGAGAGGTGAATAAACAAGAGATAGCCATTTACAGGTTTCTGTCCTACTCTTCCTCGGCACTGGACCTATATGTGGAGGAAAGGCTATCCTTTCTTTTCCTTACAATAACTCGGTGGCATAGAGTGGTGGGAGAGAAGGAAAGAGAAGGCAAGGGTCATCAAGGCTGAGTGAGGAGATCTGAACCAACGTCTTTACATTCTGTACTACACTGCACTGATTTTTACACACACACAAAATCAAACCGAGAAAACGCCTACAAATACTGAAGTGGATAAATATTGTTGCTTTGTTAAAATAGGTTTAAATCTGTTTTATTTCTTTCCCTCTCTTGCTGAATATAGAATTGGGAAAGAGGAGAAACCGATTCGGAGCAACTGAAAAGTAACAAGAGAGGGGCAAGAAAGTTTGTAAAAATAAGTGAAATCCTCAACCAATTTTACCTCTGGTTTCTGGCTCACCAGCAGATCCATAACTACTCTTAAGTCGATCGGTATTATGAGGACTAGAAACTTGCTTTTTCTTTTTCTTTTTAGGTAAGAAATTTTAAGGATTCTGAAGGATTTTACAGATGCTATTGTAGATGCCAAATTCCTTTACTTGCGGCATAAATAGGCATCATGTATGTTATCAGCTTCCCCGCAAAATGGTTCAGATAATGCTGTGTCCTACTGCATCCTCTGTCTCCTGTTGCTTTCCAGAGAAATTTAGAGATCTTCCCTACCTCGGCTAATTTCGCTCCTGTGATGCCAAGAGCGTCAAGGGGAAACGATGACTGAATAATGAGAACAAAAAGAGTCTCATTGGCACATTGACAAGAAATGCGTTCTGATATTGATTCTATTGGGTCAGCTTCATTTCCATGTGGGAACTTAGGTTAGATTATGACCATGTCACAGTCCATTCAGCTGCATTCACAGCTGAGCTGGGTCTTCAGCCCAGGTTTCCCTGCTCAAATTCCCACATTCATTTTTACAAACTGGTTTGGAGCAGCATTGCTGTTTGAAAGAAGGGGGCATGTTATTTGTACAGCATACACAAACGATTGCAACGATAATGCATACACATCTAGCCTGATCGTTTTAAATTTAATATCCATATATAAACATATAATTGCAACTGGCAATTGCTTATCAAGTCTGTAAAAATAATAATCCAAAGGTAAACAATTGCTGCAGCAATAGTTTAGAAATCAAACAATCCGAAGTTCAGTCACAAACATCAGCCTGGTCCCATTAGAAATGCCTAATATATCTCAGCTCCTATTAGCTGCTATTGTACAGTATACACGTCTTCATCATCTTCAATGTACCGTCAAGAAGGATCACCCATGATTCAGATATACAAATTTAATATATAAATAAGCAGTCCTTTTTTCTTTTAAAAAAAAAAAAAGTTTAGGGGTACTGTCATTTTGACTCAAGAAAAGCACCATTTTATAGTTCAAACTGGGAAAAATGAATACAGTAAATGGACAAAAGTACAAAGATTCACAAAATGTTTATGGGTATGCGTACCCCCAGAAAAAAGCACTGTAAATAAGTAAATAGGGTGTTGCTGCTCTCGTGAAGTTTTAGAATAATGGAAACTTTAGACAAAAGGAAAAGATTTTCTGAACAAAATGAGAGAGACATTTTATATTCTGGATTTTTTAACTGACATGATAGCTTTATCCAATTTCAATTGTTTGTATGTGGCCATTCTATTACAGTACTGATTCGATTGAATGTGTGTATTATCAGGTAAATCTTCTGTGAGTACAATGATGTGTCTTGGAGTTGTATCTTTAAGGGTTTGTCCCATTACTTTGACCCCATGTATTAACAGTTAACCTGGAAAATATTGCTCACCTTTTAGCACTTGTTATAAACAACTGAGAGCTTGAGCTTTTGGAGTTTTTTTGTTTTAATATAAAATTACGTAGTTTTAAACCCTGTGAAGATGATCTTGATGATCGTATTCCTGTGTACATACCTGCCACACCCAGAAGCAAGAAGGCAAATAAAAAAAAAGAACTACAGGTTTTTCAAATGCTGTGAACTTAAATATATCTGATTTAATATTTAGAGAATGAATATCAGGCTTTGTTTATACAGCTGCCAGCGTGAAAGGAACAAGATGCCTGCCCTCCTGTACGTTCATGTGGCCTTTGAAAGTATTATCCGTGCCTTTAAAAGTGAAGATGTTGACATGTCCTTGCTGCAGAACATTTAGACCATTATTGGCACCATGAGCTTCTTCCAGAAGGGGCAAAATCAAAATCTGAGCAATGCATTAAAAACCCTGAGTTCTGCTGACACTAACCTTGATTCTTGCATGTTCCTCATTGTAAAGGATATCCTGTTTCTGCTTTCATTTCTGGTTTGGGGTTTTTTTGTTGTTGTTGTTTGGTGGTTATACAATGTACAGTTTCCAGCATGCAACAACTGTATTATCATCCTTCCTAAACAAAGAAAAGGGGGTGGAGGAGGAAGAAGAAAGGAAAGGAGAACTTGACAGTATTATTTTCTACATGCTTAAGCCGTTGAGGTTGTTTCCATTAAAGACTAAGAAAAATATATCTTGCTTTCCTTGGTGGCTTTGCAACATCCTGTGTGCTGATGGGTATCTCTTCCTGCCTCCTTAAACCTGGGGCAGTTTGAGCTTGTGTCAACAGTGGCAAGGCGTGTTATTATCTTAGTTTGCTTTTCAGAATATTATCAGGAAATCAAAAAGTGGAGCAACAAAACAGAGGGGACTGGTCTCCTATTGTATTTGTGCACTTAGGGAAATTTCAGTCCAATGCCTGCATGGGGTGCCATTGCAGCTCTGTACCCAAGATTTATAAACGTTCCCTTTTATAGCACATTAGGGCCAGATAGTGTAGCAGAAGCCAGCCTGAGGAAAGACACACAAAATGCTAATTACAAAAACCTGCCTACAATCGTGCAGTAACTCCCAATGTTTTTTTATGGTTTATACTCACACGAGTAGGTGTGTATAGGATAGTAGCTGTTTTGAGGATGAATTCTCCATTTGGATAATTTTGTCATCTTCCAACTCTGTGCAAGGGAGTGACCAGGATTCCACGTTTAGCTGTAGGGCAGATTTATTTCAAGGCATTACAAAACTAGCAATTTAATTCCAGTGTCAGTGCCTTTCATAATAATCCCTAGCATGAAGTTTGGCATGCTAGGAAATTTCCTGGTTGTCCTATTTATATTGTTTCCAATATTTATATCCTGCCTGTCTATGAGAATTAATCAGGGAAATGAACATGTTCAGTTTATAATATATTTAAAAAATAACAACTATCACTAAAAACAAGCAGGTAAAAAAGTCAAATCTTGTTTAAATGCAGCATCCCAAAAGGCTTGCTGAAAGGTAAACTGATGAAGCCAGGTAGGCCTCTCTTGGGAGGCTATTCCAAATTCTGGCAGTTCAACCAAAAGGCTCTGGCCTGTTTTGTCCACCCATGATGTATTTTACAGGAGGGGCAGTTGGGGAAGGGCTTCAAGTGATGCTTTAGATACTCTGGTTAACATGCTGATTTGCATGTTCTGCTCAAATCTGAAGTCTCCTGCATGATACTATAAGCCAGGTGCATCCAATAAAGTGGAAGGATGCAAGATTTGGGTCAGTACTTCACACAGTCAGTTAAACTGGATCTGCTCCTAGACAATGTGCTGATGGCCACCAACTTGGATGGTTTTAAAAGAGGAGTAGAGAAATTAATGGAGGATAATGCTATTGAGGGTTACTCACTATGACAGCTATGTTTTACTACTAGTGTCAATATCCCTCTGAACAAGCTGCTGGGAATTGCAAGTGGGGTGATTGTTGTTGCCTATGGGAAATTTGCAAGGAGGACCCAAGTGCACCTAGATGGATCTTTGGCCTGATCCAGCAGGGCTCTTACGTTTCAAACCGTCCTCATGTAGAGTGCATTACAGTAATCCAATCTGGCCTATCCGATTGTGTTCAGCAGTTTATTTCCGTCAGGCACAGGGTACTGCATAAGAACAGAGGGAGAGACTTGCTGGATCATTCCAATGGTCCCTCTTCTCCAGCATTCTGATTTCAACAGTGGCTTTGCAAATGCTTCCATGAGGCAAGGCTACGGTCAGGGCATGAAGGTCAACTGTTCTCCCCAGGCATCTTCTATTCAAAACTAAACTGCCTCTGAACTTGGAGGCTCCAGTTACTGTTGGTGCTTTATATCACTCAGAGACATTTCCTTTATGAATTTATGTAACTCTCCTTTAAAGCTATCAGTACATATGGTGGTAGTGAGTTACAGAATCGTCGAGTTGGACCCTGAGGATTGTCTAGTCCAACCCCCTGCAAAAATGCAGCTGTCCCACATGGGGATGGAACCTATGACCTTGGTGTTATCAGCACCACGCTCTAACCAACTGAGCTATACAAGTTTGTTATGGGTTGTGTGAGGAAACGCTTCCTATTGCCTACTCTGATAATTTACAGCTTGATTATCAGAAAGAATTCCACAGATTTTATGTACAAATGTTTTTCAACAGTCATTAGCAGGCATTTCTCTCGTACAATCAAGCACACTTTCACATCATCCAATAAAATAAGTTTTTAAAACATTGTTATTGTTTCTATCATTTGTTCCTAACCACCCTGGAGCTGCTTTGGGAGGAAGGTTGGGATATAAATTTAAAACATCAAGGGGAAGTTAGGCAGAAAAGAAAAAAGACAATGTGTTTGCCTTTTCTGTGTGAAATATTTTTAAACCTCGTAACAAACAAAAGAATCCCAACAATTAGGGTGTCCTTTGCCATGTGTCAATTTCCTTCCAATTTTCCAAACTGAATGACTGGCATTTACAGAATAAATATGACACGGACAGCACAATGAACTTTAACAACAAGAAAAGCAACCAGGGAACCCCAAACCATAATGAAATCACAATACAAAATAATCTAAGGGGTTGTGGTTCATGGCAAAGGAGGGCATCTTATAGAATCACAAATTTATTACAGCATGAACTTTCAAGGTCTACAATGCATGTGGGTGTCCCCCCCCCCTTATTATAATGTGGTTTGTGTCATGGCCAGAGGACATTGCGTGCATGAGTGTCTAAAAAACTGCTGCACTATCACCATCTCTAAACTGTGTGGCACATTTTTAAAAGCATTTGTTACAATGTTAACCTTCCCGCAGCTTGCTATGAACTCTGACCATGTGCTTCATCCCCCGAAACCCTCTTCAGAGAAATTCAGCTTGTTCTTTCCGCAGGTGACTCCCGCTGCTGTTTAAAAGGCCCAACTGCAGGCTAACCCCATTGTTAGAATGTGGGTGCCTTCAAAAGACGTAAACGAAATAACATCTGTACTGAACAGCATTGTCTTTTGAGTTTCACGAGGTAATACAAAATGCAGCATTATATGCATTCTTCGTAAGAAGGGCAGGGACCTAGAGCAGTTCCTTGCACCTTGTGTGCATAGGCATATAAGCAAGAAAACCTTCCCTGCAATGTAATTCTGGCATTCCACAGCGTTTTGAAGCCTATCTTGATTCATTATAATAACCTCTTAACGGCAGAAAACCTCACAGAGGAGATGTATTATAACTCTTATTTTAAATATTGGCACTGAAATGGGGGAGATGGGGGGTTAGGAACATGGATTTGGGAGAGGGAAAAATCACCAAGGAGCAGCAGCAGCAGCAGGCCCTGTTATTAAACTCTACCACAGCCTCCTAAGCAGAGTGACATCCTGAAGGAGAAATATTGCCCTGCAGAGACTTTAGCAACAACCCTTACAAGGGAGAAAATATTCATTAGGAAAAGAGCAAAGTGATGGATGAATTCATTGTGCAGGCTGGACGGGAGGATGCTGGCTGGCACGCAAGATATTGATCTACACGTGTGGGTGGGGGGGAAGTCTGTGGAGCAGTGGAAAAGCTTTCAGGGATGCAAAAGGTTCCCTGGCTTGCAATTCTTCCCATACCCGTGGGAGCCTTCTGTCTCTGTGGCAGAAGATCCAGACCAGCTGAGCAGGCCTAGTGCTCTCAGGAAAAGAATGTTGTCGACCTTTTTAAGGGGGGGGACGGACCCCAAAGTTGTTGACCTTTTTAAGGAAAGGTTCCCCAGAGTTGTTGACCTGAGCTTGGGAATTCCACAAGATTTCACTACAGGGAAGGATAGACAAGAGCTTTATTGGATAGAAAGTGGGACAGAGGAAAGCAGGAAGGAGAGGGCATTTAACCCAGCGACGGAGAGGAGAGGAGGGTGGTGGTCAGGAAGCTGAGCCGGGGCAGAAATAGCGTGGCTCCTCCCGCCCACGCAGGCTTCCCTGATCCCCTCGAAGTGAGTGGGCGGGTGGGTGAGGCGGGACAGTAGCAGATTGTCCTAGCCCACGACCACACACGCAGCGTGCGGGGTGAGCGTTTGCAGCCCGCTGCATTTCACCACGCTACTTAAAGGGAGAAATAAAAGTGCACTTGGGCACAGCTAAGGACGGGTCTGGGGGGCGGGTAGCCAAACGCCTTGGGCAGACCCCATGAAATAATTCGCTCAGAGTTCAGCTAGGTCTCCAGAAAAGAGCGTGGACTGAGACGCAGGGGCAGCAGCCAAAGCAGCTCTTTCTGCTCCTGGGTGAGGAGGGGAGTCTTTGCAAACGCTTTGGAGTTCCCTTCTGCCTGCCGGGAAGCCGCCCGAAAAGGGAGAGGCGGGGTCTTCGCTTGCTGGTGGGGAGCTTCGGCAGGGAGCTGCTGGGAGAGGCTTCAGCTTCCCCGACGAAACCGTTCCCACCCACCCTCTTCGGGGCTTGGGAGGCAAGCTGCACGCTCCGGCGTGCAGGGAAAAAGGAGGCCGCAGGCAAAGCCGCGCAACTCCCCCACTCGCTGGGCCGCCCCTAGAGGGCGGCGCTGTGGTGCAGCGCCCACTAAGCTCTATGGGAAAGACGTCTCTGAGCGCGCACCTTGCTTGGCAGGCACGCTCTGGCTGCAGTGCAGTCCCACAGCACTGATGTGGAAGTAAACTCCACTTAACTGCACAAGACTTATACTTCAGAGTAAATGCACTTAGGATTGGGGCGTTCACAAGTGCCTTGATCTTCAGTCATTACTGTTTCTCTATCCCATGGGTAGGCAAACTAAGGCCCGGGGGCCGAATCCGTCCCAATCGCCTTCTAAATCCGGCCTGCGGACAGTACAGGAATCAGCGTGTTTTTACATGAGTAGAATGTGCCCTTTTATTTAAAATGCATCCCTGGGTTATTTGTGGGGCATAGGAATTCGTTCATTCTCCCCCCCCCCAAAAAATATAGCCTGGCCCCCCACAAGGTCTGAGGGACAGTAAACCGGCCGCCTGCTGAAAAAGTTTGCTGACCCCTGCTCTATCCACACCTCTCCAGCTCCCAGCAACATAAATCACCTGCCCTATATAAACTGTCTTGCTATGCATAGGGACTTTTACACTACCATGTACTGTGTGGCGCCAGCATGTTTATGTGTGGGAGAGAGAACTGCATGTCTACAACATATATTTTATGTTGCATATATCTTTACCCTCCTAGTGTGAAGAAATGCAAGGCATTTTTATGGCTAAAGGAGTCCTATGAGAGGAAGGAAGCATATTCTAAGCAAAGAATTACTTGAAAAGGACTGAAAACAAAGCAGCCAGCTATTACGTGTCTATATTTCAAACAGTGTACAGTTCTGATGGTCCCATCTCAAAACGTAAATCCTAGAGCTAGAACAGGTACAGAAAAGATACCTGAAACAAGTGATTGACCATCACCTTCATGAGGAAAGGCTGTAGTGCCTGGGTATTTTTGGTTTATGAAGAGGGGGAAGTGACTGGATTTGGGTGGTGGGCACATGATTCTAACATTATTCATGATGTAGAGAAAGTGGATTGAGAGCAGTTTTTCTCTTTGAGAGGAACTTCAAACAGTACATAGTTAAAATTATAGAATTCACTCCCATAAGATGTAGTGATGGCTTTAAATGAGGGCATAGAGAAATTTGTGGAGGAAAACAGCCATTCATTGCTACTAACCATAATGGCTTTATATTGTCTCCAGCGTTGGGGATGGTATGTTCTTGTATACCAGCTTCTGGAAATCACAAGTGAGGAGAGTGTTCCGCTTGCAGCCCTCCCATAGACATCTGGTTAGCTACCATGAGAAGAAAACATTGGCCTAGTAGATGGACCTTTGGACCAATCCAGTAGCGGAGTTACATTCTTACTGCTAGAAATTGCGGCCATACAACAGTGGTTGGCAGTAGATTCATTTCAAGCCGGACAAAATGGGGTACAGACGACTCTCAACTTACGTAAGGGTTGCATTCTGGGGCAAGTGCATAAAGCTAAAATCACAAGTAGTCAAAACACATTGGGTTCAATGGTGGGTGGGGCTTGCCAAAGTCATTTCCTCCACCCCCTTTTTATTATTTTTTTGCCAAGCGTGTAAAGCTGAATGCACGCAAGTTAAATGCGTGCAAGAGTTATCCTGCACTTCTCACAATGCATAAACAAACAAAATCGGCTTCCTCCAGATGGAGAAATGGCTACTAGCTTACATACCTTTAAAGGGAATTTGATAAACTCAGTAGGGCTCTGCTATTAGCTAACTACCGACCGCTAGAAGAACAATCTCTTGACTTCTAGCAGCTAGCGGAACCTCCAGGGTCAGAGGCAGTACATCGGAGTCCTGCCCTCATCAGCTGGATAGCTCCGTGGATTAGCGTGTGATGCTGATCATGCCCGGCAGGCACTTGGCAGCCGCTGGGGGCAGCGACGCCAGACTGCGAGACCTTTCGGTCTGCTCCATTTGGCTTTTATTCTGTGTTTCTCGGGGCGAGACTCCAGCGTAGGCTCAGAAGCCGGGGCATCAACTCGGGGCGTTTTCTGCTCCCGGTCCTGCTAAAATGGCTGGCGGCGGAGGACGGGGGCAAGGCCGTGGAAGGGAGGCAAGGATTCGAACCTGCTACTCTCGCGCCCCTGGCCTTTCTCGGACATGCGCAGAGCGAGCGCGCCGCGGGTTGCAAGGACTACGTTTCCCGTGGTGCGCGGAGCGCGGGGCGCCTGCGCACTGGGCCGCGGCCAGCGGGGAGGGCTGCGCGTTCCCGTGCGGTGATGGCGGTGCGTGGACGCGCGGCGGTGGTAGCAGCAGCAGCAATGGCTGCTGTGGATCGGCGGCTGCCGAATCTCGATGACTTCGCGGGGCAGAGCTGGAGCGCCTGGGTGGAGAGGGCCGGGCCGCCCGCTGCCGAGACAGGTGAGCGCGCCCGCCCTGCCCGCGGGCCCGGAGGCGGCGGCAGGCGGCGGGGAGCGGGGGACCCTCCGTCGCCGTTTCTGCTGCCGCCGCCGCCGCCGCCGTCGAGCTTCCTCCCTCCCTCGCCTCCCCTCCTCCTCCCGCGCCCCCTCCCTCACCCCGCCCGCCCCAAACAAAGGAGCCGCCGGGTCCTAGCGCCGCATCGCTTCCCGCCCGGTGGAGCCTGCCTTCCTTTTCCTGCCGCTTCGACCGGGTTTCCTAGGATCTCTTGATCCCCCTAACGGGATCCCCTCTCCCCCAGCCTGATTTCACCAGGGGCATGCTGTGATCAAGGCAGGATCTTTGTCCCACGCGTTTCCCAGCTCCTTATGTGCTTCTCGTTCCTACTTTGATCCCTTATTACACGAGCATGGCTTTTTTTGTGTGTGTTTTTTTAAAGCCATATTCGCAAGATTCCCCGGACTTTTGATCTCTTCTGTCATCGAGCCCACGATTGTCTCCGAAACATGCTATGTAAAGGCTGCGTGACTTGTCTGTTTATAATTTATTTATTACATAGTGATCTCACCAGGTTTCCTAACATTTGCGCCTTGACTCTCGTGCACCTCGAGCCCTCATGTCGACTGCTTCCATTTCACCTGGGCATTCTTTCTTCCTGATCTCCACATATTCACTTTTTCTGTTTTCCCCCAAATAATACGCACTCTTGAGGTGCCACTGGAACACTTGTGGGCACCAAGTGTTCTTGATCTTCTGTGACTCCCTGGATAGTATGGGTCTTGGTCATCTTCTAGGTGACCCCTGACCACTTTTCTTTTTCTCTTCTTCCCCCCTTTTTAACCACATTTCCCCCATCGGTCTTGATCTTTAAATCCCCTTACAGTTTTCCTCAACTGATTCCTTTCAAAGTGCTTTCAGCAACCCACCGTTTGCTGTTCTCCCCCAGCTGTGCTGCATTTCTGGATTTCCTCTTGTTGAAGTTGTTCCATTTCCATTAGGATCTGTGCCTAGGCCTTTGAAACTGGTCCCCGCCCATCCATCTGCTTTGCCTTCCTTATATCTTCTCTTCTGTCTTTTACATAAAGCTCTTTTTTGTTTTGCACTGTTGACCTGGCCACTCAGTTTACCACTCGCTAGGATTTCCCCTTTTCTCTCGAAAAACTGCACATCCTCCTCCCTGACGTCCTGATTCAGCATCCCTATGCTCCCCCCCCCTTCTGTCTTGTCCCTTGCTCTGTTGCCCTCCTTTACTAAGGGGGTGGTGGTATATCTGTATGAAAATGGTGGATGGATGGATTGGCCCCTTGTGATTTTTGTCCTTGGAATCCTAGAAACCGCTCGGGAGCACCTCCCTAGAATGTTTGACTTTCTCAAGTGCAGCCTGATGGCAGACTCTAGAAGGGGCGGTGAGACTCAACGGAGCTGTCCCTGGTGATGCTTTTTATATTGTTGAGCTTCTCCCATCCCCCTCCATTATCTTCCCTTTGCACTTGATATAGTTAGTGCTTCGAATGTTTCCTCATCTACTTCCAGCTCCAACAGAGTTTACATAATGACTCCTGTGTTTTCAGGGATTTAAGAAGCAGGTTGTAAATTGTCCTTTGCAGACAGCTTCCTGTTGCTGTCTGAATGGATTGTTTTTATTTATTTATTGCTAATAGATATGGAATGGTAAGGATTTCGTAGATTGGGAGGGGGGGAGAGAGCTTGCTTAGTTTCCACCTTTTGCCCCCACCCTGTCTCTTGACAGGTTGTGGTATGGGATTAATTGTATGTGCGTTTTAATTCAGTTAGGTTTTTTTCTGATTTTTTTAAGTAGAGAGGGAGATTAATGTTCTTGGTGTCAATGCAATCTTTTAAATAAAAAAAATGCACAGCTATTTTGGATTTCCGTTTTGTATTTTGATGCTGAAACAGTTGATGCATTGTAACAGGTACATCTTGTCTTTGTGAGGGCACCATGTGGTGTGAAATCTATTAAATGCAAGTGGAGTATCATGTCATGGTTAAAGCACAGGAGTCAGGACTTTGGGGACCAGCTCTGCTACTTGCTTTCACACTGTTAATTTGGAGACAAATCAGCCCCTTGTGCCAGATCCCTCCCCACAATTGGTAGCATTTGATCTGCATCGCAAGGAGTTTGCAGGCATTTCATGAATGTCTGTGAGCTTCAGGTCGATGCGCAGACAGAAGGAGTTACGGCAGCCTTTGCCAACCTGATGCCCTCCAGATTTTTGGCCTACAACTCCCATCAGCCCCAGACTACACAGGGAGTTGTAGTCCAAAAATCTGGAGGGTACCATGTTGGTGAAAGCTGAATGGGGGGAAAACATTAGTTCTGAATCCCATGTGTTTGATTTCTTATATGCATGTTGGGATTAGGTTACAAACCACATCATTCTAGGCATTTGCTTACACACACAAACACAGCATAATAAGAAAATGGTTCTGCTATAATGAAAAGCTTGTCAACATTAACATGTTTCCAGGGAAATATCACTGATGTTGTGATCGAAACTATAATATAATTTGGCATTGGCAAGGATTTAGCTTCCGGAACTGAAAACCAGGGGTATCTGTTTAACTCAGAATTTGGTGATTCCGTTTCAAAGTCCATCTTGGGGTGTCTTTCTTTGAAGCTTTGTGTTCCCAACTAGCAGAGCAGAAAAGCTCATGGGAAAGGTATATGGAATAGAGAGAGCTGTCTCTCATCCCCTGTCATGCAAGTGTGCCCCCTTTCTGCGTGCATATACACCTGGGCATGTACAGAATTCTGGTGGGCCGTGGATATTTGAATGCCACCCTTTGAAATGGGAAAACAAGAGTTTGTAAAGCAGCTAGTCTCAAGTGGCGTTGAGAGAGCCACGTTTCTATCCTGCACATTGTATTTTGGAAAGGAGTCAGGGAATGGTGCTTTGTGCTTGTCATTGTCTTCCAAACACCTCTTGATTGATACGGATTGGCAGAGCAATTCTGCTGAAGCAGCAGGCAGTGGAGTCTGAGACTCAGCAAGTCCACTACTGTATGTTTGCAGAAGCCCTGGAACATCTGCCATGTTAGCTGAACTGATTCTTAGGGATCCTTGTTCTCTTGGCAACTTTTAAGACCTGGAGTTTTAGGGCAAATGGAAATGATTGTTCTTAATCTGCTCCCCTATGAAACTCATTGAGTGACCTTGGGCACGTTGCCTGCTTGGCCTAACCTTTTTTCACAGGGTTGTTGTGAGGATAAAATAGAATACCCCTGCACATACCCCCTCAAAGCCTGTATACATATATAGTAAAAAAAATCAAAGGGGTCAGGACCATGCATGCTATGTTTATTCTTATGGGGTTTCGAAGAGGGGAAATCCTGATGTACAGATTTACTGGTCCTAGTGTCCTGTCTGCTGAGGCTTGCAGATGGATCTTCTCTGTTCTGGGTCACAGTGTGACCTACATGACAAGTTTGAGGAAGCTGCGACTGGAATAGATGCTTTTCCTGAGCTCTTTTCAAGCCTATTAAGGCCTGCAGTCCTAAGCATGCTTACTTCCTAGTAAGTCTCATTGCATTCAGGTTGATTTGCTTCTATGTAAGCGTTACTTCGAATCATGTGGTAAGGGGGGGGGAGAGAATGATTCATCTTAATGTGTCTAGATGTCATGGGTTCTCAATAGCTTTGTTGGATGATGGATCTGCAAAGGGCTATTAGTGTTGCTGATGGGATTTCTTTTTCTATGTATCTATTAGGGTCTGATGTGGAAGAAAACGGTAGGAATGGGAGCAAGAAGCTGGATGCAATGACCCTCATTAAAGAAGGTAAGAACAGACTTCTTTGAGTCTGACTTGAGTTGTAGAGACCTCTGCCCTGTGTCTGGTGAATGCTTTGCAGAAGAGAGAAGTGCAAGGGCAGCTGGGAGTTCTGTGTGTGTGTGTGTCTGTCTGGAGTAGCAGTCATTGCATTCTCACACAGCAAGTGACCCTTAGATGAAAGCATCCTGACAAAAGCAGAAGACAACTATCCCTTTTGATAGCTGCATTCGCACATGCCACCAAGGGCTGGCATTCTGGCCCCAAGAGCTAGTCTGGCTATACCTTACTAGAGCTCAAAACCTTGCCTGGGTCTTGGAATATGATGGATGAAGTGTCTCGTAGTTCATCAGGAAATTCATACTCATCCAAGCTTAGACTTGAATACATTGCATCTTCTATGACCCATGAATGAGTCTGTGGACTTTGCCTTGAGTCCTGTCATGATCCTCTGCAGCCCTGCCCCATACCCAACATTTAGTTATAGGGATTTAGCAAGCGTTTCAGGATAACCAAAAGCTGCGGAACTTTCACATACATACTTCTTTGCTTTGAGAACCCTTTGCCGCCATGGTTTCTAGCAACATGATGTTAAGAGACGTCCACAACAAAAGGCCCTTGGCTTTCCACCCCTTCCTGCCCACAGCCTCCCTCCTGATCAGCCCATATGACCTAGACCACAGTGTGTCACAAAAAGCAGTCAGAGTTGGTGCAGAGCAATAGCTGCTGATGGACTCATGCAAATGAGCCGAGCAGCAGAGAAGAGCCACACCATGTTTCTGTCAGCGCCGCACCGGTCAAATTCTTTCCTGAGCTGGAATATCAGCCGTGCTCTGGCCACCAGCAAAACATGTTCACCAGCTCATCGCAAAGAAAGGATTCCAGGTGCGACTCCAATATAGTAGGACGGGTGAAGATGTGCTGACTCTCCCCATTCCACTCTCTTTCTCTCTCTCTCTCAATGATTGTTAGGGGGGAAAGACCCTGAACCACCATCTGTCTACCCTCAATCAAGAGATCAGAAAGTCTCCTCTGTGTGTGTGTGTGTTTCTCAGACAAGTCTTGGGTGGTGGGGGCAGGGTGGAGACTCAAATGGAAGGTCCTGCTTGCAGCAGAAGGTAAGAAGGGTCGACTTCCCCAAGGATATCAGGTCTTTTGTGGGACCCCTGCATGGTGGCCTGTATTTTTCCTAAATCAAATCGGTCACACTAACTCCCTCCCTGGGCTTTTTCGGCAGAGCCCTTGGAAATGTGAGCTGCCACCTGTCCTCTCCACTGAGCTCCCGAGCCAGAGTTTCCAGATGAGCTTCTGCTGGGCTTTCGTCCTGCTCTTTTCTGCGCTCACTCTCAGCCCATAGTTAGTTTGGGCCTTGCCCCTCCCCATCTCTCCCGACAGCTCCCCTCCCCTGCCCTGCTGCCCTCGGTCTTTTTTCATTTCTTCCCAGCCTGTCTGTGTCTCTTTGTTTTCCCTTTTTTCTGCCACCCCAGCTGTGCTAGGAGGTGGGGCTGCCTCCTGACAAAGTTGGAGCGTGTGACGGCCCCATCACCCAAGGATAAGCGATTGTTCTGCTGCCTTTTTGTGTGTGTTTGCTAAAACGCGAGCCCACGTCTCAGGCCTGGGAGAAGTGGGCTGTGCCTGAACCAGCAGGCTGGATGGGGGAGGCTGCCTTGCCCAGTGGCTGTTCTCTGAACTAGACAGCCATTTGCGCAGATAAGTCTTGACATAAGTCACATGTAAAATAATTGTGTGTATCTTTGCTTGTGCAGCTCGGTGCCATTGGAGCCTTGGGCTGCCAGTCAAGCGGTTCCCCCAATTCACATCTAGGTGCTGCATTGGCTCCGTAATATACCACATGCTCTGCTCTTATAAGAGCCCAGTATGAAACTCCTTGTATCTGTGCTTGAAGAATCTTGGGGAGGCAGCCAAAGAGGGCTTTGTTTGATGGAACAATGGTCTAAGTCTGTATAAAAGCTCCTTCTGGCATTATGAATGGATGACCTGCTTTGCAGTCAGTGTCTCCTTGATCTTTCAGTCCTGCATGACAAGCAGCTTGGTACTTATTCCCAGTTTGCAGCTGGGAAAACTGAGGATGGAAGTGTGAGGCATGCTTCGTGCCACCCCACCAGACAGTTGTGGCAGGGACGCAAACATGTGCCTCTCAGCTCTCTTCCTTTCTAAGCTACCTGGCGGACTTTTCTTCTTGTTCCATCTTTTGTCAGAATTAATGGTGGGGTGTTGTTACCGCTATTATTTGAAGTGTTTCTGAGCCTGAAGAACAGACAAAGTTTCACGGGGCTTCTTCCAGGGTGCTCTCTCATCACTCGCCTCTCTTGTCCTTTCAGACATGTCTATCTTTGGTCACTGCCCAGCTCACGATGAGTTCTACCTGGTGGTGTGTAACCACTGTGGCCAAGTGGTCAAACCTCAAGCCTTTCAGAAGCACTGCGGTAAGCGAAGCAGCCAAAAACTGCCAATTGAATTTCTGTGGCCTCTGGATGGAGAGCTGTGAATTAGGGCTGCTTGCTGCCGCCTCAGGCACCGGCCCAGTGGGTGGTGCCTGGGCTTGAAAGGCCCTTTTCTGTTTTCCTCCTGAAAATGGGGGGGCGGGGTGGGGGAAGAGGAAGGTTGTCTTCCCTTGAATTTCTTTTCAACCAGCGAGGAAGCCGCTGCGAGGGCAGCAAGCAGCCCGAGAGACGGAAAGGCAGGATTCTGGTCATGCTAGGGTCGCTTCCGATGTCACAACTTTGCCCTTTGGGGAAAGAATGTGGGGAGGCAGTTAGGAAAGGGTCGTACACACATCAGGTAACATCAGAATGGAGAGACACTAGAGCTGCAGAGAAGAGCCCTAGCTCATGTGTAGAGCATTTGCCTTGCCTGCTGAGCAGGTTCAGTCCCCAGCATCTCCAGGTAGGGCTGTGAGAGTCGCCTGCCTGAAATTCCAGGGATCTGCTACCAGTCAGTGTTAACCATTCACAGCTAGATGGGCCTTTGGTTTGACTCGGTCTGAGACGATTTCCTACGTTCCTGTGATGTCCCATCTCGAAAGGAGACGGGCCATAACTGAGTGGCTAAGCTTATGCTTTGGGGAGAATGTCTCAAATTGAACCTCTGGTTGACTCAGCCATCCCCAACTTGGTGCCCCCTGGATGTTTTAGCATAGCACTCCCATCAGCGGGGGAGTGGGCACAGAAAGGGCCTGTCCAGAGGGCACCGACTTGGGGAAGGCTGCCATAAAGGGTAACAGGTACAGGATCTGGCAAAGATATCTCTGCCTGAAAACCATTGCCCTGCAGATGGGTCATTTCTGCTCCAAACAGACCGTTTGTTCCTTCTCTCCTCCATCCCATCCTCCCAACAGACTTCTCTCCATTCAGCCTTTACACTAGTGACTTAGGCCCAGCCATTTTCTAGCTGCTTCTCCTCCCAAGTTCTTAAAGCACAACGAAGGAAATCTAACATTAGGCAACCTCCTCTTGCCACCATCTGTGAATGATTTGTCCATATCCAGACTTTTTCCTTTGGCCTGGTGCCCTGGGGCGGGGGGGGGGGGAGCAGTAATCTCGCTGGGATTGTCCAAGGCCATCCGCCTGCCTTTGAAAGGGGTTGTTGAGCAAGAAGGGGGGAGAGTGGAGGGGCTGGAGATGGACTGCTTTAGCGACTCACCCTATGGAGCACAGGGGGGCAGGCAATGTACAGTCTGACCTCCTGCCAAGGAACCTGCTAAGAGGGTGGGGTAGGCTGGTATTTGTGTCCCAAGGCATGGCTTGAAGGTGCAGGATGCCGCAGCTGTGCTGAAGCCAAGCAGGTCTAGGCCTGGTGAACACCTGGATGAGGGAACCCTATCCACACCATCTTGGAATTCCATCATGGGAGAAGAAGCAGGATATAAATGAACTGTGTTTCTTTTATGTGCCTCCGCAACTTCCCTTGGGCTTTATGAATCAGGCCTTGAGGAACAGAACAGCAACACATAGATGGTGGTGACAGCTAAGATTAGGCAGATTTCCAGCTGGTCCTGATTGCCCCCTTTTGGACCCTGTGCCTACTTCCTGGTGATTGACTGTGATCAGGTTATGGGCCTCTCTAAGTGGGAAATGGCTGTATGAGAGAGTAGCTGCTTGGCTGTCTGCTACCCACTATTTCGAGCAGGTCTTGGAAGGATGTATTTTTGGAGCCCGCCTCTCACAGTTCTGTGGTGCAGAAAGGATTAGTTCCAAAATGCATGACTTGGTAAATTGGAGCTAGGAAGCTCTAAATGTGAAGTTCTGGATGTAGCCACTAACTTTGGTTCAGCAAGTTCCCAATAGAAAGGAGAGACGGAGGTGTGGATACAGTTTTCTAATAACAGTATGGGGCTTCTGGAGCATTGCCCATGAAACCTTAAGGGGATCACAAATTTGGCACTGAGCACTATTTGCATAGTAACCCTCCACATTTTGTATTAGAATAAAATCCATAAATTGGGTGCTTTTGCTTCCCATTTCTGTACTCCAGGCCAGTACTTGCCATTTGCAGTATGATGGCTGCCATCCAGATTCCCACATTGGCTAGTTGATTGCAATATTTTCAGTAACAGCATCTTAATTCCCACCTAGAGAGACGACATGGACCTCCCAGCAAGCTCTATGGCCGGGTGCAGACCTCTTCAAATTTACAAAAGTGCCATGCGGTCAATGGGCGGTCCCTTGCCAGTGGAGGTCACGGATCCACCAAGTCCTGGCGGGAGAGGTCCCAGGGCTCCTTCAGTCAAGCCCAGCACACGCCTGAGAGGACAGACAAGATGTCAAAGGACAACCTCTGGTAAGGAGGGGTTGGGTTTGTTGGCAGGGGACCTTTCTGAGCTTTAGGATACAGAGCACAGCCCAACCAATTCTTCTTGGGCTGTATAGAATCTCACTCCAATGCTTTTGGGGGAAGCATCCCAGTGCTGTGCTTACTGGGGTGGCTGGGGGAGAGGTATTGGAGAAATTGCGCCCTTCAGAATGGCAGGTGCAACCTGGTGTAATTCTCCGTTTTGTAAGATGGTACGGGGAAATCTACATGCAGCTCTAGGGATACTAAAGTTTTATTATCTAGGGATGCTAAAGTTTTACTTTTTGTTCTTTGTATAAAAAGATAAGGGCTAAATTAACCTCTAGACCTGTGAAGCTAGAAGTAGTTTTTAATGTGTGTGTGTGTGTGTGTGTGTGTGCGCAGACACATAGATGGGTCTGAATGAATCCTATTACTGAGGTTATATTTGGGGAGTGTTTTTATGGATTTTGATAAGTTGCATCTGTTATTTTATTTATTTGTTTGTATTAAGATGCCTTCTCCAAGACTAAAAATTGCAACAATAAGTAACAAATTTAACAAAAAAGAATCCGAGAAGCAAGAGAAGGAATATAATCTGTTTCCCCCGATTTAATGTCCCCTTGATGGTTTTAGTCACTTTTAGTGACTCTAGGTTTGTTGTGGAAAGCAAGGCAGAATTAAGCAAACTTAACTAGTTAATTATAGGGTTGGGTCTTGCTACTGAGGGAACTGCAGTCTATTTCTAGAGTCTCATGAGGTCAGTTGGCCACCACAGTGGAGTAATCCTGGTTTAAAGGCTGCACTAAAGTTTAAAGGAGCCCCCTTCAATGCCCACTGCTGGGGCATCCTTGCCGATGTTAGTGGAAGATGATCTGAAGGCACTTCAGAGTTTGCTTTCTTCATCTTGGTCTATTGCTGATGGCCAGACACATTGTTGTTGCAGGACACTGGGAAGACCTGTGAGATTTGGCCGTTGGTGCCTTCCAAGATTCATGTGGTACCAATGTGGAAACTGCACCTGCTCTTTTCTTGTCTTTGCCGCTCCTTTTATTCACTCTGTCTGTTTGGCTGGCATCTAAAAGCTCCAGCCCAGCTTCTTCTAATGTTCCTCCAGACACTGTTAGTAGTGTAGCTGAAGACATAAGAGTGTCACCTTGGTCAACTGAAGTGGGAGATGACGAATTTTTCTGATGTTTCTGACTTGTGGCTCTGCTTTGCTCTCTTCCAGTTTGTTTGTGCCTGTTGTGAACCTAGAGAAGATCTCCAGCCTTCCAAAGTCAGACAGTGATGGGATCAAGCCCCCCCCAAAGCTTTCTGACTCTGCCACCCCTAGACAGTCTTCTGCCAGCTCAAAAGAGATACATGGCAAGCCCTCCTTAGTGGCATCACCGAAAGAACCCCTGACGTCAGCCAAGGCCAGTGGCAACTCCATCATACCCGCTGACAGCTTGAGCAGGAAAATGGAGAATGCTCCTGTCTTGGGAGAGAAAGAGAGTGGTGCTGTGAAATCTCTGAAGAAGATGCCGCGTGAGTACCGTAGTATCCTGTAGCTGGAGGCAACATAGCACCTAGCCAAGGCATAGGGGGTTCCTTCCTGTATTCCATTTCACAGCAGAGCAGTCCTGGCTTCTGATATTGCCAAACGGTTTGGTAGCATTTCTGCACATGACATTATCTCCAAATTTCCCAAATTCTGGAAGAGTGGGCATCAAAGGCAATACTGCCTGGGCATGCCACACCCCAAAATCCAGGTTCTTCCGAGCTTCCACTGGGAGAAAGGGTGGTTTACTCCCCAGAGGACTAGGATAGAACATTTGCATTGGACTCTGAAGTGCACCAGACTCATATCTCTGGATTCTTTTATCTGGAGCATGCTTTTGATTGATCTCCCTTGTTGGGTGGGCTACTTCATTGAGTGCCTAGAGCGGGGGAAAGGGTTAGCAGAAAGCCAAGCTGCCAGCTTGATAGTCTCTGGCCAGGTGTATGTACCAACTAGCACCCTTTTTTTTAAAGGGGAAGCAACCCATTTCAAATTGAAGCTGGGTATGCATAGCCAGTATGTCAGATCCCTCTCTTGACCAGGTTTGTGCACTTGGCCTCCAGGTGACTGGGAAGAAGGGGAACACTGTGCATAGTCTGTGACTTGGGGCTCAGTTGACCAAGGGAGACAGGAAGAGGAGTTTCCTGCCATCTTTTTTTTCCCTCACGACCCCAAAGTATTTGTCTTCTCAGGACGATAAATGCTGAATAAGAAGAGAGCCACCCACATCGAAGTAGTGATTGCTAAAGACACAACTCCTCACAGGATGCCCATAAAATAAAATTAAAAAGCAGCAGGAAAAGAAATATTGTTGGACAAATAACCTGTTTGTGCTATTCTGACAGCAGGTGTCAAGAGTTCCTTGAAAAATGGAGTTTTTGAATAAGGGCTTCCTTGAAGGATGAGAGGGAAGCTGAGGCACTGGAAGGGGGAAGGCATAAAACCAGGCCTCAGGAAACATGGGGGGGGGGCAGGATGAGTGCCTTGCCTTCTGTTTTCCCGTCTGCATCTTAATTCTGTGTTTTGCTCCCACAGGGAAAGAATGTGACCTAAACAGGCAGTGTGGGGTGGTGAACCCCGAAACCAAGAAGGTTTGCACTCGGTTACTGACCTGCAAGGTATGATGCTTCATGTGATGAAAGTGGCGTGAAATGGGGGCAAAAGAGTAGTTCAGCATAAGAAAGAGTTTTGACCAGCCTTTGCTCCCCCCCCCCAAATTGGGCCTGTTCCTTTGCCTGACAAAGGCGCCTTTCCATTTGCCAAACCTGGAAATTTGGAAGGCAAAAGATTTTCCATGCTCAGAAATGCTTCACCTGTTCAATGGTGGAAAGAGGCCCCTCCTGTGTGTATGTTTCGTAGTGTTCCCCTCCCTGGTCAACACACCCTGCTGGAGTGCCCGTGGTCAGGGGTGGAGGAAGGGGGGTACGGTGGGGGTGGTTCACCCCAGGTGTCACCACTCAGAGGGGTGACAAAATGCCAGGTGGCACTCACTGCGGGGCCTGCAGAACGCCCGAGCCATGCATCTCTCCTGGGAGAGACGTTGTGGCTTGGGCACCCGCAGGCTCCGCGCTGCCCCAAACGGTCCCCCCTGCCGCCTCTCCCTCAGCTGTAGGGCGGCTGAGTGGGAGGAGACAGGCAGACTCCTCGGAGGCCCCGCGGAGCTTCCTGCCCCAGCTCGCCTCGCCCCGTGGGCGGCTGGCCCCGTCCCTTGGCGCAGGGCATATGCACCGCCCCAGGCGCCCAATCGGCTTGCTCCGCCACTGCCTGTGGTTTTCCAAGGTAGAGAGGCCTTTCTGCATAGCCCGTCCCCTGCTGCAAGCATATCTTCAGTTCTGGGTGTTGATGTTCATCATGTTGTTGGGCTGTGGCTCCCACCATAGTAGCTGGAACTGATGGGAGTTGCAGTTCAAGAACATCTGGAGGGCACAAAGTTGGCTGCCCTTGGTCTGCCAGCTTTATTCAGGTTCCTGAGCCCTATTGGCTGCCTACCCTCCTCTTAAGACTGTTGTGAGTTACTGGAAGCAAGTTGCCAATGAAGGAATTCTGCATTTGCAAGAAGGCTAGTGTGTGCTGTGATACAGCTTACCTGTTGCTGCGCCATCAACATCAGTCTACCAACATAGATGCCTGCTTTGTGGCTTTGTCTCTGGCTGCTGTCAGACATAGGAGCAAGACTAGGTTCTAAAAGAAAAAAAGGTCACCCTATCAAGTGGAAGCTCTTGACTTTCAGTAGCAGGTGTGGGGAACCTTTGGATTGCCAGATGTTTCTGAACTACAATTCCCATCATCCCTGGCCATTGGCCATGCTTGCTAAGGCTGATGGGAACTGTAGTTCAGCAGTGTCCCAACACCTGCTCTGTAGAAAAGTTCAAGTGGAAAATACTTTGCTGTAAACCCGGGGACAGGGAATCTATGGCCCTTTAGCTGTTGCTGGACTACAGCTCCCTTCATCCCTGACCATTGGCTGTGTTGTCTGAGGCTAATGGGAGTTGGAGTCTGGAGGATGCCAGGTTGGGGAAGAGTCACCTAAGGTATAATCTGCTGGAAAGCTCTTAAATAAATGGGAGCTGTGCCAGAGCACTGAGGATGGTCTTGCTCAGCTCCTGTACATTGCAATAAAGCGTGCTCAGGAGAATTTCCCCGGGGGGAATTGTGCCTCTCATCTCTCTCTGGAAGGCAGCCAGGTATCATATATAGGTGGAAAACTTTGTAGCTTCAAGTTAACTTGTTTGAGGTAGTCTTAAGGCTCCATATAGACAGCTTTGTATTCTCACAGCCAGCTACCCCGTGTGAAGAATCGGAACTGGGGTTTCTCTGTTCCAAACACTCAGGACACTTGATTCAGGCAGAGGGGATATTGGGTGGGCAGTTTCTGAGTACATGCTATAATGAAGCGATACTAGTAAAATCCAGGCATTGCAGAAGTTGTAGCCAGGACAGCAAAACATAAGCAAGCTAAACACAGTGTGTCAAGTCATCCCCATGACAACACTGGGTAATTTCACAGTGTGCTTTTGCTGCAGCCACTGTAAATAATGTTAACCTTTTTGATGATCAGCTGCCTTCTACCCATAAGTCAGATTTATTCCAGGTGGGCCTGTTTAAAATCCAATTTAATAACTGTATGAGCTCTTGTTTTCTGCCCAGTGGTTCATCCAGCACTTGTCTAAGAGCCAGCCGCTTGGATTTATTGAAATGTTCAGTGGTTGAGAGCACCATTTTCCCCATTGTAGCACCTTAGTGACCACGTGGGAAATTTCTTATTCGAAAGCCACCCACCATGTGACAGTCTCTCCCATCCCCCGTCAGAGCTTGCCTTCTCATAAAATAGGCTTGGAAATGGACTTCTTCTCTGAGGTTGTTGCTTTTGTCATGCTCTGGTCCAGTGCTATTATTCTAGAAAAAGAGGTGCCAGAACTCGCCACGAACACCTGCCTTGTGCTCTTATCATGGCAAAGGTGCCCACCTGAGACGTGCTGGAACTGAGTTCCGGCAAGTTCCGGCTGAAAAAAGCCCTGTTCTTGTCACACCTCCATAAGCGAATGTCGTGAAGTCCTGCAGCGGTGGATGTGCTTGTCAGCTGATGCCTCTAACCATTCTCTGTGCCTCAGATTCATTCTGTCCACCAGCGCCGTGAGGTGCAGGGCCGCGCCAAGGACTTTGACGTCTTAGTGGCCGAGCTGAAGGCCAACACCAGGAAAGGCGAGTCCCCCAAAGACAAGAGCCCAGTGAGGAAGGAAGCGCCTTCTGAACGACTCTCGCAGGACTCCTCGTTACTCTCACAGCCGTCGCTGGTCCTGCCCAACGCCTCTCTTTGCCGAATAAAGCAACCCTACTCCCACTGTGCACTTTCCAGGTAAAACAAGGGCAGATAGTGTCCCAGGTTAAGCACGGGAAGGAAGTTGACTGGGTAGTTTTCTAATTAAAGTTGCCTGGGGGATTTTTTTTGGCTCAACCACAGATGTGGACAGGACCTCGGACAAGGTGGCACTGTACCACCTTCTGTACCACTGCAAAAGCAGACTCTATCCACAGATACTCAGTATCTACTATATGTTTTGGAAGTGGTTTGTTAGCCATGCATTTGGATACTTCTTAAGATATAACCAGTTTTTGTACAGTAGTTCCTGCGATCAAGGAGATGGTTTTTGTTTATGTTTGGATGCAGCAGGGTGCCATTTTGAATCAAAATGGCAGACTGAATCTTTCAAAACTGCACTAATTTTGATGTTTCTTAGAATTCCTTAGCAGCAAGGGACATATGGCTGCTAGTCCTAGTAAGGAAGCCAGTAATATCTCTGCCACAGATTCAGGAAACCCTCCCCTTGAAGAGGGCTTTAACCTCCTGTGTTGCTTTTAGGTCTAGGGTTTCCTCAGAGAGTGAGCCCGATGACCTGCCTACCACCTCTAGCGAAGTCGACCATGGGCTCTACCCTTTTCCAGCACCCAAGAGCACCGGCCGGGTTTCGAGCGAGGAGAGTGAGGATGACGCAGTGGATGATTCCCGCAAGGTGGACTGCCATTATGCAACACGGTCGCCACGCCCCCAGGCGGTAAGTGCCAGGCTAAAACTGGTGTGGCTCTGTGAAATGGGTCCTTCATGCCTTTGGAGAAAAATGCTTGCCCCAAGTCTTGCAAGAAGAATGCCAAGGGGGAGGGGAATGTTGGATGCTTGGACAAATGAAGCTGCTTTTATACCGTGTGAGACCACTGGTCCATCTGACCCAATGACACTTAGTAACAGTTCTCAAAGGCTCCAAGAAGATGTATTCCTGAGTTCTGAGATCTCTTTAACTGGATACACCAAGGTCTAAACTCTGACCTTACACATGCAAAACAAATCCTCTGCTACTTACCTATGGGTAAGTTCAGTCCAGGATTAGGTTCGTTGCCCTTGTTCTGTTGATATCAATGAGACCCAGGTGTGAACGGGGTGGGGTGGCGGCGATGTTTTGCCTTCCTTTGCTCAGGAGATGAGGTGGGCAGAAGAAACAACTCTCTTGGTGTTAGCATCCCATCCCCATTTGCAAGAGGTTTCAGAATGTGCCGTTTGCGTGATTTCATATTCTTAATGCCTTTTATCCCTGCTTCCATCTCCCCGCAACAGTTCTGCACTTTCGGAAGCAGGTTGGTGAGCCCTGGATGTTACGTCTTCAGTCGACGGCTGGATCGGTTCTGCTCTGCACTCAGTTCCATGCTGGAGAGACATCTCAGCTCACACATGTGGAAGTAAGTAATCCTAGGGGGAAGGAGAGAAAATCCTGTGATGAATTGCGGCATGTTAATGCCCCTTGCAAACAGCTGAAGATGGGCATGTGTTGTTTGCGCTTAATACTAAGCTATGGCTGTTTAAAATTGGGTTTATTAAACCATAGTTTGTTTGATCACCCAAACTCTGCCCAGCAGCTTAACTATTGCTTGTTTACTGCCAACATGTCTGAAGCCATTGTTTGTTGTTGGCTTATGAACCTTGGTTTGCTTTAGCTATGGCTTGGTGTTACTGTCCACCCTTCTGAACCATGGTTTGTTTCACCACCCCACCTTGGGAGACAAAAGCAACTGGAAAACGAACCAAATTTCAGAGAAACAAGTTTGTATGATTGTTTGTGGGTCAACTCCCAATTGCCTCGGTCCCTGCTCCTGCAAAGTGCAAGTAGATAAATAGGTACCGCTCCAGCGGGAAGGTAAACGGCATTTCTGTGCGCTGCTCTGGTTTGCCAGAAGTGGCTTAGTCATGCTGGCCACATGACCTGGAAGCTGTACGCTGGTTCCCTCGGCCAGTAAAGCAAGATGAGCACCGCAACCCCAGAGTCGTCTGCGACTGGACCTAACGGTCAGGGGTCCCTTTGCCTTTACCTTTAACTTCCCGGCACTGACATTGCTGCTGTTTACCAGGACATAGCAGGGTAGCGGTGAGGTATAAATATATTTAGAATGGAGGCCACAAAACATAGTATTTCGATGAGATATGGTATTTTGTTGGAGTGTGGTCCCCCCCCCCAACCTTTGCATGTCTGTCCCATGTGTTTATCCATTTTTCTGTTCTGATAGGCACTCCAGATGCCGTTGGATTCAAATGCCCATTACCTCCTGACCATAGGCCATGCTGTCTGGATCGGATAGGAGTTACTGAGTCCAACACCACCTAGAAGTTCCCATCCTTGTGTTCAGAAATCTAATCCCCCTGTTACGGAATCAACTGACCTAGTTGATTCATAAATAGAGATCTCCTTCCTTTTATAACCTGCCTTTGCATCAGATTATCAGGCTGGTTCATACTAAAACAATGAAGTAGCCAGTGCATAAAGAGCTAAGAACAGCAACTTTATAAATCAACATTAAAAAATGGATTGTATTCCAAGGGTTAAAAGGGGGGTTGCTGGCACTTCTGATCCGTGCCGCCTGCCAAGCCCCGTGCGCTGTTGTTCACAAACCCTGACAATCATCAGGGCTTGCAAAAAGCCACACACAGGGCTTTGAAGCCACAACAACCAGCCAACTGTCGGGGCTTCAAAGCAGCTCGCGCAGTGTGCTTATGCCTGTCTCGTTTTAATTTCAAACCACGCAGGTGAAAATGGGTCACCTGCCATTACCGAGGTGTCTGGTGACTGACAGACGGGTGGCCCCATGGGTGTAGGGGTGAGGGAGATAAGGGTCCAGCCCATTCCTGCATCCTGCTTACATGGGCATTATTTAGAGATGCAGCAACATAGGGACTTGCCTTACACAGAGGCAGAATCCTGGGCTGATCTCGCCTGGTATAGCACTCTGCACTGATTGGCTGCCTTAGTCCATCGGGGTTTCAGGCAGGGCTGTTTCCTAGATGGCAAGGATTGGACCTGGGACCGTGCAGACCATGGTGTCTGCCACTGAGCTTCAATGGCCCCTTCTCTCGGGCTTTAGAGCTACAGCAAAAGAGCACTTGGTCTCTTCAGAGGCTTTTTTGAACCATTCTCTATCACCCACGCTCAGGGTTTGTTTGTCCTGGTAGTGGAGGACGACTTGCCTGAGGTTTGTCCCCGTGGCAAATGTTCATCCATCTCCCAGCTGCATTCCACATGGGACTTGCTGGAGCAGTGGAAGTGACAGATTGGGTGTTTGCATTTCCTGCATTTTCCCCATTCCTTATCTCTTCGACAGAAGTGGTGCCTAGAGAAGGGACATCTGGACCCTTGGCAATAGCTTAACGACTGCATTCGTATCCCTCCTTTTTCTCCAAGGAGTTCAAATGAGAAACAACAGCATGCTTCTTGTGTGGTTGGCGGCGGGGAGATGGGAATGTAGAAAGCCTTGCCCCCCCCCGCCCAGCCAGATCCTATGTTACTTTACTAAGAAGGAAGCCCCACTATGCTCACTATGACTCCAAAGTAAGCGAGCCTATGCTTGCAGCTGAAATCCACGTTTGACATCCCTCCCCCTGCAAATGGACGTAAAATGTGGATGTGCTTTTAAGCACCTATTAAGCACCCGTGTAAAAAAGAGCAGCGCATGCAATTATGTTCCCAGTCCACAGCTTTGCCATCAATCACTCTGCGCACGGTTGCCGAGAGAAGCATTGCCTTCCTCCGGCTGACCTCGTAGTCGTGGTGTTTTGTCAGGGCTTCTGGTCCCCCTCGTCTCCAGCAGGTGGCGCTGGGCTGTAGGGTTTGACGCCGCCGCATCCTTTATGGATGGCTGCACTCATCTGAACAAAGGGAAAACAAACACCCAGGTTCTGGTGAAGGGGAAAGAGGAGGGCGGGTGGTGGCTGCCTGCGTGCGCGTGGATGCGTGTGTTTGCAGGCGTCGACGTAAGGGGTTTAGAACGGGATAGCAACCCGAGCCAAAGAGGGAGGCTTTGGATTTGAGAGCGGCAGGGTGCGACGTCATATCTGGAACCTGAAAAAACAAGGGAGCCCATGAGGATTCTGGTTTTACGATACAGCATGGAGGTCAAAAGGAACAAGAGCTGAGGGTTGGAGGGGTTTTTCCAAAGTCAGCTCTTCTTAACTCTCTCTCTCCCCCCCCCCCCGCCTTTTTATTGGCCCAACCAGAAGGATCCCTCCTGCTGCTGACCATCCAATTCTGTCCACGCCACCCCCTGTTCTTCTGGGCTTCTCCACATCCAGCACTTCTCAGAACTGCAGCTCCTCCCTGGTGTGTAGCCTCCCCCACAGCCTCCCGGGCAGGACCTCGGTGTCTTGCGCGGCTTCAGCCACCGTGGCCTCCAGGGACAGCCGCAGCCACCACAGCATGAACTATGCAGTGGGGTCGCCCCACGCTGCAGCCGCCTGCAGCCAGTCGGACTGCATGGGCGGGAGCCAGTCCATCACCTCCCCACTCCCGGCCAACACCCCTTCGCCGTCCTTCAGCAAGTTGCCTTTGACCAAGGCCAGCAAGTCCTCCAAAGCCAAGGAGGCGGCGGCTGGCGGCGTGGAGCCAGAGGCCTTGGCCCGGAAACGCAAGCAGTCTCCTGGGGCCCCCGCTAGCCCTCCGTACAAACAGACCTGTTTCCTTGATCTGGGCAAGAGCAAGGCAGCTGGCTGCCAGGTCTCCCACCCGCCCGCCAAGGCCAAGCCATCCATGATCTCCTCCTCCTCGACTCTTTCCCTGAATGGAACCGTCTCGGCCGGAGCCAGGATTAAGAGGGTCAGCCATCTGGACTGCAGGGCTCCCGGCCACGTCCCAGTCAAAGCGTCGCAGCTGGAGAACCGGGCCTCCTCGCTGAATGGGCCAAAGGCACTGCAAGCCAACTGCATCTCGGATGAGGAGGCCAAGCGACGCAAGAATACAGCCACCTACTGTAGGCCAATGAAGGCCAGGCACTCCCCCTCCCCCTTGCCTTCCTCTTCCTCCTCTGACTTGGGTGGCTCTGTCCGAAGGAAGAAGCCAGTTGTCTCCTTGGGATTTGAGGAGAAGCAGAACACAATGAAGGTACGTTCTTTGCACATTCTTCTTCTCCTTCTCCTTCTTCTTCCTTTATCTCTCAGCTTTTCCACCAAGGAGCTCAACATAGTTCTCCCCCTCCTCATTTCATGCCCACAACAACCCTCTGAGGTAGGTTAGGCTGAGAGACAGTGACTGACCCATGGTCAGTGAGTTTCATGACTGAGTGGGGGATTTGAACCCTGGTCTCTGAGGCCCCAGTCCGACACTCTAACCACCACCCCACACTGGATCTTCTGCCTCCAAAGGATTGCGTCAGCTGCCTTTTCTCCCTCGCCAGAGTTTTGACACAAAGTCTGCACACTTGTGTTTATATGTCCATGACATGACATATAATGGTCCCCAGAAGCTAATAAATTTATAGCAACACACGCACCAACTCTGTTGTAGTCCATATGATAAGTTTTGGGTAGTGTTCAAGAGAGTGCGTTTAAAATGGTGCTGGGTAAGGAACGTTCAGCAGTGACATTTTGTTGCGTCATGCTCCCTTTTGTAGCTTGTTGGCTAACATTCTCTTTATGGGGTCTGTGGCAGATAGTTCGAAGGAAATGTTGGCCCAGTGTGCAGCCGCTGTGTGGAAAAGTCAAGGTCCTTCTTAGAGCTCCTTAGGAAAGAGGTCATAGATACAATTGCCAGTATTGTAACACCTTTATAAAGATCTATGGTGTGACCACATTTGGGGTGAATGGTGGAAGAGTCAGCATAGACAAAAGGAAGTATTTCGCACAGTTCATCATAAACAGGATAATTAACTGCCTCAGTATTTGATGTCAGCCAACTTTGATGGCTAGAAGCAGGTTTTGTTCAAATGCATGGAGATAAGGTTTCCAGTGGCTTCTACTCAGTATGACTTTGTAGTTCCTCCTTCCTCGGAAGCCCATTTGCTGGGGAACAGGACTGCAAAGTGGCTATACTGTTCCCCTGTTCCGCTTATGGATTTCCCATAGGGATCTACGTGGCCATTGTAGGAAACAGGGCAGCTAGGTTAGATAGCTGTCTGATCTAGCAAAGCTGCTCTTTTTGTTCTTACAATTTCTACAGCTGTATCCTGGTGTGTGTGTGTGAGAGAGAGAGCAGTGCCTGAGTCAATTAAACCTTCAATTGATTGATCAGTAAGGGCCAATTTCCATCTATGGGTCTGAGATCTAAGTACCCAGGGATGTTGTATATGTATATGTTTGTGGTTGCTTTGATTCAGGTGTGGTGGTGGAACAGGGGGTGAAAAATAAACCATTAAAGGCAGGCTTTCCTATCAGTGAGCTTAAGCTTTGGTTTATTAGATTATATGGCACTTAATAAATTTCTATACCACTGAGTAACAAACCTGTCTCAGCAGTTATCTCATACTTCATTCATTTATTAATACATGCATCTAATATTGCTTCATGGAAACATAATTAAATAAATTTGCAATCAGTTAAAAGGCAAATGATTGATTTAGCATTATTTCATTGGTGGACCAGTTCTGATTTTTATCAAAGCCTTAGGAGTGAGGCCACTGGTATCCTATGTAAAAATAAATAAATGCACGTTAAGTGAGTTGATGCTTTTATTCAGCTAATTTGAAATACTAGAAGTATTCAAGCTGCATAGAAGACCTTTTAACTGCTTGGGCAGAGGGTGGAGAAGAGAAATAATATATTAGCTAAGAGTGACACCTTTCCTCCACTTCTTTAGTCTTAAGCAGCTTCCTAGCATGTAGATGCACTGATTTAGCTTTACCTGCTGAATAAATTTTTGCTAAGCTGCAGTTAAAGGACACAGATCTTCTGGGCGGGGAGTGGAGGGAAAGATGACAAACCCCAGCTAGGAGCACTTTTAAGATAAAGGGTAGAAATGTTTAGGAAGGAGATAACGATAATTATATTCAGGCTATTTGGGTTTTGCTCAGAGGGACAGTTTCCACGAATTCCCAAAAATGAAACTGTAGTGATGGAGGGAGTACAAAGCAAAGCACGAGAACACAGGAGCCCTGCTGGATCAGACTAAAGGCCGATCTGGTCCAGCGCTCTGTTCTCATAGTAACCAGCCAGATGCCTCTGAGAAGCCCACAAGCAGGATGTGAGCGCACCAGCCTTCTCCTGCGCTTGTTTACCAAGGAGCAGAATTCAGAGGCGTAAGACCTTCAATCCCGGAGGTAGCCCAGAGCTCCGATTCCTAGCAGGCCTGACCAAGGTTGTTGTCCCTGGTATCTAGCAGCTAGCAAGAAATTACCCCTGAAGGCGAAGTTTCCAGTGGACTGAGAACTGTTGATAGACTATGGATGAAGAACGTGTGGCCTCCCAGATGTTGTTGGGCAACAACTCCCCATCGGCCCAAGCCAGCATGGTCCAGTGGTTGGGGATGATGGGATCTGGAGTCCACCAACATCTGGAGGGCCACACAGTCCCTATCCCTGCTGTTGAAGGATCACCCTCCATGAATTTGTCAAATTTGCCCAGCAGGAGGCTGTAGCAGCCTCTGGCCTTTCTAGTTCCCTCAGGCATTGCTCACTTGGCTTTATGAAGCCACGTGGGGAGGAGCTGCTGAGAGATCACGCACATGCCATTGTGATGCATCTTAAAATGGGACTCTGCTTTGATTCATTCTTGCGAGCCCTGGATATCACATGGGATGATTGGCTCCATTTGCATTATCTGCGGAATTGTAATTTCCAAGTTCCTTTATTAGAACCTCGGCACATCTAACCCTGCACCCGCTGCATCAGGCCAAAGGCTCATCTAGTCCAGCATCCTATTCTCACAGTGGCCAGCCAGATGCCTGTGGGAAGCCCACAAACAGGGCCTGAGCACAGCAGTATTCTCCCCACTTGTGATTCCCAAAAACTGGTGCTCGGTGGCGCCCTGTCTTTGACAGTGGAGGGGGGGCAATGTAGCTCCCATGGTGCCATGCAATCCCATACAAAGCTCTTTCCCCCAATTAATAAAAGGTTGCCATGTCAAATACCCCTCTAATGAAGCTAGAAGCATGGCTGCTGCTCTTTGTAATTTCAGATAGGTGCTGGTTGCAGCCCTGGCTGTAATAGACACTTTGCTGTGAATGGTGCTACATAAACTGTCACCCTCTGCACTGACACCCTCTCTTCTCTCTTCTCTTTTGCAGTCAAAAGCGCATTAACAGCAAGTGCCTGCATTCTGCAGAAGGAGCCAACAGCCTGAGAACTCTGCCCTGGGTCCGACTCAAAGCCTCTTTGCTTTTTTTATAACTTTATAGTATTTTTTTAAAGGAAAAAAAACCCTCTAAAATACCTCAAGACTCCTCCTCTTCTTTTCCTGCTTAATTTTTCTTTTTTAAGGGGCTGGGTGGGATGTGAAGGAGGAGAGAGGGAAAACTGAACACAAGGGAAACCGATAGAAATGCAACCAACATGCAGCTTGTAAATGCGGTTGCAGGTGGAATGGCTGGGAGCTGTTTCAATGCCCATAATGAAATGGGGATGTTTTCTGGCAGTGTGGTTGTTCAAAGAGAAATGGGTGCTTCATGAGATGGCGAAGGCAGGGTGGGAGCCCAGTGCTGAAATGCTTTGTGAGGCCATGCAGACACCCTTGGCAATCTGCTCAGGGGTGCCAGGGGGCATTAGCTTCACATGCTCCTGGATGGCGATTGCCCGCATCCCTTCTCCGCTCACCTGTGCTGCTTCTCCTCTGCCATCCCACCACTGCTGTGATTCTGTGCAGTGGCTCTCCCTATCTCTCCTTGGCCCTTAAGTCCTGCTTTCTATTATGCAGGAATGGGGAACCTTGGGCCCAGGTCTCCCCTAGCTCCCAGCCAAACCCCTAGTCGCCCTGCTATGAACCATCCTTGAGTCTTTTTGCCTGGTTGGAGGGTATCCTTGAACTTGGATAATGCCTCTTGCTTCTCTGGATAGAGAGAAGGGGTGTGTGTGTGTGTGTGTGTGTGTGTGTGTGTGTGTGTGTGTAAGCCAGCCTTCTGCACAGAGGCAAATCATTCATTGCTCTGCCCACTTTTACTTCCGGCCCTGATGGCAACCGATACCTCAGAGGTGGATTTAGGGCAGCACAGCTGGTTCTGTCATTCTGGGCACTGAAGCCAAGGGGGAGTCACAGGGCATCACAACTGTCACATAGCAAGCAGAACGGAAGGCGGGGGAGGGGGGATTTTGGCCTTGCGCAGGGCACCGCTGACCAGATTAATACCTAGGACAGAATGTGTCCCTCAAGCCAAATAAAGCTCCCCACTCCTTCTCTTAGGACTAGAGAAGAGAGAAGCAGATGTCTTAGCAAAGTACTAGAATGTTTTCAGACAGCATGTCGGGACTTTAAAGGATGAAAATACAGCTTCTGTTCTCCCGCTTAGACTTCAAAGGGGTTCTCCTAGTACAGTGGTACCTCAGGTTACGAACTTAATTCATTCCAGAGGTCCGTTCTTAACCTGAAACCGTTCTTAACCTGAGGTGCGCTTTCGCTAATGGGGCCTCCTGCTGCCGCCGCGCCGCTGGTGCGCAATTTCCATTCTCATCCTGGGGCAAAGTTCGCAGCCCGAGGTAACTACTTCCGGGTTAGCAGAGTTTGTAACCCGAAGCGTTTGTAACCCGAGATACCACTGTATTTTATTAGTTGAATTTGTATCCTGATATTTCACCGCTCAAGGTGGCTGGTGCCTATAGTGCAAATACAGCAATAATTAATTTTGCAGTGGGGGTTAAATGAGAGATGCTGGTTTCTCAGGCAGGACGCTGGCTGTTTATTAAGGATGGAAAATGTGTGAAGCCCAGAGCCACTTATTACAGTCAACTTCAACATCCATCCTCTTCACCAACACAAGGGGCTGCTTCTTCTTATGCTCTTATTAGGTGTCAGGTACCCCCCCTCCTCTAAATATTAATTGGTGGTACAATTGGCACATTTTAAACTACACTTAGGCTACAAACACACCATACATGAAAAGCATGTTTCTCTGCAAAGAATCCTGGGAAGTGTAGTTTACCCTTTGAAGAGCTACAATTCCCAGCACCATTAACAAACTAGTTCTCGTGATTCTTTTGGGGGCGGGAGGGGAAGTACGATGTGCACATAGCCTTTTTTAGGCCTCATTGGGCTGATTCTGAGAGAACAGCCATCCTCTCGTGTGCCTAATCTTCATCCCTGAGGGGAAAAGACACCCACATTGCTGCTGGTAATAACCCTGTGGTGTAAAACACACACACACACTGGGAAAACATGCAAGGCCCAAAGAACTCATTGGGGGTATTACTTAAGCACCTTCACTACATTCTTGGTTCTGGCTGCTGCTGGACGCCATTTTATGGCTTCTGAAGTGATGTGAGATGATGAGTCGGGGATTTGAGTGTCACCTGTAAACTGACAAAGGAGAGCTATTCACAGCTTTTCAATTGGTGTCTGGCCGTTGTGGGGCACTGCTGAATGCCATAGGGTATGGTCAAGAGATATGGGGCAGTCACTGTGGCCAAGCAGCCATTTTGCCCCCACCCCAAAGACGGCGAGGTGAGATGTGCCACAGAATAGTTGGGACTACAGCAACTATCAGTCCAGTCAGCATGGCCCAAGGTTCACAGATGATTGGAGTTGTAGTTCTTCAGCAACACCTGGAGGGCCACAGGATTTCTGATTAGGTGCAAAAGTGTGGTAAGATTCTCCACATGGCAGGACAGATGGCCAGTTAACCAAGTGACAACTTAATGTATCTGTGCATATGAGCACTTGGGAAGCTGCCCATCTATTTCCTTGCCAAGTGGTTAGAAGAAGCAGACCAGTCTCCTTTTTCTCTTAATCAGGTGCAGAAGTGTTAAACAGTTCTCACCACCTGGTTGGGCAAGATATATGAGGCCTCATCGGGGGAGGTGGCAACATTTTCTGGGCCCAGGGATGCATTTTGAAATCTAAGAAACTGTTGTGGGTACCAGAAAACACCCATTTCATAGAAGAAAGACTGGTGATGCTCAGCTACCCCCAAACAAATGAAACAGTTTTTAAAGGCAGCCATCGTGCCTCTCTGCAAGAAAAGACAATCATCCCAAACAAAAACAGCTCAACTTTAAAAATAAAATTGAGAAGGGGGCTGAGTGGGTCACAAGGGAAGTGGCTGAAGGTGCTGTGGTGCATATGTGCATCAGGTTGGGGACTTCAGGCCCACATCCATGCATTGGTGTCTTACTGTCTGTATTCTCCCCACAGTATGGAGAGGAAAATAACAAGATGCTTCCAGCCAGATCCCATGCATTTTTATTCCTAAGCATGCCAAGCGTTGCAGCCTCCATTGCATGACAAACTGCCCCAGACCCACACAATGCACCCATTGGTTGTGTGAAGCAGGCCTCTTATGCCGCCTTTGTGCATTTCCCCTGCTATGGCTTTAAAGCTGGTTCACAATTTGCATTTTGAATTCTGGTACAAGCCTTGTTTGAAGAGCAAAATACGCGTGTGGAGTTGTCAGTTGCAAACGGCACGCGTTTAAATGGCTACTTCTGCAATAAACATGAAAATGGCGACCAGCAAAGAATTAGACTTGTGCTTCAGTATTTGTTGTGAATAAAATCCAGCCATTTAAAATTATTTGTGCCATTCACAACTGCTAAGACTGCAGGTGTATCTGGTACCTGTTGTATTTGAAAGTGCAGATTGGCTGTTCTACCATAGACTTGTTCCATGTGAGGCCTGGAGCTTCCTGACAGAGACTTTATGTCACTAATGCGTCATTAAGATTCAGTTTTTCTATTCCCTGTCGGTACATGGCCACACACACCTTTTTTAACCTTAGATTTTTCAAAGGTATTCCACTGCCTCTCCCACAGCAGTGTGCAATCCTTGATGACCTGTTTCTGTGCAATGTTTCCTGACTGCTCCCTCAATCACTACTCTCTTTCCCTCCACCACATGCATGCATATAAATCTGTACTTGCTTGCATGCACCTTAAACACACACACACACACACACACAGAGAGAGAGAGAGAGAGAGAGAGCACCAGGAGAAACATTACCAATCCCTAGTTCTCATGTATTGCCAGGAGGGAAACTGAGGCTTGTGCTTTGGAGGAGCTGAATGGGAAGGGCAACATCAGTGCTGTTTTTCATAAATACAGACGTCTTGCACAGGACTGATACCCAGTTATACTGCAATTCTGATAAAGAGGTTTTGTGCAATATCTCTTGTGTTGCTGCTATATCTTCACCACACACATTACAACCTTCCCTCAACGCTTCAAAAAGTGCCTACGAGCTCCCACACCAGCAGTAAGGGCAGTTGTAAAGGTAAAGGTAAAAGACTCCTTACAATTAAGTTCAGTCACGAATGACTCTGGGGTTGTGGCACTTATCTTGCTTTATTGGCCGAGGGAGCCGAAGTTTGTCCACAGACAGTTTTTCCGGGTCATGTGGCCAGCATGACTAAGCCACTTCTGGCGAAACCAGAGCAGCGCACGGAAGCGCCATTTACCTTCCTGCTGGAGTGGCACCTATTTATCTACTTGCACTTTTTAGCGTGCTTTCAAACTGCTAGGTTGGCAGGAGCTGGGACCGAACAATGGGAGCTCACCCCATCACGGGGATTCGAACTGCCGACCTTCCGATTGGCAAGCCCAAAGCTCAGTGGTTTACAGCACAGCACCACCTGCACTGTGGAACAGTGGGTGGAACTCTGTGGAACAGTTGTAGAACAGGCTATTTCTATTTAACAAAATTTCTGTACAAGAGGAAATCCTGATAAAATCGGGGGGGGGGGGCGTTTACAGGCTGGCATTTTTATAATGGCAATCTCACTTGGACAGTGTGAAAAACCCATGTGCATAAGAGGCACCGATCCCACAATAGTGCTCTTAGTTCTCCGGTATCTTCAGAATGGAAACCTGCTTCCCCCAAAATTGAACTTTTGGTGACGGGGGAATGCACTGGAAAGTATGGGATATTTGCTTGTTGTAATTTTGTCTAACCTCCCCACAAACAAATCGGAATAAATGCTCATTAAATATAGCCTGCCCCACCTAGCAAGCAAATCAGGTTTGAATGCTCAGGGTCCTCTGGAAACAGCCCCACATATAGGGCATTGGATTAGCAGAGCCCCCTTTCTCCCCATGGTCGCATAGCTACACCAGGAAGAACTTTCTGACGGTAAGAGCTGTTCAACAGTGGACCGGACTCTCCCGGAAGGTGGAGAGAGTCCTTCCTTGGAGGTTTTTAAGCAGAGGTTGGATGGCTATCTTCCAAGGATGCTTTAGCTGGGACTCTTGCATCGCAGGGGGTTGGACTAATATCCGTCCAACTCTATCCTTCCTAAGGTGAGAAATCGCGGAATTTCCACCCTACTTGAAAACGACACCCTTTCCCCTAGAAGCCTTACTCCTTTGGGGCCTCAGTCCAGTATACCTGAAGGAGCGTCTCCACCCCCATCGTTCTGCCTGGACACTGAGGTCCAGCGCCAAGGGCCTTCTGGCGGTTCCCTTGCTGCGAGAAGCCAAGTTAAAGGGAACCAGGCAGAGGGCCTTCTCGGTAGTGGCACCCGCCCTGTGGAACGCCCTACCACCAGATGTCAAAGAGAAAAATAACTACCAAACTTTTAGAAGACATCTAAAGCCAGCCCTGTTTAGGGAAGCTTTTAATGTTTAATCGGTTATTGTATTTTAGTGTTTTGTTGGAAGCCGCCCAGAGTGGCTGGGAAAACCCAGCCAGATGGGCGGGGTATAAATAAATTATTATTATTATTATTATTATTATTATTATTATTATTATTATGGCGGGGATGGTGATGGGTTGCGGGTGGGGAGAGACGAAGCCTGCCCCAGGACGGAGCCTGCCCTCAAGGCGAAACGGGTGAGACCAAGTGGTCACGCCGCGCCCACGGTGGCCCTTTCCCGATTCCCTTTCAGCTCCCCCGGAGAGACCCGCCCCGTGGCCTGGGCTCCGCCTCCCTCCCCGACAGGTGTGCGTCGCCACCTGCAGCAAGCCGCACCCTGCCGGCTCCTTTCCCCGCCTGTAACAACAGCCCAAGGCGGAAGCGTTCTGCAATGTCAGGCGCCCCGGCGAACGCGGAGCGGCGCACCCTGCGCTGGCTGCGGCGGGGCTGCGGGGTCCTGGCGCACCTCGCCGCGCTGGGCACCACCGCGCTGCTGCTGCTGCTCTCCAGGCCCGGCACCAGTGAGTTGACTCTCCCTCCCGCTTCCATTCCCAAGGCAAAGTAACGGGACGAAGGGGGTGGGGAAGGGCACCGGTTCCTCTCCTGGCCCAGGATGCGCCTTGGAAGACGTGCGCCACGGCCACGTTTTTAGGGTACCCAATTGCTGGACCCGATGGCTCGCTTTCACAAGGTTAAGTGGCTCTTGCGCTGGAGCTTCTGCTCCCTGCGTTTTCTCGATGGTTAGGCCTGCTCTGAGTCGACCCACTGAAAGTAATGGGCTTGGCTTTAGCAGAGTTGAAAGCTTTAGGTTCCCCTTACCTTTCCAGGCTACACACAGGAGGGATTCTACGATCTTTGCAAGAAGGAGAGGTCGATGATTGATGTAAAAATGAGCGGACTGCAAGTGATTTGACAGGGTGGTTGAAGGGATGTTAACAAGGCGACTACACACACAGGCAAGAGACCTGCCACTATCACCACCGAAACAGCATTAAACAAATGTGCACACAGCATTGGCTTGGCTGTAGTAGCAGTTTAGCCAGATGTCCTTGCTCCATTTGCAGTTTCACACTTGTGAATGGACAGCCAACCCCCAGACACAATTATTCTCCATACTGCACCCACATTTGAATAATGCACAGGTAATTCTAAATGGAGCTTTGTCTAAGTAGTTCACCTGAAACAGTAATCCCAACCCAGTTTGCTTCAAGATATCCCTGTCACTTTCTGCAATGAGCTCAAAAACTGTTGGATTAAAGATCTTACACCCTTGTATAAGCCACTTTGTGGAGCTACTTCAAATGTTATTAACCTATGTAGTAGTAGTAGTAGTAATAATAATAATAATAATAATAATAAATAAATACCAGTTTGGTGTATGTAAAATTGTGCAGCCCCCATATTGATTTGCATGTGCAGCAACAGTGTGCATCTTTTCACTGATTATTGTGTGTCTGTGCTAAGCTGAAGCCATTTATGGTAAGGTTACCAGACATCCCCGTTTCCTAGGGACAGTCCCCAGATTTACAAATCAGTCCCCTGACAAAATCCATCTGTTTAGTAGGAAGTTGAAAAGTGTCTCCGTATTCACTGAAAAAAATCTGGTAACCTTAATTTATGGCCTCTGAATGCTCCACCTTTCCCCCAAGGAGCTCAAGGTGGCATACATGACTCTCCATATTAACCTTGCAACAACCTTGGTTGGTTACACTGACGTACAGTGACTGGCCCAAGGTCATCCAGTTAGCTTCATGACTGAGTGATTGGGGCTAGAACCTCAGTCTCCCAGGTCTTAGTCCAGCACTCTAGCCACTACATCACAGTGGCTCGTATACATGCAGGAAAAAGGCATGTGCTTAACTGTTGCATATGACAATACCTGTATACACATGTCTTTTCCTACATGGAAATACAGGAGTTCATAATATTTTGAGGTGGATACAACAGCTAGTTGGGGCTTTGTATTGTAAGAGGGCAAGGATATCCATGTTCTGGCTTTCTAAAATCCATGACTGTAACCTCATGAAAGGTATTGGACTTAAGCTTTTAACTGAGCAATTCAGTCCCATTTACTTCAATGGGAAGCCAAAGTTCTGGGCATAATTTCCCAGCTTGCTACTCTGTCTGGCCCATTTGCGTAGTTCAGTACAGCTACTCAAGCTTGTTGCCATATATTTTAACATAGCATTATATTCTGCCTAGTTTTCTGCAATCATTTAAATGCTATAGCTGCCTTTTGTAATTTATTAATAGCCAGTGTGGGTGTTTTTGCGAGTCCTTTCTAGTGAAGTCTGGAATGGTTTTTTATCTTCCGTTCTGGCTGCTGGAAGTCTTATTTTAGAACATGACAGCTCTATAGTACATAATGGATGTTTCTTATTTCAGAATCCAGCAGCTTCAGTGAACTTTATAGGGCAGACACACCAGATCTCTGCAGGCTCTTGTTTTTGAAATTTTGATCCGGCAGTCCTATTGTGTCTGTCTGTGTTAACATAGTTTGGCATTTTTTTTAGGTTTGAGCTTTTTATACATGCTTTTAATAACTGGGCATGAGTCAACCACAGCTAAGCACTTTGAAATGGAGAGCTTCCATTGGAATTAAGCACATGCATAAGTCTTCCACTAAAATCAACAAGGCAATTAATATGCAATTACAATCTGATTCCTACTGAGTTTGAGTGGTTCATGCTGTATCTTAGGAAGATTGGGTAGTATTCAGCTAAGTTTTTTATTCAGAGCACTGCTATTACAATCAATGGACCTAACTTAGCCATGTTTATTAATTTTAGTGGGTTTACTCTGGGTAAAACTTAGTTGAATATCACCCCTTGTTTCTCCTGAACTAGAAAGGAATAGCTGAGGCCCGCCCATTGGGAAAAGTCTTTTCCTCCTTCCAGCTTTTGAATTAGAATATCTTTCTAACCCTAGTCTTAATAGAACAGGAACATGTGGGGGGCGGGAAATCCACCTACTATAGAGCAGAAGTTCTAAAGCTTCATATGGTTGGAGAAGTCTTTGTATGCTCACTGGACTTTTTAAGAAGCCCTCCACTTCTGCCATAGAACCCCTGACTGTTGCAAAGGATGCTTCAGGGGACACAGTCCACAGATACAGGATTCTGGCTAGGCCTGCACAAATTAAAAATTCATTTTGTGTTCCCTTGTGGGTGCTTATAGCAGGGGGAGAGCAGTAGCGGTGGCCATCGTGGGCAAGATGCCTATCAGGAAAGTTTGTTTGCTGCTACAGGTACTGACTTTATATTGAGGTGAGTCTGAAAAGTCCAGATCAGGTTGGTCCAAGCTATGGCAAACACTGCCTCATCTGAAACTCTTGCAAGAAGCATTAACGAGAGTTCCTTCCACATGCCATATGTTTGGAAAACTTGCAGTGATGAGCAATATACATGGATAGTGGTTATGATAGATCAGACTTCCTAGCTTGAAGGGGCTGCTGCAATCAAATCTGTTGTTGAAGTCATGTTTGTTTTTGGACTGGAACACAGTTTTGGCTAAGCATTTTCTCTCTTTCTTATAGGTTTGTTTTCCTGGCACCCTGCGTTCATGTCAATAGCAGTAAGTTGCTTCCTGCTTATTCAGTACATCTGAGGAATGTTGTCTGTTTTTGCCTAGGGAGAATATAGCAGAAAGCCTAGAGATGTGTACACACTCTAATCTTTTAGAGAGGTGGAAGGGCTTCTGTCCTCCTTTCGCAGCTGACAATGCACGCATTAATTTCTCCCTGTAGTGAGCCTTTCAGATAAACCTGTATTTGCAGTGCCTTGGGAGGTACTTGCTAAAATCCAAAATGCTCTCCAGAAGCTCTGCCAGCACTTCTAAATGGACATGTGTTTTCGTTGTGACTATATTTCAAGCACGTTTGCGATAATGGCTCCAATAGGACTCTCTTACACATGCTTAGTGGGGTTTTCTTTAAGGCGGAAATGGGGAATCTGTGACCCTCCAGATGTTGCTGGACTTCCATCATTCCTGGCCAGTGGCCCTGCTGACTATTGGGAGGTTACATGTTTCCCATCCTTGTGGTTTCCCCCCACACTTTTACAATGACATACTATGGCCAGCATCATTCTCCTTGTCACATCACCCCAACCCCCTAAGTCTTTTCACTTCTGACCTTGAGTCACTTTTCCCCTTCATGTGCTTCTTGGGTATGTACTAAGTAAACGATTATGTTACAGCATTGTGTTGAGCTGTCAAGCTATCAAACAGAATAAAGGTAAGTTGGGGAGGCTATTGTTCTTGCAATAACATTTCTTTTTGTCCTATCCTATTCTTTTTATCTTCTGTAGCGGATTGGTGATTGTGCTTCTTTTAAGAAAGAAAAAACTCTGCAAAGCTTTCTGTATGCTATTTCAATATTTTTTAATAATAATAATAATATGCATGTGCCTTCTACTGCTAAAGAGGGGACATCTCCAGAGATGCCTCTCCTCTGACAAAAGGAGCAAATTGCCTGCCAAAGATTTTCTTCCCCTTCCCCACAGCATTACATATGTACAAGTGGTGACACCACTAGACAGAAACTGCTCCCACTCTCCTGAAAAAGTGATTAGCTGTTCGTAACCTAAGATTGCACATGCCATTTCCCTAGCAGATAGTCTCTGTACTCATAATACTGAACTATATTCTAGTAAATTATTGTGTTTAATTTGTGCATTATTTTTTTACAAGCCACCTTGGAGGTTTCTTTGGAACTGAAAGATGGGATTAAAATGGTCTCATAAATAAACCCCAGACTGGAACCATCTAGAGTCTTGGCAGCTAGTCTGTTGCACGCACTTGCAATAAATAACTTTTCTTTTGTTGCAAAATGGCACCTCCTAGCTTGGCCCCTTGAATCTTCCTTCAGCAGTTATGCTGCATCTGAAGAGTCAAATATGCCTATCATTGCCAAGAATGAAAGTACTGCCCTATATCAAAGCTTCTCTGTGAACATCTTGCTCTCAGCCAGGAGCCAATAACGTTTGGATTTCAAATAAAGGCCACAACGTCTTATGTTATGCAGCTTTTAAAAGAAGCTGTGGATTGGTAAGGCAGGTCAGTATGATAGTGACCTGTACTTTGGATTCAGCACTAAAGTGCATACCAAGAAGTAAAGAGAAAGTGTCCTGGGGAAAAACTGGTATCTTTCCCCACCCTGTGGGATGTCCACAAATCTCAAGAGCAAAGCTAGATGTGTAGGGCTGCACACTTCATGCAGATCCCCCAGCCATCTAATTCAGGCATGTAGAGGAGCATGGCTGAAAGCCCACCATGACTGTAGACAGTGCTGTGAGTGCATATGCAAAGGATTAATGTTATGTGCTAGCAATGCCTTTACAGAGCTGTTGCCATAAAGCTGTACTTCCCAGTGTTCAGGGAGCTGTGATAGTTAATCCAAATTAAAACTGCTTTTAAGCATACACTATAGATGTACATCTCATTTCTCTGTTCTTCCTCTGCTGGAGGAAAATGACTTATTCCACTGCAGGGCCACTGTGCAAATAGCAACAGATAGGTAGTTTCAATGGTAGGTTGACCATATGTTTTCTTTAAAAAGGATGCAGCCAATACATGCCAGACTTGGCATCTTGACCAATCCTCAGATCCATTATTATTATTATTATTATTATTATTATTATTATTATTATTAGAAGTGGGCCTAATAGGTGAAGCAGTAGCGGAGCCCAAAATGGTCCAGCAAGTTCAGAACCAGCACCAGGCTTTGGAGTGCCAATGGGAGGATGCCCCTCCTCCTGGTCACTGCCAGTCCTGCCCATTTGCTTAGCCTCTCCCTATGGACCCAATCTGCACAACCACCCCAAGGGAGGATGCATAGCAAGAGAAGGATGTTGCTGGTAGGTGAACCAGCAGGGACAGCAAGGAGGAGGAGAACCACCTGGGCCAGGAAACTTCAGGGTCAGCAGCATTCCTCTGCACAAGGATGTCAGCAGATGCCCAGTGGTGCTAACTCCCAATGCCAACCCTGTGCAACTCTTCTTGGTATGTTATAAGCCACCCTAGATAACACCAACTCATGAGACCCGTTTATGTACTTGGCAGAAGAGCTCCCCCTGCCACACCGGACTGTGTCAATTCAGGTTGCAAATGAGAAGTGTGTTCTGAATGCTCTTGAAAAATGAACAACACTCCCCATAATCAACACCCATACCCGGATATAGGGGAAACAACATGCCGGGGAGAAGGCTGGGTTGAATACTTTCCCCTGAACTGCTAGTCATAAGTGTACAGGGAGTTTATTAGCTATTGGAGCATTGCAAGCATGCATTATTTGACACTTGGCTGCCCTGAGTAGTGAATGAATGAAAGGTGTAGGGTATAGCTCCACTTTTAACTTAAAAACCAGCCAATCTGCAGTCTGAAGTGGTGCCATAGAGGCTTACTGCCTGCTGTGTCTAAGTACATAACTGGTTCCAAAGCTTTGGCTGTGCTTCTGTGCTTGTTGTTTTGAAGATTATTTGATTGGGAAGGTGACTCGGGCTCCACTGCTAGGTTGCTAATGGGTTCTTGTATTCCCAGTTCTGCCTGTGCCTGACGGAAGCCATCCTGATCTTCTCGCAAGAGGGCCTCCTCTTCTGCTCCTGCTCCCAAAAAATGAAAGTGCAGCTGCACTGGACTGCCCAGACGCTGGCCCTTGTGGCTGCCACACTGGGCTTGGCCTTCATTGTCTCCAGCAAGAACCGGAGTGAGCTTCCACACTTGGTCTCCTGGCACAGTGTTCTGGGCCTCCTGACTCTCCTGGCAGCTTGTGGGCAGGTCTTGTGTGGATTCTGCCTTCGCTTTCCTCGGCTGCTGAGGATCTCGTCCGTGGGTCGCCTCCGGCTCATCCACATGATGTACGGACTGATCGTTTATCTGCTAGCCACCTTCACTGTGGCCCTGGGCATTTATTCTGACTGGTTTCAGGCCCAGATTAAAGGGGTGGCTTGGTACTTCTGCCTGGGGTTACCTTTCTGTCCTGCTTTGGTTATTGTGAAACAGATTACTAGAACTTGTAAGAAGAGACAGTACATTTGAGTCTTGGATCCCATCAGAACCCACTGGAATCAATATCTCATCCCCATTGTTTTCTCCTATCCTTAGTATTTATAACAGCTGAATTTAGCCTTCTGTTGACACCTGATTCTGTGTTTTGTGTGCTGCGCCGTGTTTTGTCAAAGTGACGTTTTGTTTTGTTTTAGGTCAAGTACATGCTAATACTAGTACTCCAGCATTCTGGAAATATGCTGATTCAATTTTCCAGCTCATTGATCAGGTAGACTCAAGTGCTTGGCTGAGCCTCATGCTTGAATCTAGGGTGCTTTTCCAGAAAACAGGATCAACAACTTGCTGCCTGCATGTTTGCAGTAGGACTTCATGACTACTGTGTCTTCGAAAATAGATGCATAGAAGCAATGGGGTTGGTTTTGAGCAATGTTTCATAGTTTCTTGTGTTTCTTAGATTCTGAAATGCTTCAGTAATTAGATGTGTAGTCACCCACAAGCTAGGAACTTCATGAGTTATACTCACCTGGTTTCTGTGCTTCTGGAATTGTTCTTCCCTCACCTGTCCAACGCCTGTGCTCTCCTCATGGTGATTCACTCCCTCACCAGTTCCTTCTTTCTTTTTAGAATCATAGAATTGTAGAGTTGGAAGGGACACCAAGGGTCACCTAGTCCAACATCATCATCATCATCATTATACTATACACCACCTTTTCTTGTGGGGAGTGGGGAGTTTCAAAGTCTGGGAGCAGCCACTGGGAAGACCCTCTTCTGTGTCCCTACGAAGTTTGTCCTGGAGGGTGATGGGACCAAGAGAAGGGCCTGCCCCGAAGATATCAAAACCCAGCCAGGCTCCCAGAGTGGCTTATATATTATCCATTAAAACAAGACAGCCCCTGCCTCAACTCTGCCTTGCAGGCTTACAATCTTAAAAAGAATATGCTATGCCACACAAGGCAAAAAGGATGTGGAAGGAAGGGGGCAGGGAATCAAACTCAGGCACCAGTTCTTAAAATGACTAGCTGCCGTCATTCAAGACTAGGAGGTGCCTGGGGGAGCTTGTCTTTCAGCAGAGCTGATGGAACGAGCTTTGCCTCCCATCACTCCCACTGATGACTCAACATGAGAGCGCTCTTAGACCTTGTTGCTTAAGCAGCTGAAGCAGCAGATAGCTTGGACCTCAGCTGGGTAGGGCTTTATAGGTCATATCCCACACATTGAACTGTCCCTGGAAGCAGACCCACCTTACTTCTGTGATTGTAAGTTGTTTCAAATTGTTTTTAAGTTTTAATTGTAACCTGCCCTGGAACCTAAGGGTGAAGGCTGGGTTGTTGTTATTCTTAAGGAATGATGTGTATGCGTGTGTTATAGAAGTTAGAGGTCACCGCTTCACTGGAACACGAAAGAGCAGGGTTAAGTGGCTAGCCCAAAATCAGTCAGTGAATCAATAGAGAAAGTGGAAATATTTTGAATACCTCTAAGCATGTGCAGGGCAGCCTCCCCCTGCTGGGAGCTGAGCAGCGGCACAGACTGGCTGCATGGATTAGTGGCAGAGCACATTATGAGTGTGCAGAAGGCCCAGGTTCGATCCCTGGCTTCTACACATAAAGGGATCAGGCAACAAATCACAGAATCATAGAGTTGGAAGGGACCACGAGGGTCATCTAGCCAACCCCCTGAAAATGCAGGAATCTTTTTCCCAATGTGGGGCTTGAACTCACAACCCTGAGATGAAGAGTCTCATGCTCTACTGACTGAGCTTCTGCCCAAGACCCTCGAAAGCTGATGTCAGTCAGAGTAGATAAACAACAACAACAAACCTATGGCTACGTGAAACATACTCAATAAACACAGGACGTAACCGGGTGTGATTTTGAATAAATAAGGTATACTATTCATTGTATCAAATTGTAGATTTCAACGGAAGTCTCATAAAGTTCAACAAAAAAAGCAGAAGACCCAGTGGATCAATTCATTCTCTAGTCAGTTCATGCATAAGGTCCATACATGTATAAGTATCTATTCCATCTGTCTGTTCTTAGAGTCCAATAATCCACATGAAGGGTTGTTGCAGTTCCACAGAATCCTTTCACAGAGTCTAAGACAAGGATTTCTGGAATAAGCTAGTCTGAGCTGGAGCTAGCTGGACAAATAACCTGACTTGGTATAAGGCAACTTCCTTTATTCCTAGACTTACAGCAATGGCATATCTCACACTCGGCTTAATGTACCACCTCTGTTGATAGTGAGCTACATAGGAAGAAAACACGCATTCTCTTCTCTGGTGCACAACAACCCGCTCTTCACCTCCCTCCCCACCCCATTTGCTTCCATCACAAAATTTCCACAATTTCCCATTTCTTGTAATAACTAAGCTCTCCCTCAAAAGTAGCACCAAGCCTGTGCTGAATACCCATCGCTCGACACCGAACATCAATTTCCTGCTCTCCAAATATTCATGTTGTTGATGAACTAGATTTCTCACCTGCCCTTCAGGGGCTTTTGCCTGGGTAGAATGTGCCTTTGAATAGTGGCAGTGCCTCTTGCTTTCCTGAATGCAGAGATGGGAGGGTGTTAGTGTAGAAACCCTGTTGTCCGCATAGCTGGAATGTAGTCTATTGTACAAAGTTGCATTGGTAGGTTGACCAACTTTTGGACCAAACAAATCTGTTGGACCCGCCCACCATTAGCATGTGGCCACCAGAAAGTGGTCCATGAGGCAATGCAGTCCTTTGGGTGAATAGGCTTCCTCATCCCAAGTGTGCAGTTTAGCTAACGGAATCTATAATAGCCTCCGCTTCTGTCTTGGGGTCGGTTAAGAAAATTCCCCAGGGGTTGGTTAGACAAATTCTGGAGCTGCATAGTTTTCCTCCACGGCTCAGAAATGTTGTTGAGATTTCCCCTCTGACCACTAGTGCCTTTCAAAGGCCTTGGAGTTTTTGCTACGTAAGCAGCCATTGCTACCCAGGCTACAGCCTGTGCCGTCACATGTGGCACAATATCTTTTTTCATTTAAAGGAACTATTAGTAGGGTGCTACTTTCTTAGGTTTCTTGACCTGACTCACAGATAAGCAGCTGGAACTAGGCTTTTATGAAAGACAATTTTACTTGGCTACGAGTGATCGCCAAAGAAGAAGAAGAATTAGAATTCCTGGTTGAGGCTTGGGAATACACACTTGCTGCCAGGATTTGCAGTTTGGTGAATTCTTTGTGGTAGAATTGGACTAAGTACGGTAAGTAAAATTTTGTAGCCAGGAAGAAACCTTTACTAGGGTGGTCTTTGTCATGCAGCCGGTTTCCAGATGAGAAACTGGTGGTTTGAATAAGAAGCTGTGTGGAAACAGCGACAAGCACACAGAGTTCAATGAGATTGAGTGTTTGGGTAGGGGGAGGGAGGCTCAGTTAATTTCATTGTACACAGGTTGTACATTGACAATAAAGGTATTATTATTACTATTGGAAACAGGAAAAAAAAAGTAAAATCCAAATCTAGCTTTTAGGTACAGGTTATAGGTTTTCTATGCACATTCACAAGACAAATAAAACACAGATAATCATTTTCTAAGGCTACCATGTTATTTGGTCAATATTTTGCACAATAAATTCGTTTCTACCGTGTTTAATACGTTCTAGGTGTCTTTCCTTAAGGGTTGTGTACAGTGGTACCTTGGGTTAAGTACTTAATTCGTTCCGGAGGTCCATTCTTAACCTGAAACTGTTCTTAACCTGAAGCACCACTTTAGCTAATGGGGCCTCCTGCTGCTGCCGTGCTGCCGGAGCACAATTTCTGTTCTCATCCTGAAGCAAAGTTCTTAACCCGAGGTACTATTTCTTGGTTAGCAGAGTCTGTAACCTGAAGCGTATGTAACCCAAGGTACCACTGTATATCTTGCAGGAATTTCATATTTTCTCAGCACTAAACAACGTTTTGCAACTTGTTTCCTCAGCTAACCAGCATGTAATGGTGGCAGGGAGCACAGCTCTGGGATTTCTTTCAGGGCAGGAGTGATGATGTCATCTGCCGGAGTGCCAGGGTAATTGACCGACCCTCCTTGCTCTGATCAGTGAATGAGCTCAGGCTTCTCCACACTTACTTTTCCTCCGTACTTTCCAGGCATGGTCCACGCTTTAAACCTCCATGTCAGAACACTCTTCTTTTTTTCTTTTTGGAGCTTTCTGCCCCAAATCCTGCTCTTTACTGCTGAATTGGAGCAAACAGCAATCTGTGGAAAATCTGAATTGTCATTTGTTGTGTTTCAGCTTTAATGAGCAGGTTTCCAGGGTGAAAAAAGAGCACTAGGGGAGAGCCTTAAAGTGGAGACCTGCGCCTGGAAAGCACGGGGCAAAGGCCAAGTGTGGATAAGCCCATAAAGTCCTCTTTAGCTGGTGGTGTGTATTACTTCCAGCCCTGCTGCATTTCAGGGCCATTCTGATTCATTCTGCTGAGTGGGTCTCTGAACCTCTGCCCCAAAGTCCTTCCTTGATGACACTGTGCTTGCTCTCTCTCCCCTGCATTTAAGACACTCCTTGGGGCTGTTGTTATGAGCCTATTATGACGAACTTCTGCTCTTCAGACGTCACCTACATCACTGTAGGCAGTGCTTGCTATGCTATGTAGAAGGTGATTACCCAAGTGATCTGGGTCACTGCTGGCCAGTTTCTATAACTTTGTAGTGATGGACAGTCCTAGATCTTGCTGAACCAGCAACAAATTTCAGCCACCGCTGGCATTAGGTTGGTAGGACTCTGGAAATGGAAAAAGGTGTAGCTCCTCTGATTATAGATGTTTCAGCTGAAAACCTAATTCACTCTCCTTTAGCAGCACAGTAACTAAAATGGGTAAGGATTACAGGTGAAGTAGAGCAGAAAGAAAACACTTTCCACGTCTTCATTCCCCAGCAAGCTTCTGCTCACTCTGCATAGTAATGTTGACACCAGGGTGTCTTATTTCTCACACCAGGGGCTCTTTCCTATCCATCTCTGATTTGCACATTTGCTTCTGATATTTATCTTCTGCAGCTCCCTGCTTCACACTTTCGTTTAGCTGCCATACCTGTTCTTTGGGAAAGAGTGCTCTTATCGTTTTATCCCATCTGCATTTTTAGCCTGTAACGGCAATGGATTTTGTATTGAATTTCGAGAGAGTGCTCTGAAACAACTAAGTTGACAAGTCCTATTGAGGACCAAGTCAGTCACATGTGTACCCTTCTTGGCACACATTTCAGGTGTGCAGGCGTGTATGAAATATGTATAAGAGCATGCATTCAGGTTTGCAGAAAGGAGTATGTGTGAGTACAGTTATCTTTTTATAAATGAGCCCTTGGAGCTGTGACTGAAATCCTAAATGAACTTAACCTTAGAGAAACAAGTTTGTGTTCTTCATAGACATGTATAGGATTGCATTGTGAACTTGACCAGTCTAGATGGGACCATCTAAGAAGGAATGGATTTCATATGAGGATGCAAGGAATGCCACGTAGATTGGGGCGGGGGGAAGGAATGCTGCCTTTTGCAATCTAGTGCCATCCAGATTGAGCTACAACTCCCCGTTGGCATAACCAATGGGTGGGAGTGATGAGAGTTGTAGTCCAAAACCATCTAGAGCAGCAGTTCTCCACCTGTGGGTCCCCAGATGTTGTTGGACTACAACTCCCATCATCCCTGAACCTTGCTAGCTAGGGGTGATGGGAGTTGTAGTCCAACCACATCTGGGTACCCACAGGTTGAGAACTGCTGATCTAGAGCATGGGTAGCCAAACTAAGGCCCGCGGGCTGGATCAGGCCCAATTGCCTTCGGGATTCGGCCCGCAGATGGTCCGGGAATCGCTGCATAGATTGCCAGCGCGTGCGTTCTTTCCCTCTCCCTCACATGGCAGCGCAGCCTCCTCCCCCCTCCTGCTGGCTTCTCCCTGCCCTGCCTAGAGGAGGAAGGGGGCTGGGCTTTGTTGGTGCCAGCAGCAGCAGTGCTTGAGCGGCCGCCATTTTAAGCAGCCCCTCTCCGGAGCCCTTCCGCGTGCTGCTCATCGTCCCTCTGCCGCCGCGAGCCCCTGCCACTCGCAAGACACAGGTAAGCAGCCACTGGGGCTCATGGTGCTCTTGCATCATCATTTTTTTTCCAAAATATAGTCTGGCCCCCCACAAGGTCTGAGGGACAGGGGATCGGCCCCCTGCTGAAAAGGTTTGCTGACCCCTGATCTAGAGGGCACCAAGTTGGGGATGGCTGCTTGATGGAAAAGTACCACTTTTAAAGCAGCCTTCATAGCTGAGAGAGGAACCAGCAGGTGCTTGAAAGCAGCCAAGAGTCCAGGTTGGGTGCAAGAGAAGGAAGCTCCCTCACAAATGATTAGAAGAGAGAAAGCAGATCGATGAAAGCCCCTGGATGCGAGTTGCTAGGAGTCTGAGACAAGAAATTCATTAATGAGGGGAAATAATATATAGAGATGTTGGGGGATAATCCTAAGTAGAACAGAATATAAATAAAATCTGAGCAAAGATGGCACATTGGGAGATGCTTTGTTCTAGATCAGGCATAGGCAAACTCGGCCCTCCAGATGTTCTGAGACTACAACTCCCATCATCCCCTAGTTAACAGGACCAGTGGTCAGGGATGATGGGAATTGTAGTCCCAAAACATCTGGAGGGCCGAGTTTGCCTATGCCTGTTCTAGATGCTAGAATGCCAAAGTCTACCAAAATGCAGGGAACAAATATGGGGGGGGGTATGTTTGAAGGTAAACATTTTTTGTGCTTTTTTTTGTTTAAGGTGAGGTGG